AACATATTTTATAACTGAACCGTCACATATTGCTTCACCTAACTCATACTTTTCGCAATTGAGGCTTCATGTTTTGCGTCAAACGCTAATGCAGAAAAGCACTGCTTAAGGTGTCTTACTGCCGCCACGAAATTGACGAAATCGATAGCTTTGGTCCATAATTCCTCTGCATATGCTATCCACAACATCCTGAACATATGTACCTATACCTTTCAAGGAAGGAGGCTTGTGTCCCATTCCCCGCCACAGAATGGGCCATGCGATCGAATTAAGTACATTTTAGTTCAGCACCATTTTTTTAACATTGACTGACATTGCTTTAGTTCAGGTAAGAACCACCCGATTGGTCTTCAGTTGGTTTTTTGAATCGGCTATACATTGTTTTTTGTGTGTGCCCTCTATTTCACCTTCAAGCTTGATCTTTAGTGACATTTGGTTAAACCACAACCACGATGACCTTCAGTGACATTGAGTTTAAACAACAACCGCGCTTAGATTTAGCGCATGCGCAGATTCCAAAGTCAAAGTGGGCCCATAACGGTTTTGCTAGACTACTAAACATCAGGTTTTGTATTTTACTACATACTTAGGTATGTAAAAGTTTGGTTTATATTTTTTCACTCTAGCAGACCAGTTCTACTGTTCAGTTGAGTTTGCAGAAGACTTGAATTAGCGCCAAACAATTCAACAAGAAAGAGTCAAAGCAAACAATGAAAAGAGACGTGAATAAGTGCTAAGGGAAGAAGCTCGAGGGTTTAGAGGAAGAAGAAAACGACATGTAGAAAACAAACGATAAAAAAGAGCGATAAAGAAAGAAAGCGCGTCCAAAGCAGACACGAAGAAATAAAAGATGGGGGCGTGTCAAAACCGTAAAACATGCACGAAAGAGACGCTTAAGGAAGAAAGACTAAAAGTTGTAAATCAGCATATGCATGATTAAAGCGCATTTTTGGTCATGCAGGTCAGTATTTTATTAGCGAAGTTTAAAATTATCGATCTCACGAGTAATTCTGGCTGCGTTAAATAATTAATTTTATTTAATTTCAATTGACGGTACGTCTTCATTTTGTAAAACAAATCACAAAGTAAATAATAAGTTTTTATACTGGTAGCGCTATCTAACGGTAAAATTATAGCACCTCCGAAACCCATATCGAAATTATTTTCTTCAATTATCGATCTCACAAGTAATCTAACTCAAAATAGACTAGTGCCTGCACATCTACACTATAGCAGAAAGCTTTTAGCGAAAATTTGAATTCTCTAGCTATTGTAGTTGTGGAGATCTCACGCGGACAGCCGGCCTGCCAGCCATAACGAATATAATAGCGTATTTTTTTCAAAAATGCGCTAAAAAGGTGCATTTAAGGAGGCGTGAAGTAAGTTTTAATGGAAAGAATGTTAAATACTTCTTCACTATTCATAATATTTGTATGCAACTTTCTCCAGATACAAGGCGAGTGCAAAATCAGCGTCGAAATTAATAACCCATAAGAAATACCTGCTGGGACCAGTACCCTTAAATAGACATTGGTTTTCAAATTGTTATTTAAATCTAACACAATAAGTAGCTAATCGCTTTGAGTTTTATCTCAGTCAAAAATCTTTCTCGGCAAATAATATAAACTTCCCACTTGCGTCACTGGTTTGATGTTTGACCAGAGTAATCTTCAAACATTAGTCTTGAGGGTCAAACGGCAATGCAAGTATCTGATAAGCGTGATGCGAGAAATTCCCACGGCACCTTTTACTCCTTTTGCTATTCGACATTCAAAAATTGAAGCACGTTTAAGCTGTCGGTAATAACAATCAGAAAACTGAATATATTCAGCACGTAAATAGAATGCGCTAGATGAGGGCCATTTTTCACGACCGCAGACAAAGAAACCTTGAGTTATAGCCTTCATTATCAAAGTCTACTTACGTCATTACAAATATTTACGTTATAGATAAACTGTGTAAAAACAGAGGACATTTAACTTTGTGTACCTGCCGATCAAAAGTGGGTAGGTAGGTACCTATAGGTAAGTGTGTCGTCACTTTGTATATTAATGAAGAGAACGCCATTTCCGCATACCTACAATAGTTGACATCGTTCCAACTTTTTTCAATTCGTTTTAGTACTGATGGGCGACCAAATTTTTTTTTAATTTTAAAAATACGCCATAATCACGCGCGCGAGTGCGAAGACTTTGTATTGAGTCGGGTGAGAAAGCACATACCCGAGACGAGTCATTTGCCGGATGATTCTTACTCAGTTAACTGTAACTGTCAATCAGACTTTGTACTGTTTTGAAAAATAATTTGAAATTTCCTAATATTTGGACGTTTCGCTCTTATCATATTTTCAAGTTCATGACGTCATGCTTTGCTGGAATTGTTTTGCCAAGTCCTACGTAGGAATCGTGGGGGATAAGAAAAATTCTTAGGTTCTAATAGGTTCTAAGTAATTACTAATTATAATTAGTCAAATTGAGGTTTAGCTATAACCTAGAGGTTTCTGGCTCGAATTCGGAATCTTCATTATTATTTAAATAGTACCCAACGTATAACCATTATATTTAGAAGGTTAAATATAACACTATAACCAAAATAAATGTGTAAACAAACATTTTCAGGAAATAAAAAAAATGAGAAATTTTGGTTCAATCCAACAACATCAAATTTAAGTAATGGGCTAGCCGTGGTCGGGATTTTTGTTTCAAAGAAGGGCGGGTCAACCGCTTTAAAAGTTTGGACTTTAATTTTGAGTATGAGTACCAAAACGTCTTCCTAATGGTTTTTGTAAATGGCAATCATTTTTTGCCGGGCTGTGTAACGCATTTATTTCTGTTAAACTTTTTGCAATTTATCCCGTGGAATTACACGGAAGTAAAATTCCTAGGTTGTAAAAGAGTCAAGTTTTCGAAAACATTCCCCCAAACAAATATTACTCATGATAAGTTCAATTTTTATTTTGTCAATTGTCAACAGTGAGCTCTCGTAACCTGCTCACGTTTATCAATGGGGTATTTGTTCTAAATTGTGTTTATCGTTGTCTGGCTACGGTTTTGAATTACACGCTGGAAAATCGTGTTAAGTTACTTCTACAATTCATCACATTAAATAAAGCTTGAAAAAAAGTAAGCTGACATCGTCGACAAGTAGTGCGTTCAATCAAAGAGTATACAAGGTTCAATATACAGTTTAAACTGGCGTATAGGTTTCGAAATCGTAACTTAGTTAACGAGTGCCAGTTTACCAGAATATAATTTGTTAAAAATTACCCCAAGGGATATTTGTGTACTCAACTGTAGGAGTTCGAAAAGCTGCGTGCTGTATCCATTCAATAAAAAGACATCGTTCGCAATTTGAAACAAGTGTGTTAGTAGGCAAATTTCTTGGGAAAGATTTATGCAACGTAATAGATCAGAGGAGAAGCAGTAGTTAATTAATTTGACGCACGGAGTTGCAACAAGGAAAACTGTCAGTAAAATCAAGTAAAAATAAAGTACTTTATTAGTGCCGCTAGCAAAAGGTAAATTGGTGCAACCGCTTACTTAAGAGATTTCTCCGAATTTAATTTAAATCGTAATAAAATCACATTGGGACTAGGCCTCATTCAATCTTTAAATTTCAGTGGTCAGGAGTTATAAAGGTCAGTCGTATTTATGTAGTTCGCCAAATTGAATAGATACCTTTGAGATCCATTGTCAAATACGCAAATATTAATATGTTGCATTGCATAGAGGTAAAAATTTGAAATGGGATATCTTAAAGGATTCAAAAAAGTGTAAATTGTTGTATTTTCAATGTATTTTGCAATCCACCGAATTTGGTGTCAGTCCCAGTTCATTTTTTTCTCTGAATCAAAACGGAATTTCATAAACTTTATATTGAATGAAACCAAGTTCGAGGGTTTATTTTTTATTATAATATTTAGAGGTAGGAAAGAAGATTTATTATCCAAATTGTGAAGTAGATCTATCATAGTGTAAGATTCTATTCTTACACTATGGATCTGTTAGTAATAATGAAAAAGGAGATGTTAGCATTTTCTGATTTTTCTCAATATACATTTATATGACCTTTTGGCTTTGTTCTTTGGCGGAAAGTGAAAAGCAAAAAAACCATCTACAGCAAGCGTTCAGATTACACCATCAGTTTTATAAAAGCAAACGAAACTGCCAAAAATTATTTGTGCTTTTATTTAGCGTAGGTACTGCTGCCGCTGGGACATATAGCACTATATACTTGAAACTTGGGAGGTGAAATGCGATTAACTTTGTTGATTTGCAAAATAGCAATAAATAATTAGTTTTTTTGGCTATTTACCTTACAGCGTAGGTAATTCGCGACTTTACCTTATCTGATAAATTAGGTAATTCTTTTTAATCTAAGTAGAAATACATGCTCCGTTGTAACGGTTTAGATACGAAGTAGGTAATCTAAGAAGGGAGCTTAAAATATTAAATAGAATTACCAGTAGTTCCACTGATAACAATCTGTTGTTTATTTGAGAAATTAGGAATACAGACGGGGTGATGTAGACCTATTATTATAGAACCCATTCAAGCGTATGGGTATAGTAGGGCACGGAATATAATCTGGCCAATGAACTCCTACCTGCCATTTCACCCTCTACCAGTCTACCAAGTAAAATAGCAAGAATGTTTATTACAATTATTGATAAACAGTCTGTTGAATTTGTGCATATCCTTAAATTCATTTTCGTGTTTAAATGTATGGGAAAAAAGTAATATGTTAAAATCGATGATTAAATTATAGCTTCTAATGAAAGCCTATATTGCTATACATATGTAGCTGACTGATCGTGACCCGTTTCTTCCAGATGTTAATTGAAACAAACTGCTAATTTCCAGTTTTCATTAGCAAAAGAGGAAACTGCCAATTTCACTTACGAAAAAAATTAGCGAGGAACAGCAAATTACTGGCCATTAGTAAGATATTATACAGGTTTGCGAAAATTAGAATGAGAAAAAAACTTCTTAGTTACTTACGACTTCTTCCTTAGGCGTTAACGATGCTGAAGGATCAGAATTGTCCCCTTTTTTCTCTAAGCCCCTCGTCTGTAAAATTGGTCAAACGGTTAGCTAGCTCTAGTATTCTAAAGGAATGGATCTCACCTCTGAATCCATCGTGCTTGTTCTGCAACGGCGGGTACAGTAAATACAAGAAATTACAATTAGGCAACTGCACAGACGAGAACGTAATGTTATTCATTGAATTTTAATTAAAAAATATATCTACAACTTTTCTACAAATTAATTATCTCAAGGCTAAGTTATCTTTAATACGTTTGGTAACTTTCCATGATTTTACGTATATCTTCAGCAGATTACGTAAGGTCAACATTTTGAGAATTGGTAAGAGGTAAATAGCGTTCAGTAAATAAATGTGCTAAAATACGAACCAGTGTTGATAAAGATGAAGCTCTTTATATAAACATATAAATGTTTAAGGGTTGTGTGCTGCGTAACACTTCTGGAGGACTTCTGACTGTTGCCCTTAGAATGTCCTGAGCGCCCTTTAATACGCAAGTCCTTAACGGCGTGTGGGGTTTTTATGTAAATAATAATTACAACGAAAAATATAACTTTCCTCCCATGTGATCAGCAATGACGAAACGAAGATTAGCTACTTAAACAAGCAGACTTCCTTTGGATATTTATTTATAAATTCCTTCCACTAGTTTGCGACGAAGCGGAAATTAACGGTTATCTGTACTTTTAAATCAATAGTAGGCACGACTCGATCGTGCGCTTCTATTGGTTGAAAGTGCGGGTGTGTCGCGTAGCGGCTGACGTCGCACAAGGAATGTGACACGTCAGAGCGCTTTTGCCAATATCCCACTCGTTAAGGTAGGAAAGGCTGATGTAATGAAAGAAAGTCTTATTTAATATTGGGGTAGTTTTTTTGAAGTTATAGGCGTCGCAGGGAACCAATTTTCAAAAGCTAATTTTGAGACAATTTCGTAATTTTAAAAGATGCGTTTGTAGCATGTATAGCAGCCACCCCATTTTTTGTATGTTACAAATGTGTTTTTCCGCAATTTCATTGCCACGTAGGGCACGTGGCATTTAAAAAAATAATCGTGCACTGCGTGGTAATCGTAGGCAAATATTAGTCGTTGATAATTTTGGAAGGTCATAGCTACTACATATTCATTTTTTAGATATGTTGATTACATTCTCATGTTGTAGATACCATAGAACAATGTAAAATAATTTTAATTCGAAGCATACTAACTAAAAAATTAATTTCTCCATCAGTTTTCCGCACGGAAGAGACTATACCGGGTGGTGCCTAGCGCGACGCAGCATAGGAATTTCAATAGTAATTTATAGTCAATTACTAGCTCCCCTAATTATTTTAGAGCAAAAGTCTAAATACGTTTTTTTAGAGAAAAAAATACTGCATCTGTTCATACTTTTAGTTATAATTTTCCGTTTTTCAAAACCGTAGAAATCGACAAAATAAATAGTTCATTTTACAATAAATTAAATATGCCTTGGAATTACCTAAAAAAACAGCGATAACTTTTAATTATTTGCCTTTGACGTATTTTAAATTTATACTTGTTTATAAATTAGTTAAAGAACTGCAAGGGCAATAACGTTCAAAATGTCCGTCAAAACCATCAGGCAAACGACAATAAATTCAACGTTTTGGCTGCAGTAGCGGAAAATCCGAATATAAGTTTAGGAACGAATCTTCTTCAAATCAGTTTTTTTTCTTCCATTATGTAGGTACTCTGATTCCGGAAAATGATAAACAAATAGTATCTGATGCAGATGCAGCATACATTCTCTACAAAAACATTACCCTAAGATGCCTTTTATTGCCTCGGTTAGTTGAAACAGAATTAAATATGAAATTCATTCGACGTCAAACAACGATAACTTAGATGCGATGCGCTTGTAGTTTGTTAAAAGATTCCAAAGCATCACTGATTTATAAAAATGTAATTTTTTATTTTGTCGATTTCTGCGTTTTTGAAAAATGGAAAATTATAACTAAAAGTATGAACAGATGCAATATTTTTTTCTCTAAAAAAAAACGTATTTAGACTTTTGCTCTAAAATAATTAGGGGAGCTAGTAATTGACTATAAAGAAATTACCATTGAAATCCCTATGCTGCGTCGCGCTAGGCACCACCCTGTATACAGCCTATTGAATTAACCAAACTGAATTGACATGGAGTTAAGAAACTGTTTTCCATAAACTATGTATATGTATATGAAAAAAATGTCGCTAAAGTAAAGTAAACTTTACGTGATTTATTTATAAAAAAATGAGTTATTTGTGTTCACAGGAACTAACACTATTAACGAGAAACTAAATTATAACGGCCTAATATATTCAATTACTTGTACCTACTCAAATATATAACCGGTAAATTTATAACACGAGTGCCAAATTTAATTATTTATCTTTTCAGCATCGAGATTGAGATTAAGACTGAATACAGTTCAATTCGCTTATATTATAGCAAACAATAAACCTTTTCGAAAAATCTAGAAGTCATATCATATTCAGAGGAAGAATAAGTCACCTCCGCTTTCATTCCTATCGCCGATGACGATCCTTTATCGACTTGACGGCGCCTCGACAATGTTCTAGAGCGTTCGCTAGACTACCATGCAATTGTTATATTTAACTTGATTAAAACACACAATCTTGCAAGTATAACCATCACAAAAGAAATCAGTGGGTACTTTCTCTTAGCGAATGAATTACTCAAAATCAATTATTGTTTCAGATTAATATACTCTATTCGACCACTCGGCCAATCAGCTTGGTGATGATTTCAAATTCTAACCAATCAGACGATTTGTTAAATTATTAAAAGCAGCTTCTTTATCAGCGATGAAAAGCTAGGTAGCTTAGCTGTCGCGATTTTGAACTCGAGTTTTTTCCGTTGCAACAAAACTTTCGCGTAAAAATAAAATTACTCTATTAAGTGCTTGTGTATTTGCCCCCGAAAAAAGCCTAAATAAACCATAATATTTAAGCTTATAGCTCTTAAAATAGTATCAGAGTTTTCGCATCAAACTCTGCTTCTTACATGGTTTTGTCCGTTCGTCTGGCCGTCTATTCCTCGTCTAACTCGAGAACGAAAAGAGACGATGCCAAACCTTCGCCAATCGATTTCTATACGAGTGCAAGGATCGGTACTAGTGAATATGAGCGGGATTAAAATCGTGTTTCCGAATACGAGCAGAGTGTCAAAAAATTGTATGCGATTATGTGTATCTTGTTATTAAGGATCCTCAGATCCTTTATAGTTTTGTATTGTCGTCCGTCCGTCCGTCCGTCCGTGTGCGCTCTAACTCTTTTTAAAAGTGGCCGATTGTGTTGAAATTTGGTATACGGGTACGTTGGACATTAAGAACGGGCGCTATTGATTTTCAGGAAGCTGGTTCAACAGGAACAAAAGTTATACGACTTCGAGTGAATCGGGAACAGGAAAAACTGCGAACTCAATATAATAAAAATTCACATATTTCATTCCCTAGGTCATGTATCGAGTTCGGACTTTCGCTAGATTATTCCCTATGACTCTTAGATGTGTAACAATTCAATATAACTCTTCTCTCTGGTCTCGGTCAAAAGTTTTAGAGCAAAATGTACCCAAAATTATTCTTTACACATGAATTTAGAGTTGTAAAAGCTTTCAAACGCATTATCTTGATGCTGAAAGAGTTGATAACATGCACGTTTGATAACCGCATGTGTGTGATTCAAAAATGTTAAATTATTTTTCTGAGGCCACATGGATTTTGATCAAAATATGTCAAAATCGTTAATTATGCACCAAGATCGTTGGGAAAAAGACTACGCGCATTATCTCAATGCCCAAGACATGAGTTTGATGCATTTTTGGCGACCACGTGAATTTTGATCAAAACATGTCAAAATCGTTATTTATGTACCAAGAGCGTTGGGAAAAAGACTACGCGCATTATCTCAATGCCCAAGACATAATTTGATGCATTTTTGGCGACCACGTGGATTTTGATCAAAACATGTCAAAATCGTTATTTATGCACCAAGATCGTTGGGAAAAGACTAGGCGCATTATCTCAATGCCCAAGACATGAATTTGATGCATTTTTGGCGACCACGTGGATTTTGATCAAAACATGTCAAAATCGTTATTTATGCACCAAGACGTTGGGAAAAAGACTACGCGCATTATCTCAATGCCCAAGACATGAATTTGATGCATTTTTGGCGACCACGTGGATTTTGATCAAAACATGTCAAAATCGTTATTTATGCACCAAGATCGTTGGGAAAAAGACTAGGCGCATTATCTCAATGCCCAAGACATGAATTTGATGCATTTTTGGCGACCACGTGGATTTTGATCAAAACATGTCAAAATCGTTATTTATGCACCAAGATCGTTTGGCATTATCTCAATGAACAAATTTGACTAATTTTGCGCATTATCTCAATGCCCAAGACATGAATTTGATGCATTTTTGGCGACCACGTGGATTTTCATCAAAACATGTCAAAATCGTTATTTATGCACCAAGATCATTGGGAAAAAGACTAGGCGCATTATCTCAATGCCCAAGACATGAATTTGATGAATTTTTGGCGAAAACGTGGATTTTGATAAAAACATGTCAAAATCGTTATTTATGCACCAAGATCGTTGGGAAAAAGATCAAGAGCATTATCTCAATGATCTAAACATGAATTTGATCTATTTTTATGGACCACATGGATTTTGTTCAAAACATGTCAAAATCGTTATTTATGCACCAAGATCGTTGGGAAAAAAACCAAGAGCATTATCTCAAAGCCCAAGACATGAATTTGATGCATTTTTGTTAACTATAAAATGTATTTTGTAAGATTAAAATAAATTGTCGTTAAAAGTGATTGTAATACTGAGGATCCTTCGATATTTCGTTGTATCGGTTTATTCATTTACGATTGGGTAAATACAAAAGCGTAGAAGGGACATACAAAATGAGAAAAGGAGGCCTTTGATTCAGAAAGTTTTCTAGTTTTCAAAATGGACAATTTGATCTAAATTTCTAAACACTCTGTATGAACTTTCAGGACGATTGTTCCACATAAGGTAAGGCCTAGGACTTATTTATTAAATACTGAAAATGATGGATCTATCCTGTGTGCCTAGTAAAAGGCAATTAATTTCGTGAAAGATTATCCTTTTAAAATTTCGAATGGTCTTTAAGAGAATGGGGGCGATGTTCCTACTGTACCTACGTATGTATAAACGCTTGGTTTTTGATGGGTCCGATTTATATTAAACGACAACCGGTAAAAAGGTTAAAGACAATTAATTCATGCACTTGTTGGCTGTCAAAACCCACAGGCAAGGCATCGACTCGGCAAAATATCTATGTTATTGAATCTTATGAATTTTTGGGGTGTAATTCACACTATGCGAGCAACGACTCGGCAAGCTACGGCCTTTGCACGCGGTGTTCTTCTGAAACAATATTTGCCGGGCATGTACCGTGCACGTTCCGACAAGTGTGAATACAATCTGTGCAGGTCACCGACTTTAGTTCAGTTTTCATAGTACAAGAAAGGTTGAAGGGTCAGCAAAGGAACACTTTTTCAGCGGAACAAGATGAGATGCTGATTGAATGTGTCCGTGAGAATGATTTCGGTCATAAAAGATACTTTTTATGCATTTTATATACACAAAAACGTATTTTTATTTTTCTGCAATATGTACTTTCTTGTTCTTCATCATCTAATATTAGACCTATTTTAATTAACGTGGAAGTTTCGAACATTTCCACAGTTGAAACTCACGTAGAAACTGCTTACCTGCGGCAAGCGTGTCGCAGTGTGAATTGAACTCAAAAAACTTTGCCCGTGCCGAGTATGTGCCGTGCCGTTGCCGGGCCGGTTCTTTGCACGAAAGTGAGAATCGGCCTTAAGTTTAATTATTCCAGTAAATAAATCAAGGTCTCTGTAATCTCTGTTCCATTCTCCTTTCTTCTACCAAAGAAAAGTCCGCGAGGGCATTCAGATCTTCAAGCCCTGGACGAGCGGCTATTATACAATAAAATAAATAGCACCGGCAATTAATTGACAAAAATCCTTAACAAAAACTATATACCTACCTATCAAAATTTTGAATTCTAAGACTTTGCTTCAGAATTCTTGGATTTTTCTTCGAATTTTTGTCTATGATTTTACTTCACAGTTTTGAGATTTTTCCAAAGCAAGATGTGGCAGGCAAGCGAAATTTAATAGAGAACATTCATTTCCATGTGTACCTAACTAATACGACACAATGCGCAAATGGTTAGTCTTAATGCCAGCAGAGAGTATTTAAATTTTTGCTATCTATTTAACTACGGACCGATATCAAAGTAGCATTAATGTTTTCAAAAATTTTACCTTTCTTACATTTCCTGCCAATGGTGTTGTAATAAGGTTGTCAGAATATGCCTGTGCACTTATTTCTCCAGACGTCATTGGCGAAACCCGTTTGTGAGAAGATATTAAGAAATGACTATCCGCAATGTATCCAACCCCATCATCGGAAGCATCTTGATCCATACTTATAATACAATTATAAACAAGAACTATTAGAAAGTATGCCGATCAAAACGTGTCTAAATCTCAAGCTAAACTGAGATGTTCGATCGAGATTACCCTCCAGTTTGTTTATTTTAATATACGTTTACGTCCTCTTTTGTTGGGAGTTCAAAGAGGAAGACTTAGAAATTTAATTAGAAGTAGCGAAAGTGAAAAGTATTGTATGACTTCAAAAGATTGTCGTAACTGATGACATGTTTGATACACACAAACGACAGCTTAAGTTTCAATAATGAAGACTCATACTTCCTCACTATAACCAAACAGTATTAAAAGTCTTTATTTTATTTTTTTTAATCAATTATCTTCATAACCAAGAAACCACTTCGCTGAAAGTCTGAATTGCCGCAAAGTAGGGCTATCTAGGAAGAGCTTATCAACAGGAACGCAATTCCTACGGCCAGCGACATAAATTGGTACAAATCTAGGTACCTTCCACTCTGACTCTGACTCGACAACGACATTTTCACGAACCGGAACGCAAGAATCGGCACCCCAGCAGGGGTTTGAGAAGAGGGGAGGGGGGCACAGTAAATATACAATAGTACGGACATAAAAACAATGATAAAACCGTTGAGTGAAATGATAAAACGTAACAGTGGTTACTGCTAGGTTCCGTGAGCTGATACGATCACGAGGGCATTACCGCATTATATTATGTAGGATTCTGTGAAACTTCTGTGTTGCGGGCGGAAAAGACCTTACCCTACAAAAGGGAACGATGTACAAAATTTTCCACGAAACGAAACGATATATTGTAATATTTGTTACCAACCGGAACTTCCGAGCCCTGACTAAACTATGTCTATTAGTGGTGGAAAAGAGGGTGTCAAAATCAAGTCCTATATGGCACCAAACTTTGGTTATGACAGTCGACATACATTGTTTAGTCGCCTCTTACGACACGCTATGGTTTCTGCGGTAGGTTTATATTATTCCATTCCATATTCTATCTATGATGTTTCTTTTTTATTTCGTTCTTGTTGATTTATTGCATTTGATAGGTAGCTGATTTTTATGGTACGATATTTGAGATGATTGAGTTGTATATTTTTCTTTTTTGCATTTTATTGTTCTCCTAGTTGATTTATTTCGTGTATTTGTGTGGGTTATGCCAAAATTTTTGTCCATAAAAGGTTTTGCTGGTATCGCTTTGTTGTATGCGTAATGTACAGGGGGCCCATTATGTATGGAATATAGTACCTATATCTTGGTAAATATCGACTGTATACAACATTTAGTTGTTTAACATTTTATTTCCGATAATACGGCAGCAATCCATTGTTTTTATTTCGAAAACAAATGCGTAACGAAAAACAATTGCATTTTAAACCAGAAGAGACTGCAGAAGAGAAATATCAAAAACAATTCTTAAAGGAATAAGTGTAGAATGAAATGTTTATATGATAAGTAAATGGAATCAATGCAGAAGTCATTTTTACGATGAAATAGAAAGTTAGTCAGTTAGTAAAACAGTAAAAGGCAGTCAATTATTATGATCCACAAATCTTCAAATACGGAATATGAAGAGAGGAATTTTGCAATTCAAGGTTAGACTAACACAATCATATATATTTATCCTTTTAAGAATGGAGAACTATAAGTACCTATCTACACACAACACTGCAATAAGTCGCCCGTTTCTCAAATGAAACGAAAAAAAAACCACTCGGAAAAAGAATTGAAACAAAGGATAAAGTTCTGGAAGACGATCAGATTTAAGATAAAACAGATCCGAAGTCTACACAAAATGAGTGCAGCCCATGATGCTTCTATTCTTTGTACATATCATGCAGCCAAATGGAAAGACTTAGAGAGAAAGGGACAGAAATTAAAAATTATCTTGCGTGTTCTACCAGCACTAGATTGTTAGTCCATTTAGGGATCATCTTAAATTTTTGATTTGATAAGTAGCGTAAGAAAACGCAACGCAAAACAGAAAAAACTTTCTAGTTCCGTGTCGTTGAAATTAATCGGATTTATGGCTCAGTGTTAAGAGCATTGGGTTATAAATCCGGAAGTCGGGTGTTCGAACCTGGGTTGAGGTGAATTTTTCATCTGTGGCGGAGATGGAAATTACCTTAGACCAGTTCCGAGCATTCTACCGGCTACTCCGAATTAGGTTTTCCTGCAGTTTTCCTAATTCGTAAGGTAAATACCGGAGTAGTATAGACAATCTTAAGACCTTCTGCAGAGGCATCTCTAAATAGCATTATGCGGATCACTCTGTAATTGGGCGCATGCCTGTTGAGGGCCCAAAAAACAAGAGAGGGATAATAAAATCTGGCGAGAATTTTGCAATAAAATAATAAAAAGGAACACCATCAGAAGACCAATAAATACTAAATTAATAATGTCCATCATATGTGACCATTTTTACCACCACGTTAGTAAGGAAAAGGTATTGCATTGGGGTAAAAAATACCCCCCCCCCTCCACCGCCCCTACTTTTTTTGATGGAAATACACGCTTTTTTTATGGCGGTCGGCGGTGTGAATTATATATGAGCTCCACATCCAATTGCCTAAGTTTTCGTTCCAAGGACGCCGCCAATTTTGTAAAGACGTTTGTATATTTGTCACCAAACATACATATTGTTCTGTGAAATTAATGCTAACATTTCCTTCAACTATTCGGTTATATCCGACTTTTTATCTGTGTGGTCTCTAAACTCAAAATGTTACCTTGCACGCCCTCCGGTGGTAAAAATAAAGGACTAAGACAGGAAACAATGTTGTAGTCGTGGTTTGAAGCATTGCAGTTTGTGTTTTTTTTTCAAATCCATCACCACACGCACTATTTATGGAAACTGTCTTGTAAGAACGGAACACTTGTGGTTGTCCGAGACATATACCGTGTGTCCCAAGTTACAGGCACCATGACCCAGTGCCGTGCGAAGGTTAACGCGCCCCCGGGGCGGAAAATAATTTTGGCGCCGCTCCAAATATAAAATTATGAGGTTGGGCAAGGAAAGACTTTATAATAATAAACGTAATTTTTTATTTTCCATAATAAATCTATTATTATGTAGGTACAATGCTTATATAATTCGAGGTAAATCTTTCACTCACGCCTTTTACGGTCCCGGGCCCCCTTCCCACAGGCCTGCCAAACAGAAATAATGTATTTTTCACAAAGGATCCAAGAGGCCTATTTGATATGTATTTGAAGTTAGCGTTCAACATACGTTATTGCGCTTGTCTGATGCTAGAAAGAGATTCGAGTAGTACATTGATCGCTAATTTTAAAAGCCTCCGATCCTTCACGAAAAAATACATTGAAGTTTTCCTATGGTGGGTTCTACCTGGGACACACTGTATATCACAAAAACAGTACGTTTGGTCATTTTATGTGACAGGTGTCAAATTTTGCCTTATTTTTGAGTGGGGTGGGGTTCAACCAAGGCTTCCCAACCCAGTATACATTTACAAATATCCATGCCTGAACCCATATTCGAACCAGGGACCTCTGGCACCACAGTCCAGGTATAACTGAACCGCTTCACACTGACCGATATGTATTTAAACATTCAATTGTGCAAATGTGTTTAAAGCGAAAAGCAACAAAACATGACTGAAAAATTTATTTTCTTAGAAAATGTTCACTATACAAAATACATCAATTGTTTATGCTCCTACCATTTCTTCTTTTCCGCTAAAAGTGTAAGGATTCAAAAGAAAGATGTTGTGAATTGGTGCTTCTTTATGAGACACAGCTTTGATAACCTCCTGGGCGACAACACCTCCGACAATTGAACAGATTGGTGTAATTTCACCAAACACCAAATTGAGAACGTCTGCTTTAAAGTTTTCCTCCTTAATTTGATAGTCTTGTAAATATTCATTGCGTATTGCTTTCATCTGTGCGAGATCGTCATCTTTACTACTAACCGATGGGTTTCTACCGTTTTTGTCACGAAATTGTATTAGCACTAAAAGGCAAAGTTTATATTGATGAAACCCACATAACACTCACATTTCATCAAGTAATAAAGCTGTAGTCCACGTTTACGTCTTCCTTTAGCAGAAGAATCTGCATTTAGCAAGGCATCGTTAATACTCGGGTAATTCAATTTCGCCTGTATCTTTTCCGTTATAACTTCACTTGAAGTGGAGGCTTTTCCGTCATGGGCACGTTTTCTGTTCGGTAATCGAATTTGGTCTCTACAACACAAGGTTGCATCATCGAATAAAAGAAAATAAGAATAGCCTACACATAATACTCGTGCATTTGGAAATCAGAGAGAGAATAGCCAAACATTCCAAATACATCGCCACAAATGAACTGAACGTTGAAGTCTCTGCAAATAGAATCTATTTCGATAAGCTGCTTAGTGGTTAAGCCGGTCGCAACAATTATGGTAAAGTCTTTGTAAAATGCACTAGTCTTCTCGCTTAAAGGTGATGTATCAGTTGTAATTTTTACTAGGGGATTCAAAGCTTGCGCTTTGGATAATACTGCTTCAGCAATCTGCAAATGGAAAACAACTGAACTAACTAAAATAATTCAAAGCACACCTTTACCTTTTGCCCAATACTGTCTCTGTTTAAGAGAAAGTTTTGTAGTAACTCGTTTTCGGTGACCACTCCTTCGTCTAAGATGGTAAGTGAATTGATGCCAGACAGTAGGATGTTCTTGGCTATTTCCGATCCTAAGCCTCTTATTCCAATCAAAAGCACATTGGCGGCCCTTAATCTAAGAAGAAGGAGGTTAATTGTTTTACATGTTAACATCATTGATTACCGTGATTGAGATTCGATACCCCACAAACGGATTTGTCGGTCATATAATTCTGCTTCTGCTGCTGATAGTTCTTTTTCAGACATTTTTTAGAATATATATCCAAAATGAATAAAATAACAATTATCCAAAACAAATTTGTACCGGCTTTCTGCTAGCGTCAAAAAATGGCGTCAAATTTATAGGAGTTGCCGGTGTTGCAGTTTTTTTTACATTTCACTGTTGCCGCGTGTAGCGAGTACAAGTGAACTACCAAAGACGTAAATATCTACACATACGAGTAAAAATAAAAGAAGAGAACCTGCATTAAAAGGGGTCGAGACGGAAATAGCCAAAAAGGAAGTTATAAGAGTGGGGAGAAACGCGTCATTATTGCCAGTGGTGTTGTTGTGTCCGGGGTTCCACTGCTCCTACCCGGTGCAGTTGCCTCCGAGGTTCGAATAATACACTGCGGTGGTTCAACAGGAAATGTTATCGCACAAATTAACAGAATTGACAACGACGTATATTTTTATGTAATTCAAATTCAAAATTATTTATCACGTTACTAACTCTACCGTAACTTAGTAACTGCTACAAAATACAACAGGTGTAATAAAACAAAACTGAGATCGTCTCTTCTGATTTATGATAAGTCAAGTCGACATAACTGACCAGCGCAAAGGAAGTAATATGATGACGACTTCCGTCGCGTGTTATTCTATTTCCCACCACCGTTATATTCTCTCCTCTTATTTTACTCGTAGATCTACACTCTACCATTGATTATACACAGCAAATATATCATACTACCATATATATAATGCATACTACACTAGATAGCCAGCGTATATGCAAGAGTTGTTTCGCATTTAAGTAGTTCCATAAAAATATTATAGGGGGCTTTCAAAGTTAAGAACGTAACTGATTCATCCGAAGCAGTCTTCTTACGAGTTCGAATCATATTATAAATACACAGAATGGTTATTGCCTAAACATGAGACACATTAACATGACCTACTGAACATTCCTCACGTTCATTATGATAAAATTACATGTGTACGTGGGCGTCATTCAGGAAAAGATAGGTTCTGTTACAGATAAACATAATTGGAAAGGTTTTACACATTCCCTTTGTATTTTTTTAACCAACGCCAAGCCAACCAATACATTTTTCAGATTTTTCGGTTTAAATTAATCTTCAAATACCTATATATACTCAGGCATATTTACATTGCAACAGTAAATTTATCTCATTTAGATTTTTTGTAATTAAGCGTTTTGTGATTGCAGTAAACGAGATCCCGCTTAGTCTCCTACATAGTAAAATTGTGCTGAGTTAAAGCGAGTCGGAACTTACTGAAATCGATCTCATTGATCAGACTGGAAGGGGGGAGGGGGGATGGTTGATTTTACCTTTCAAGGTATTCTAATTAAAGATCTCAACGAACGGAACTGTTTTTTACCTCTATCTTTAGGTGGAAAGCAGTTCCTTTGGTTGAGACCTTTAATTAGAATACCTGGGGAGGAGAGGGCGTTTTAGGAATTGACTTTATTTTTCATAGTACCTACTCTAATGAAAGGCCCGAGAGATTGTAAGTCGCCCGAGCGTTAAATGTCGAGTAATGCGTGAGGTGCATATACACATATATTTGACAGGACGTTTGAGGACATAATGGGATGACAATCCACTATGCTCTCTAATTAAACCCTTGGATGTCATAGACTACTTTATATGTATATCTCATATGACAGATATAATTGGCATACAATACGCAAATTAAAAATAATTAACTATGAAATCCTCGTCGCTTCTGGTTATACACCGGAGTCAGGCTGCTATATAGGCTTTGCAGAGTAAGTTTAGCGTGAGAACAAGAGGTAAAGTATAGGAATAGAGCGGAAGGATGTTAAGGGATACTGTTAAGGGTGTTGAGAGAGAAAAGATATGTAGTGTGAATCAATTAGGTTTCGATTGCGCCTTAGTAGAAAAATGTATAAGCAACCAACAATACTCAATCATTTCAACTTTCAGATGTAGATTCTAAAAAAAATGTCATATACACACATTCTTTGTGTAAAAATTTAATAACTTTTTGCTATTCTGGAAGTTCTAGCGCAAAGGTGAAGGTGGATAAGGTTTAGAGTGAATGTGGCCCAGTTTATTATTTTATTTATTTTTGCTTATATTTTTGAGTGAGAGCCTCGAAGATTTAAGTATTTGTGCAGCGCAAAGTAGTTTACGTTTTTATATATATAATCGATTTGTACGGACGATTCGTTGTCGATGAAAATTTTACTTTTTAGCTAGCGTAAATGAAATTATTGATTATTATTGAGTGTGAATTACGGGTTTAGTATTCGACGTACCTCATTTGTGTCAAACGTTAGGCATGGCTATCGCAGTATTTATTTGCCGCGTTAACTTTTGATTACAAACTGGTTTTTATAATCGAATCGTAATTACTAGATTTGTTTGAACAATCATTTAACATCTACTAATCGTTGATGTTTCCTTTAACATCCAAGATAGTAGGTTCAGTTTATAAGATTGTTGGCACATGCACCCCAAAATGTTCACACAATAAAGAAGTGACAAACTGTAATGATCTGACAGAGTCGGATGGTTGTGTTGTTTGGGGCTGTGGTCAAGTTGGACGGCTTGACATAACAAATGGAAATTGTGGTCATGTTCGGTGTTCAAAATAATACACAAAATTTTATTTCTTTAGCTCAATCATCAAGTACTATAATGTTTAAATAATAACATATTTATGTCACAATTTGTACAAACAAATTTAATAAACGACAAACTAATGCTAAAACACATTAGTTAAGTATACATACGGATCCAAACGTATTTGTCAAAATTTAATAGAAGTTTTATATTAGGATTACGAGGCTGTGTATGTAGCTCAGTACTGACAGAAAGGCTTAACTGATGGAAATACTGTTAACTTTAGATAAATCTGTATCGCGATCACTTTCTCCCTCATTAAGTTTCCTTCTAAATTTATTATCTAGTCTAGCATCTCCAGCGAAATGATCAGAAATTTCCTGTAAGCTTCTTCCTTCCGTTTCAGGAAGTATAAAGTACAATACCAAGCACCCTACAAAACTTATCGCCGCGTAAAACCAATAAGTTCCCGATATGGTCATGGACTTGATCATATCTAAGAATAATTTATTGGCCAAAAACCCAAACAAGTAAGAAACCGCGCTAGAGATTCCACAACCTGTCGCTCTGGTGTTGTGCGAGTATATTTCCCCAATTAAAATCCACGGCAATGGTTTCAGTCCGCAATGGTGCACAAAGGCTAGGATAATTAAAAATACCAAAGGAACCCAATTGTGAGAGTCAATAGTTGGTGTTGCGGACGCGTTTGCAGCGTCGTTTAATTGTAGATAACGAATATCGTTGGTGTAAGCGTACGTTCCAACAACAATTCCGCATATTCCAACCGCACATATCGAGACAAAAGCCATGACTCGCTTCCCGCACAGCCTTACGAAGAAAACGCAAACAAGGCAACCGATAAATTCGACAAGTCCGAGAAGAATTGTCGCATGATACTTGTCCATTGGAGAGTTTAGTGTCCCAAAAATTTTAACAGCGTACGTTTGCAATGTCCAAGAACCAGTAAAATTAGCTAAAAAGTATATGAAGGACACCATCGCGAGCGGCCATAGAAAACTTTTCTTGATGAAATTTTTCGAGTTCGCCAGTTTTTCTTTGAAGAACGACGTCGGCTGGTCAACAAACGATTTGGTGTTCACATCTGAAACGCTTCCGTCAAACGCTTCATTTATAGCTCCAGTTTTCCTGGAAACGCGATGACTTAAGCACATCGCGTCGAATTCCTCCTTCACGGCGTCAAATGTAGTCCACCCTCTTAGCCAGGCTAGACTTTTTTGAGCTTGCTGTATTTTGTTGCGCATGATCAGCCAGTGCGGACTTTCGGGCATAAAACACAACAGAATGAACGATAAGACCGGCGGCGCGACGGAAATTAACGCTACGGTACGCCAGTGTAGCACGCTTCCAATTACGAATTCCAGCAATATTCCGAAAGTCAGCGATAAGGTGCTCGATACGGAAAGCATCCCTCTTAGACGAGGCGTCGTAATTTCTGCGACGTAGGATAATACCTGTAGACGATTTTATTTCGAGTTTCGACCTCAGTTTAGGGTTCTTGAGTATTACTTACCGGCGCTTCGACAAGACCACCGCAAAGTCCTGTTATTGATAGAGCCAAGTAAACGTGCCACACTTCTTTCGCAAAGTTGAATGTTAACCAAGACGCTGCCAGAGGAAAGCATATCACTTGCATTGAACGTCGCCTGCCTACGGGTGTTGTTAAAACTCCAGAAAGTAGGCAACCGATTGGTACACACATTAGGTTGATTGATCCTGGAAATGATACGAATTAATAGTTATACAGTACTTGACTATGAAATTTAATTTAAGTATAAAGTCTAAGTGCTTCTGGGCACTTGGGGCTTAAGTACAAATTTATTAGAAAGTTTTCGCCAGCTTAAAAGAAAAAAGTACTTAATATTTGATACTGAAGTACAATGTGACGCATTTTTGCTTGTACTTAAATAGTGCTTATACTACCTACTGAGTAAACCATGAACTAGCATAGGTTTGAAGAGTCTGAGATCAGCCACAAAATTCTCATAAAATAATGGACAAATATCCTGGAGAAATTTGTGATTCAATATTTAGAAAACGTATTACACCTAGTATACCGTGTGCTGTTAGGATGTGCGGTGTTTGCTGTGTTACATGGGGAGTTCGTATCGCGCAAAATCATGAAAACGCAACATTGAACAATTTGATGTAGATCTTTTCTGTGTAACACAACAAACACCACGCATCCTGGCAGCACAGGGCATGCTAGATTTCGTAAGTTTTCCAAATATTGAATCAGGATTTTCTTCATTTTTTTGTGTATATCGACCATATTTTATGCGTATTTGATTGTATTGTACTGCAGATTGTTTGTTATTTTCAGACACATTAAAAAATATATCGTGATGACACACACAACGAAAAACATGTGGGGGGTCTATTGACCCTAGTCGGGTACCATAGGTAAAAGTTAAAAATTTTCAAATTTTTTAAGAGTTACAATGAAACTTTTTAATTTAATTTATACAGTTCAAAAATAAGAAAAAGTCATAAAACCACAAACCTATGTTGCCAAAAATAAGGACGATGTATAAATTTAATTCTTAAATGTGGTCAATTGACCCCCCTGAGGATTTTAGTGTGCTTTAAGTTTAAATAACATTCGGTCGGTGGAGATTGATTAAAGCATACAAAATAAAGTACACGCGGAGTCTCGTATTCGAATAATCAAGTGCATCTTTCCTCGGACCCTTTGCATCTCTCGCACCTTCCATAGATCGCTTCTTTGTTAGCGATCACCGATTAACTTGGACCGCCTTTTCCGTATGAATCGCTGCTTAGCATCCACCGCGTTATACAGTCGAGAGGGGAATATTGCCTTTCTGGTTCCCAGATAAGGCCGGCAAGGATTTACTTGGCGACGGCCCTTAAGGGAAACTTCCACCCGGTTCAAGCGACTCCTGAAAATCAGTTGAATCGGATTACAAGCACGGAGATGATGATACTTGGGTTCAAGTCCGATGTATCGACCGAATGCATGAACGCAAAATACCAGTGCTGTATCAAGTACCGTAAAGCCCGCAGAGTTTTAACCCTACAAAGATTACCGACACCAATAACACAGGCGAGTAAGACGGCGAAATGAAACTAGCTATCAAATTAACGGGTTTGGGGAATAATAATGAAACAGGCTCTCTACGAATGCAAACTAAACGGAAATAAATTAAAAGGAATTATGGGTTTCTAATCTGGTATGTAATGATGCTTAGAATATGGTTCTGGTGCTGGTTTCGGGTCGGTAAGAGGTGCAGGAATTAAGCTCTGAACTCTTAACAATCACACTTTTATAGGGCTAAGGTGAAGCACAAAACAGGTGAGGAATTACGAAAGGATTTAATTTCAAAGGATGGGGACGACATCAAGCGACATCTAACGGAGGAATTTTGCAACAGGATGTCTACAAATAAAATTTTGGAGAAGAACACGACACAAATAATATAAGTATAATCAGTGCCCTTAGAAACTTCATTAAACAACAAGTATGGCCAGAGTGGCAAAATAAATACAGTGCGTCAATTTCAAAATTACGGGAAATTAAACCAAATGTAATCATAATATTACAATCTCCATCTACCCGGAAAGCCCAAGTTATAATCAATAAACTAAGAATAGGACATACAAAAATGACTCACGAATATTTGTTTAATGAGTCATGTCATACACCAATTATAGTCATTAAATTATACAAACATATCAGCGCAAATAACACTACGCGGTTATAAAAAAATAAAACAAATTTAGAACAATTAGTATGTACTTAAGCCATGAAAACAAAGACACGAAAAAAGAGCAAAACTGTAAAATTTTTATTTGGAAATTTAGACCACGATGATGCCGAGTATTATGACAAAATTAAACAATTTATTAATAATGAGTAGTGATTAACAAATCTAATAAAAGGCAAGCCGTAGTAATTAAATGGACAACTTCAAATTTCAATGCAACATTAGGACATTGGGATCAACGGAAAAAAATTGATTCAAAACCTGAAAAAAATTGAAGAGGTTTTAAAGGATAAAAATTCACAAATAAATTTATAGATAAGCATATTTGATGTTTAATTTAATATTTATTCATCCTTAATTAATGCAGCGTTAATTGCCAAAAAGGGGCTCATAAAGTCATAACATGGATCACCGGTTTCACGCACCAGTGAAAAAGTTTTATGTAAATTCGTTATTTAAATTTACTAGCGCTTGGCCATCGTACTCTGCAACCTTGTTTGTATAATTTAAAGGCGTTACAACGGACACAAATAAGATTACATGACTAATGGCGCAGATGTAAAAAAGGGTAGGTATGTGCTAATGGTGGTAGGTCATGTTTATCTGATAGATAACCTCCTATACGGTACCATAGACTCATAGAAGACCGGCTGTTACTTACATGAAAGTGTACCTACAGATACCACGCATTAGTGCACAGAAGTAAATTTGTTTCACGCTTCATGGTTCGCGCACTTCTTACACATTTTCATGAATTTTTGAATTGATAATAATTCGCACCAGTCAGACAATCCGAACCTTTAAAACTTAAAGATCAATTGTCAATGTTTTTGATGTGGTACATTCAATTACCTACTTATAGTGCTATCTTTTGCACATGCAGTAAACAAGGAATTACGCGATAAAAAAGGCAGTGTAACAGGAACATGACCTGGAAAAATATTCGAAGCAATACAAATGCCAAAAGGGTAATATTTACAGTCAGGCTTAGAGAATACGGCGCCACATCCTTCCATGAAAAGTCTACGTAGAAGCTCTCAACTAGATCTGGTTGAAGTACATGCAATCGTTGGCCAATAGTAACGGCCTTTTGAGCTCAGAAAGGCGCTTTTCTGGTTTATCTGTAACACAAACAAACAAGAGAGATAGTGATCTAGCGTGGTACATAAATATTGCGATAGCAATGTCTAACGTTTGACACTAACCATTTAGATCAAATACTAAAACCGTACTTAACACTCACTGAATATTACTACCTAGATCGATATCAGTTGTGGAATATTTACCTTCGCCGAAGTTGAACTGTCACACCCTTGGGAACATTACCTGACCGCCATCTTAATATCGACATCACGTGATTGAAATTATTTACTAAAGAATTGCGAATGCGAATTGCGGTTCCTGATTTGTAACCGCAATTATTATTTACCGATCATCTTTAGGACAATATTGATATTGTGAATTGCTTCGATACTTTTGATTTTGCGTACATTTACTCTTTGTCGTTACGAAGAACACATCTTTCGACATTCCGATTTTATGACCTGTGTATTTTAAATTAATTTTTGAAGTTACGTTATCTTTTTGCACTTTACGAGTATATGCCGCGCTATCACTACCCATTTCTTGTTTTTTGTTGTGTTTTATCTGATTGCAGATTATTGGCAGAAAGCTCGGAGACCCGCTAGTTTAACGGTAATATTTTAATTTCGTCATATTCACATTTCTTTGCCCTTTATCAAGAATAGAACAAGAATCTCTTAGTCTATCTGTTCCCGCTCAGCAAGTATTTACTCTCTTTTTAAATTGTCTATAAAACTAAGTGGCGCCTATCCGGTTTTTTAGTTAATTTTTTCTTTGTTGACTAGCCGCAGAAAAGAACCCATTAATCATCCCGACCCATCTCTATTTTGCCTGAACTAAGGGCAATTTTGTTGCGCATGTAACAAACTTCAGCACAACTAGTTTGACAGGTGACTGGATACCCCTCCATCTGCTTTGTCTATGAGTACTAACATTTGTTCAGCACCATAATTTCCTGAATCTTTGGGTCCTTATCGTACACAAGGCAAACCATATACAGAGCAGAATGGTCCTGTTTGTAGTTAGGACAGCTCTTCGGAGTTTCGCAAATATATATTTTTCATTATTGCAGTTTACGGCTGAATGTCCAAATTTGAGACAGTTAAAGCATGTTAGGGGCGACGGTGTTACGATTAACGAGTACATGTTCGCTTTGATAGTTTTCGGAAGAGAAGAACCCTTAAACGCTAATATGTGGCCAATCCACATGCCATCGCATATAATTCTTGCTCTTTAATTTCTTCCACGGTTGAGTTTGATAGATCTGGACAATAAATGACCCCTTACATCTATTCAAAGAACATAGGATGGGGTATGACTTCTACATCCATGGCCGAAAATCTCTTGATGTTCATAAGTCGTGCACTTTGAGCTTTTTTAATGCTGGTCAGATTACCAACTAAACCAAATAATGCTTTTGATTTTATTAAGGGGCTTACCTTCGTAAAGTCCCCTTCATTCCTTTTCAGTAGCAGGAACTGGGACCATGGTCTTTTTTTCCTGTGTACCCTTCTTGGCAGTTTGTCCAGTGCCTTGGGCAGAAGTGCTTGCATACCCCGCAGTCTGGTCACTCACCACCGGTGCCGAGCAGTTGCTTGATATTGACGCTCCCTGCCGTTTCTGGGGCCAACACGAACCCTTGGGTAGTGCGAGATTTAAAAAAAAAGATACTATTCGTAGTCAAAAAAAGGCCATCGGCGTTACTTTTATGTTACTGCCAGGGTGAGCGTAAAAGTTGTTAAGGAAGGATAAAAGAGATAGTACAACAGGACTGTTTAAAGTGTAGAAGTCTCGTACCTAACCATACCTATTACTCAGCCCATCCGAGTAGCCAATCACTAAGACCTAAGAGTACCCGGTACTCTTTGCTAAGACCACCACATAAATGTGGATGCCTACCACACGGATTTTAAATTTTAAATTGGAAAGGTAGGTAGGTATAAGTCAATAATCACATACTAAGAATTCAAAATATTGGAGAAGTACCTACACCTGCAAAATCTGTACAAATTCACAAACTCACCTATCCATGACACTTGTTCTGGAGTCAGTTGAATTTCCTCATTCCGGTCACCACTTGTTAAACTCGGAATCAGTATCGTCGGATATCCGAGTGTCATTCCAAAAGAAACTAACAGAATGTTTTTTACCATAACGGCCACAAACTGCGGTAGGCCCTTCTGGAAGGAAGATTTCGAATCCCCCATTCCTTGCGAAATCATTAGGGATGCCTTTCTGAAAAGAAAAAGCTTGATTATGTCGTTTTTATTTACAATTTGTGAACATATAAAATGGAATTTTACATAGTTTAATATGAACTAATTACTCGAGATAACCTCTGCATGTTGTACACTTAACATTACATTAAGATTCAATAATTATTTTTGCGCAAATAAAAAGACTGCGTTCTGCATGACCTAAATAATGTTTTAGCTTATCATTATGAAATTTACTGGCGCCATTAACGTAGAAATTTATTAGTAACAATAACCAGTAATGGCATAAGCAGGGATTACGGAATGAAATGGTTGGCATTTTTCCCACGACCTCCAATAAATGGCTGATATTCATATTATTAATATCTACACCCAGGGGTGGAAGGGGAACCATACACCGGCTCGTGAAATGTACCTGTCGGCTCACTCAGCGGCCGATGGAGGGGGGGGGGGGAAATTCACCTTCCTGACGAAAGCGTTTATTCGGCGTCTTTTATAAATCGATCGAGATATCGGCAACGAAACATCGTAGAACTTTCCGGTTTTCGGTATTATATACAAACTATCGTGTTATTCCTGCATCGGTTACTTTGACATCTGAAAGTCATTGGAGCACGAAAATCTGTAAATGAAACATCTGTGGAGGTATCTCCAATTTATGCGCGTCGACTCCGTTTGCATCAATTCCAACGAGGTTGAAGCAGCGAAAAAAGCAAGGAAAACAAAAGTCGATAATGAATTGTGACCGATCAGTTTTTGTTCACATTCGAGATGCGAAAACACCGGGCGATTTGTGGAAAATGTTGTGTAGCACGTGTGAATATAATGGTTCGATGCAGGGAATCGAACTTTCGCGCGAGCATAAAAATCACCGTAGAAGAAATCAAAATTTCTTGTAAGTGGTGGCGTATAGCACAGCTCTTTGTCTGTTTTGTGTTTTTAATTTTGAGTGACGCTGCCAGTCCCACCCACCGGGAAACTTCCCATTATCCCGCCGGCCCCATCTACCCCTGTCTACACCAGTAAAAGTCATTATAAAAAATTATTTAACAGACACTTTCTATGTTTATGCCACACCAATAAGTGGAAAGCAAAAAGCACATGTGGGTTTTGTTTTCTAATGGGCAAAACATGAGACATGAGTTGAGACGAGAAAACGCAATACGTCATTTTCACAAGCATTTGGATTTGATGAAATGTATTGTTTTCCAAAGGAGTCGTAGAAAAAACTACCGAGTTATTTTTTTAATTGTTATTTTTGTGTACCTACATTTAATGATTAAAATAAACTTTTTATACTAACACAGATATAAATACCTATACTCTATTTACATTTGTGATACTAAACATCAACAATTTATAACAACTTTAAGTAGGTACCTATTATACGAATCTTACGTTCCTAGACCGTGGTTTAATAGTCTCTTAGAAATGAGGTCTTGGTTGTTAAACGTGGAAACCATGTTGCTTAATAGATGTACTGTTTCAGCTATACCTTTAAATTCAAGTATTTGTTCAAGTATTAGGAGCAATAAATGACATTTTTGAAGGGTACTTAAAGATGTCTGTCCAGCCTTACTACGATGTGGTACTCTTATCGATTTAATTTGATAGTTCTTTTTCTTTATAGAAGACGAATCATTCACCAGTCTTATCTTTCCTATCTTTCTTGTGGGAACAAGATAGTTAACTAACGTATCGTCGTAAGATATGCCACTCTGATGTATGTTCTTGCAGTGTGAAACCTAGGACCATAAATTCTGCCAACGATTGTACATATATTCAATTGGATCCTTGCGTCTTTTTTGAGAAATTAAAGATGGCCTCCCCTTTTACATGGAAATTGATATCAAAGCTACCTACCTACCTCGCCTCAAGAAATGAACAAAAGCAAAGTGTTCCAAATCGGCCCGGAAACGATTGTTTCTAATTTTTAAGAAAGTAATGTGTATGACCAATGCATATAAGTAACGGGCGATCCTCGGGGCGATCAAAAATGAGTTGTTGTCGAGTCGCCTTTGGAAGTTCATATTAAATATGATTTTCCGCATGTAAATCAAAACTCCAAAGGTGATTCGACAGCAACTCATTTTTGATCGCACAGTATATCCATAATGAAGGCATGGCCGTTCCCAAAAAAATGTCTTTCATTTCTTCCTGGATTCCCTACAATAGCATAGGATGCTTCTCCTCAACGCAATACATATATTAAGGACACACACCAAACACGACGAATATTATTAAAGCGAGTGTTAAAGAGGATCAATCCAACCCATTAGGTACTAAGGACTAGCCCAACCTGAGGCAGACAGATGCATTCTGAACTGCTGGATCTTCTTTCCAATGCTTTAGGAATCTTCTTAGACATACCTATTCATTGAAATCTTTTCAAAAATCTGTTTACTAAAAATCGCAAAAAACTTTTTTGTGATCTTAGAAAGTTTCTTTTTGATCTTAGAAGTTTTAAAATTTGACCGCAAGTCTTCCTAGAAACCTAAAAAACATACTTTCTTTCTTGAATTTAACAGCCTATAAAAATGTACCTAACTATAAAGTTAGCAATAGAATTCCAGCAAGTAGGTAATTTTCTTTCCTCTTGAACATATCCAAAAGCCCCAATTGCGGAGAAGTGCGCAACATGTTACCATTGTAAATGTTAGGTCCCTTTTTTAAGTTTTTCTCCAATATCTCGAAAACTATCAATAGTCGAGTGCCTCGGACTCGGATTTCGCCAAAAATGAATGAATTTACATGTAACCAACGGGATTTTGTTTTTTATATTCTAAACTGGAAACTCTACCAAACAATTTTTGGTGCACTTGATTGCTTCCGTGTTAACACAAAAAAATATGAAAAATTAGTATTTCAGCATAAAAATGTTGTTTAAACTTTAAAATCACATTTTTGAGGGCATTTTTTAAAAACTAAAAAAAATGTGGTATTATTTGCGTTTTGTCGTCCTCCTGTCCGTTCCTCCGGACCCACTTCTACCGTTTTGAACTACTTCTAGAGGAATGGACCTAGAGTTCTGGATTTTTTGCAATGATAGCCTATACCTTGAAAGTGCGCCAGGCGGCCATCAAATTTCGCTGTCTTAAAGGGAGAGGGGCATGAATTATTTCCTGAGATGCTGTTTTTGAAAGTGCATAACTTTTACAACCAATTGGTCTCAGATTTTGCATACGCATGCCTTTAGTGGTGCCAAGTAACACATTTTTACAACTTTGTACAAACTATAACTCTCCCGAGTCCCGAGCGACTCTTTCCCAAGATCAGTGAGTGACGGGGCCGGGGGGTATAAATTAATTTTATCTTTCATGGTATTCCGATGAAACGTCTCAACGAAAGGAAACGTTTTCTACAAACCACCGCCCTTTTTTCTGACTCCTTATCAAAAGAGGGGGCTTGGGGGGGGGGGAGACTGGAACTGGGTTTATCCTTCATAGTAGGTGTCAACGAAAAGAATTAATTTCTCCCAACCATAGTTCTCTTCGATCCCTTACCGTGATTGGATATATTCCCTTATATCTCCAGAACAGATAGTCGAAAGAGGGTACTACTCATAAAGGGCGATTGAGACGTCTGCAAGAAATATATCCAATCCATCGCTGATATCAAAACTTTAAGAGCGAATATCTCGAAAACGGTTTATTGGAGGAAAGTACTCTCAAAGGCAAAATGAATCGACCGGACGAGACATCTCTATTGGTGAAGTCGAAGCAAATACCTTGACAACGAAGCGTCGGAAGAGGGAACTCCTACAAGGCAAGTGGAACGTCAGCACGAGACATATCTATTGTTGATGTCAAAGTTTTCAGTGCAAATATCTGCAGAATGGAGTGGCGGAGGATTTCGAATCTATGCCAGGCGGCCTTTAAATGTTTATGTGTAAAGAGCCTCCTCAATTAATCATCCACCAATAAGGTAAACATCGATAAATGGTACCAGGCTACTACCTTATAACCCAGCTATTTATTACGCTACTTCGTTTTAAAAAAAGCAGGTTGTATAACGTGGAGGGGAGAACGGCAGCTGCAACGTACAACGAAATTTCAAAAACAGAGACGAACTACAACGAATGATGGATGAATATTGGATGGAAGGGAGTTTGGAATGAAGGTAAACATCGGCAAGGCAAAAGTAATGCTGATGAGTAAAGAATATGAAGAAGTAAAGATACAGTTAGAAGGAGTTATCATGTACACGGACGGACGGACGGACAGAAAGTCTAAAATCATGAACGATCTCTAGGTTGCTCGTGAATAAAGAAACAGAAAAGATCTGCTAAATGATTAGATTCCGGTTTAGTGAAACCTATGCATGATATAAAAAGTGAAAGTGAATGCAGCCGCAATGTCAAACTGCATTCCCCAAAGACTAGGTATTTAATTGTAATTCACTTACTGTTTAAACAGCATTGCACTCCTTATACGCGTTTCACGTTCGATAAATGCATAGAAACAATCACGTCTATTATGTGATAAGTTTGGATAACTACTGAATTAACGACAGATCCACTTTCTTTAACCGCTACGCTATCACTTACTACTCCGAGATTAGCAAATCCCCAAGAAATCATCTCGCAAACTCAACTTTAACTACATCCAACTACATTCTACGTGCGGTAATTATAATTTTTATGACAAGGAAACGTGTTGCGTAAAGAGTACGGGATTTATTTTCAAGGTATTAGCATTGTATGGTACAATGGTATTACTCAAGTTCAAGTTCTTTTGAATAGACCCGTGCGCTTCCAGTATATTCTCCATCTGCTCCTTTAGATGTATCTCTGGCAAAATTTCCCATAACAAACCATTACTAATACCTTACGTAGAAGAGCATCCCAAAAGAAAGCAGTACATTCCATGGATTTGACAGCAGTCAAATTGCTATTTAACCAACAATTACACTTGCGTAACAATTTTCAAAATGTTATAAAGACTTTATTTGATGAGCACATTTTTCATTACCAGAATGTAGGTATAAGAGAACGATATATGCATGAAAAACTGGCATACAGAAAAAAAAGAGATATGGGGTTACGCCAGTGTAATGAACCTAGTTATCGGTTTATGTGAAAAGTATTTCGAATTGTTCCCTCGTTGGTACTTTGATAGAATTGACTATTAAGGCGAAATTCCAAAATGCAGCTCCCAGCTTTATCGACTTTGGACCGATAGCCAAAAAATGAGGGAATTGTGGTTTCTGGTGCTAAAGAGCTTTTGGGGTTAAACATGCGTTTTGATGCTTTCTTTTCTAACTAAAAGTATACCTTGTAAGTGGTGTCCCTGGGTAGTACTGACATATACTTGTGGAATTGCATGAGTAACTTTAATTATTTAACATTGAAATCATGTTAAAAATGTGTTTGGCTAATTAAAATTTTGTTAAAAAAAGCTTATCGGATGAGAAGTTAAACAAAACTGAAAACAATCGATTTCTAAAAAATTAATGTCTCCGTCATAATTGATGACAAAAGGTTTAGGATAAAACAAAAATGGCGTCAACATGGAATTCCGGATGATATCAATACAGCCACTTTCTGTGACTAAATGGTGGCGTACTTATTTGAATTTCATATTACAGGGTTTTTTTCAGGCACGAATGTAAACACTGTAACAGGGGCTACATTTCATGGTGCGGATATCGCTGATCGTTTTATGAAGCGGCAGAGCAAAGTGATACAAGCTTTATAGGGGAGTCGATGGTGTCTGTCTGTCCATCTGCCCGTGAACACGATAACTGCCAAACGCTTGGACGGATTCGGTTCAAACTTTGCGAAGTTAACCGATATGCCACATGTAAGAAGCCTATTGAAAATAGGTCAAATCCAATGACCCCGTAGCGTCACGCCTCTCTGTCTCTGGCAAACGCTTGAACTTATTCGGTTCAAACTTTGCACAGTTGGCACAAGTCTATTGAAAATGGGTTAAATCCAATGACCCCGTAGGGTCACACCGAGGTGCTCTGCAGCTTTTTATCCGCTGTATATGTTTATTACGTTTTATCTTTTTACGGTAATGTTAGATTTTTGCCCAAAATGTATTATTCACGGCTAGCTCAACTTTACTGAAATACTTTTCTACATTTTCATTAGCAAACTGAACTTATTTGTTTTCAACCGGAAATCTCTTCCGCCTTCGACCACTTTGATGGAAAATCAATACACAAAATCAAAAATATTGACATATATTGAAATTTAGATAATTCGATCGATCGGCCAGTATCCAAAACTGTACTGCGATATTGTAAGTGACCACTTTTTATTTTTTTATTTTTTTACACACAACTTGAGAACCTAGCATTTATAGATTTAACTCAATTAGAAGATTTCTAGTACTTAATATTGAATTAATATAGAAAACTTATTAATTTCTCCTAACTGAGCTCATACACGACTGGCAAACTTCATTTAAAGAATTTAAACACGTACAAAATGACTAGATTGAATCTTTAAAGGATATTTCTGAATGGTCCCTACTGAATACAAATAGCAAAATACACTTTACCTTAACCGTAAGACGTCTAAAACTACACATTGGGTCGTCCAACCTTGGAAATCTCGATAATACTCTATTTAGAACTCGTGGAATGGAAACAAAAACTCTTGATTCGTAGCGGGGAGGCTTTGCTGGTTGCAAACTCCTCAGCAATACGCGATGTTGCGTAATCTAAATGACGGAGTTAATTTGATACGCGTTAATTGCGTACAAGGTTATTTATAGCGGATGATTAACAATACCATCGCTTAATTGAACAACACCTATTGGAGTTGATTTTAAATTCCCGCGTCCGAGTTTCCGCGATCGTTCGTATTGTGCAATACTGTTTTTAAAATTGCACGGACTATCCTTGATTTAATAACCAATGAAATTACTTCCTTCTAGCACAGTACACGTTTATTATTATTTCCAATGAGAGTTTCTCCTTTGCCAACCGAACAATTTTTATTTGAATGCAAATCGCTACGGGCTACACACGCGAATTTTCGTTTTAAGTTTTTCAACTTACCAGCTAAGTTCACGTTCCTAACGCTGCGTTGTAGTAACATTATGAGAGATTTCGATTAAGCTATTTTGGTCATGTAAAAGCTATTAAAATTGTGTTATCGCCCGCCAGACTAGCGCTGACACCCGTGTGTTCTAATTACTAATTTAAAATGAAAAAACCTAAACACTCTATCCAGCTCCCTTTACAATAACCGTGACCAGTTCGGGAAATTAACTTAAATCTGCCCCATCGGGTTACATACTTTTGTCGTCTTTACACCACGAAGAATTTACTTTTCTGAATTTTAGTAGAAATTCCGATATCATCAGAAATTCCCCAGCAAGAAGTGGTGTAGGTATAGTATAGAGCATAAGATATCGTAAGATTTTGCTCTGAGCCTCTGACGTTAGCTGTTTTTGAAGAAGAGCGAAAGTGTAATAAAAAAATCCAAAAAAATGAGTCCTAGAAGAATGGACCGACAACAAGTGATTTCGCCCATATACTTCGTTGAAATCAATGACGGCAAGGAAACAAAAATTCCAAAGTTGACTCGCCAGCAACTCATTTTTGATCGAATAGTATAGTTCAAACGTGAATTCTCATTTGTTACAAAACTAATTGTTGCGAATCCAGAAAACTTATGTCAAAAGTGGTCGAAACGTAACCCCTAGTGTCCAGAAAAGGAGAAGTTCTTCCACTGACTGACAAGTACAGCAAAATCTCCCAGTTAACGCAATCTATTTCACTATTCAGTTTCATTAAACCAGCTAAAAAAAGTTGCTGTTAGAGGCCCAAAGATCAGTTCTCGTTTCAGGAGCCATGCATGAACTGGGAACTCACGGCTTTAAGTAATTTTCTTCAATTACATTTCCAAAAATTCCTTCTCCAAGGCTCACTTATTCTTAAAAAACATTCATCAAATACGAAATTTCATTTCTCACACCTTTTTCTGTGAATAATGACAGAATCGGAACGGGCACAAGCAAAATTCTATGTAAAGCTGCTAATTTTGGGGGTTTTGCGTGCGATTATTTCCTCGAGTAATCTGAGGTACACCGATCGCTAAGCAGAAGCGAGTTGACGTATTAGCTTTGCTCAGGACGTGGATCCCCCTATCTGGGATGGCGATTTGGGCTTTCACTGTGAATCATTGATTTAATTTCCATGTTATTGGTCAGTGGAATGATTTCTTAATCAACCCAGTACATTTCTATGAGGTACCTAAAGTGACGCAAGTGGAACTGATACGCGGCTAACCAGAAATCAATACTCTCAAGTTATTTTTTATTTATGTTGGCATAACAAACGAAATGATAAAAAATGACGAAGAGGAAAAATTTTCATCGATACTGGTGCAACCTCGATTAAAGCACTTTGATCGATGTGCGAAAAGAAAGATTTTTTCGCTTATTATTTGTAGAGCTTCCGCATACACACTTTAATTAGTTAGTGGTGATCAGTCGACTGGTTTAAATCAGTGAGAGTATTAAGTAGGTATTACCATGAATATGCAGAGGTATGTATTGTTACGTTTGTTTTAAATTAGACACAGGCAAAGAAACTATCTTATATGTCTAGTTTCACAGGTTAACCAATCATTAAAAATATTAGACTAAAAGCGCAAGCGTCTCCTGTTACTACTTTTAATTATTGGTCAATTGCCATCACTTGTGAAACTGGAAAATAATGTTCTAAGTGCAACCTAACTTATGTTAAAGCGAAAAACCAAAACCAGTTTTCTTTTGAAAAATTCAAAAAATTTCTGCAATTTTTAAATTTGATTAGTCTAGAATACCGTATGCAAATAAATTTCAAACATCTGGTATGCTTTTAAAAATGAAACAATTCCTGGTATAGGTATGTGACAACCCCACAGATCATTATTTTTTAATTCTTAAAATGCATCATATTGAAATTAGCTTCTAGAAACCTCCCCCATTTTTTGTCTCCATGTTGTCTCATCTGACACAATGAGACAAATGCAGAGTCTCGCAGTTTGTGTACCCATAGGTATCACTTGAAACGGAAACTTCCAAGAAGTGCATTAAGTGCAATTGCTAGAAAATGTAGAGAATTCGCAGAAAATTATCGCGAGTCAAAAAATGTGACGCATAGTAGTGTGACTAAAGGTCAACTAAATGGGCAATCTAGGTTTAGAGGTAAAACATTAAAAAATCGAAACCAGCTTCAAAACAACAACAAAAACAACACGCTAATCGTTACCAGAGTAAATGAACTGGCGTGCAGCTAAATATAATCACTTATGATAAGTGAAGAAAAACTTCCGAATATCAATGGAAAAATTGTTTGGTGACGTAGGGGGACCTAATTATCAGAGAAATAAAAATGTTTATTAGAGAGAGATCGCAGCATAATGCAGTGTGCGTATTACTCCCCTTCTACTGACTTATGCTCATAAACTGGAAACAGAGTGTGATATTGGTATAACCATTTCCTGGTTCAATACGATGTAAAGGTTGTTTGCACTGTTTTATGCAAGGGAGTGGCTTTCTTATATTCCATCAGAAAGTTCTTTTATAGCGTATGGTTTCCTAACAAATTCGAGCCCTTGGAGTGGAGGAAAAAGAAATTTTTCAGAAACTCTTCCTGAAAACGTCCTTGTGTTCTGTTCGTTACCATTAAGTTGTTTACACTGTTTACTAAATGATTGCGTGTAAGTAATGGCGCGTTAAATTAGATGGTTTCTTTCGTTTGAATTTTGTTTGTAAATAGGATAATGTAGACAGTGCTAGCATGATTATGCTAGTCTTGCAAAGTGAAAAGGACAAACAATCTATTAATTACGATTATTTTGTCGTTCAAATATCAACTGACAGAGGTTATCTGAAAGCAAAGGCCGGCCGACAGAGCTAAACTAGACTGATTAATAATTCTAATTTAGAATGACTGATATAGAATCCAGCACGTAGCGAATTGAAGTGGTGATCCCTTCAGTTACATAGGTTTTGGCCATTGATCTTTTTCCCTTTCCCCGTGTTCCATCAAAATTTTGTTTCATCATTAGTTTTATTTTGCGTAAAGCCCAAAGTTCACAAAATAAAACTGAAGACATAGATTTCGTGAAAGTGTGTACTAAATCAATACCTTATGCTATGGCATGATCCATGATGTCAATGGTTAAAAAAAGGTATTTCATTCAGAATGGCCTTTTTAAAAGGTCGAATTTAACCTGTTCACTAAAGCAATAAAATACAATTTGCAAGAGTAACTTTTATCTAGGCAGCTTAGCTCGAAGAAAGTTCTGTGAAACAGTCAATAATAAGTTCCCCATTTTTCAGACATTTAGAAGAGTGCATCTTGAATGTTTGATGCAGAACTATAATCCCTTAGACAGTTTCAAAATAGACGTGGCATAGAAACATGAACTATTTTCTCATTTCTTAATAGATCAATGGTGCAATGATTTTTTCAAAATTTCTTCGCAGGTTGGAAAAAAATTCAATCATCTTACGTCATGTTCATGCTAAAACATGTAACTTTCTAAGGGATCATAGTTTAGTTTTTCTAAATGTTTATAAAAAAAGTCTCCATAGTCCATAAATAGGAAAGTTGGTATTGCCGCATTGGGCAATCTTTGCATGCGCACATCTGATTTTTTCAATATGTGATATGTTTACCTTTACTAGAAGCATCTGTGGTTAAAATTTCAAAGAAAGGTCTATAAAGCTGGTATTGCTCAGTCTGCGCATGCGTACATCTCATTTTTACAATATGCGATATGTTTGCTTTTACTAGAAACATCTGTGGCTAACATTTCAAAAAATAGCTATGAATTCGAAAGTCTGCATAACATGTAATGTTTCCTTTTACTAGAAGCATCTTTAGTGCAAATTTCAAAAAATATCGTTATAAATAAGAGTTAACATTGTGCAGTCTGCACATGCGTACATCCGATTTTTAGTGTAGGTATGCGATGGGTTTGCTTTTACTGGAACTATCTGTGATTGAAATTTCTACATAATAGAAAATAAGAAAAAAATTGATATTCGCAGCCTGCGCATGCGCACATTAATCGTCAAGATTTTTCTTGGGTCAGATGTGAGCACTATGAGCTACCGAAGTCAAAAAGAACCAACTAAATATTGAAAGCTGTAGAAGCAGTTGGGGCCTTGGACGGACGGATGAACTGAGAAAGTGGCCATAATAGCACTTTCCAACACGAGTTGGAAAATGCCCTTTACTCTGGATATTTCTTAGGATTCACAAAACACCTATAGGACAATATGTTGAATAAGAAAGAAGAACTGGAACCAGTTCAAACAATATAAAATTAAAAAAAGAGGGCCCCACAGATTGTACTTCCACTTCAAATGAAAAAAAAAACGGTTTACCAAACCGCCGATTAAAGGTCGAATCTCGCGGGCTAAAAATAAAAAGTTACTTGTAACGGGGCAAGGCGAGCGAAAAAACAAATCTGCAGTTCAAGAATTGTTCTGATCAGACCAGTGTTTGGCAGTTATGTAGCTTATGGTTTGTCTAAAAAGCCAGTACAAGTATCAAATTTATATATAGCTGTATTTTTGATTTATTGTGTTGAATAATGGAAGATTATGCACTGATAGCAGTCTATTATAGTGGTAGCGGTATATTAAAACAAGATACGAAGAATCCCATATGATTGTCAGTTGGAGCATTTTTTGACACTCAGCTCGCGTTCGGAAACACGACTTTTAATCTGGTTCATATATCAATAATACTGATCCTTGAACCCGTAGGAATGGATTGACGAAGATTTGACTCTCTTTTCGTTCTCGAGTTAGACGAGGAACAGGCGGACAGACGAACAGACGGACGAACAGACGAACGGACAGACGGGCGGACAGACGGACGGACAATACTATCACGCAAGGGAAATTTCTTTCCCAAAATTCTCCTAAAAACGGAATCTTACACAGGCAACTAAATAAATCCTTCTCTATGTCCCCAAAAGCCTATCTTATTTCGTATAAATCCAATATAGCGCCCATAAAGAATAAGAAAGTAGTAGCCTGTAGCTTCTATATCTAGCGCGTTATGGAAATTCTGACCACAGATTCAGATTCTCCGAAGAAAAGTGCCCATAGAAGTGCTAACTAGAACAGTCCATTTCCGACCGTTTAAGCTAGGGACAATGAAAACAAAATTTGACATTTTCAGTTTTCCGTTGATACCTCAATTATTTTTAACGATTTTTCAAAAATTTCAAATAAGTTTTTTTGTCACAAAAATCGGGAACTGTGGCCCCCTTTTGGATGAGCCACGAATTTGAACCACCCTGTACATCTTTTTCTGAATGTTTTCTCAGGTACACACACAGATAGGGATAGAACCAATAGATTTAAATAAGCCGAATGTGGTTCTACAAACAGACGTTTTATTGTATTTCTTCGGATGTTCCGTGTTGTGCCGAATAGGGGAATTTTTCTGATTACCTAAGCTCTTTCCGTTTTTCGAATTTTCTTGTTTCTTTAAATTTTTTATATTTCTTCAGTTTTTAAGATCCTTTCAAGTGTTTAGTTCGGGATTCTTTTCATTTCTAAATTTGTGATTCTTCAATGTTTAAATTCTTTGGACTCCTCAGGGTTTTTGCACCTTTGTTTCAGAGTAATCCCAGTTTTCCCTTATTGTTCAATTTCTTTACATTATTAAAACTTCTCCGAGCTTGTGATGTTTCACGATGTATATGGTTGAAAATATTATCCTCCATGTCGGTACGCCACTGATTTTACTTACTGACTCGTTGACTTGTAGTTGCTCCTTAGCTGCTCCTTGCTCGTTGTATAAAACTTATCTTTTTTGCTTTGCCTATATAAATACACAACTATATCCTAGATATGTCCTATTCAGTAAATAATATAGTATTGATACATCCAAAACTTAAGTTAGGTAGATTTATGACAAGAAAAATTGGGAACATTGTGCTCAGATAAAGCGACAATTTAAGTATCCCATCGATACGTTACTTGAATTATACCTTTAAATCAATAAATACTGTCAAAAGCAGGTCTGCTTTATTTATGATGCAAACGTTATAGGTTACAATTCAAAAAAATAAACAATTCTTCTCGTTTACCCACCGATACGTCGAAAATTTCACGTTTGAATTTAAATGAACAAATTAGAAATTACCTATTCACTGTTAATTTGGTAATATTTATACATTGCTATTTATTAAGAAGTAGACATAGGGAATTACATGTATTGTTTCTCCCTATGTCTACTTTTTTAAATGACAAAATCTCTTCTTAAGTGCGCCTAATTTTATGCAACCAAAATAACTTCTTGAAACAATTAATTTGAATATTTTTGCTTTGAAAATTGGTATAGTGCCGGTAACAGTTCAAGGAGCGTAAGAGATTTATTTTCTGTGAAGTCAAAGCAACAATATGCAAATTAATGAATAATGGCAGCCATATATTTATTTGTTTTATGAAGTTATTTTGGATGCATAACATTAGGCGCCCTTTAAAAGAGATTTTGTCATTTAAAAGTAGACAATCCACGTAAGTTCCTATGACTACTTCTTAATAAAACGCACTGTATATGTACAGGGTGTAAATGGAAAAGTGGAACATAGACGTTTAACATGGGAAATTACTTTTTCTTTGCGCAAACGTTTCCTAATTATTTTACGCAAAAATACTTCAAATAAAAGTTATAGAGATATAAATTCTGCATCTAAATCATGTGAAACGATTATTCTACCTCTTCTTGTACGCGAAAAAATTAATTATAAAAACTCACGAGCTTTAGTCTAAGTAGCCATGGACTATGATAAAAGAAAAACATAGTCCATGGCTACTTAGACTAAAAACTCGTGAATCTTTATAATTAATTTTTTCGCGTACAAGAAGAGTTAGAATAATCGTTTCACATGATTTAGATGCAGAATTTATATCTCTATAACTTTTATTTGAAGTATTTTTGCGTAAAATAGTTAGGAAACGTTTGCGCAAAGAAAAAGTAATTTCCCATGTTAAACTCCTGTGTTCCACTTTTCGATGTACACCCTGTACATAGTAGGTAATTCAAAAATATATTCAGGTACCATCTCAGAGCGAATCTGCGACCAAGCAGCATCTGAAACCGTGTTGTATAGGGCGCATATCGCTTTCACTGTGATGGTAAAGGCCTTCGAGTCGCAGTGTGGAGGATTTAAAATTGACTTGGCTAGGATTAACTGAAAAATCAATATTTCTGAAAGATCATAGCCCGAAGAGCTGCCAAAAGTGAGAAAAATTATGCTACTACGAATCATATTAAGACATACCACCTACAGTGGACTTACAAATTCGTAGAAGATCGGCTAGTTTTAGATCGACAAAAAAATGAAAATTTCGAAAGAGCTGAAGAGAAATTATGCTACCATAATTACATTAAGGGATACAGTACACAAACCACCACAAAATACTTACTGAATTTGTCCAGGAGCCGAAATGTTAGGGTGGCGGAATACCTGCCTGAATTATCCGGATGCGAATTGTCTGAGTGTAAAATATTCGGGTGGGAATTGTCCTACTGCCATTATTTGCATTGTATATGTTTTTCTGTTCATCTGTGACCACGATCAAAAAGTCATTTCAAAATGTATCAACAAGTTTCTTTGCAAATTTGTGTTTTAGGACTATAGAAAAAGGGACCATTGCTGTTCATTAATTTTGAGCAACTCTGTCAGTTAAAACCTGTTTGAACCTTCACTTTGACCTTGACTTCACTACTAAATTTAGATCGTGTACGAAGCCATAGTTTTTTAGATTCTTTCATTTCTTCGGATTTTTCCGATCTTCAGATGCCTTACATCCTTCTGTTTTGCCGTTAAAGATTCCACCTATTTTCACCGAAATTTACAGGTGCATCTTGAAGATCTTGAAGAGTGTTTCTGATCCATCAGATTGTTCGGATTCCACCGGTTTTTCCGATTATCCATTTCCTCAGATTCCTGAAATTGTTCAAACTCTTCGAGCTCTTTGGTTGCTTTGCAAAGTTTTTCATGCTTTTCGAATTCACCCGATTTTTCTCGCTCGTCATCACTAATTTCTTTGGATTCTTCAATTTTCGATTGGTTCGAATTTTTCAATTGTGTTTCAATTCTTCAGGTTCTTCGGATTTTCCATTTCACCACTTCTTCAGATTTCAGTTTAATCCGTGTGGCGCAGATGAGTTTAAGCTCGGATATGGTACTACGGTTCGAATCCGGTTTCCGGCATGGATATTTGTAAATGTATAGTGAGTTGGGTTGGTAGAGCAGCCTTGGCTGAAACTGCGCTCACTAAAAAAAAAAATAAATAAAATGAAGAGCTTATTAGTGTAAGCAAAAATTCAAGAGTTAAGAACATTTGCTGAATAAACTCGCAACGGAATCGATACATTTTAATTAACTGATACCGTACCGCTTTTTATACATTGTAATATCTATTCACCGTGATGTTTGTACTTACCAAGCTTAAAAATTGATACTACACTAAACGATGTTTTAGTGCCAACCTGCCACCCTTACTCCTCCCCTTTAAATCACGTACCCAACAAAGTTGAAACAGCTAACATTCACAATGGATGCTTAATTCTATTTTAGGCAATACGTGTTTGACTGTAACGCCGAGTCCTTGGCACTACCCCACATACAGTGTATCCCATGTCACATGTTAAAAGTCAGTGAAAGACAGGCTTTTGCATTTTATGGATAATACTCCATTGGATGACCAACTGACTCACATTGTCATATGTAGGCTACCAAGAGGTAGGTATGCAACAATACAATTTCACCATTGTCCTACTAGTAGTAAGCAGCTTTAGTATAAACATATGTTATTCTTCCTAATTACGTTGCAGTTCAATTGAAACCAAATATGGAACAACATCCATACCGAGAAAATCCGAAACGGATCGTCGCTCGGCGTGGTCCCAAATCCTAGCAGTATTAGTCAACAACATCATGCTGGTGTCAAATGGAATGGTCGCAGGGTTTCCCATCATTTTAATTCCCAAACTGTCCCAAGAACACTTCGGCGCGTCATCCAACATCACCGAGGACCAGATGTCGTGGATGGGTTTGTATTTTAAAAACCATCGCAGTTAAATATTGAACATCGGTTCACAGGTTCGATTAGCTTTACCTGTTCGCTGATCGGTTGCCTCGTTTCCGGATTCATAACGCAACCAATTGGGAGAACGCGATCCGTGCAAGTTGTAGCTCCTTTACTTTTTCTGGCATGGATAATATTTCCGTTCGCCAATGAAGTCTGGCATATCTACTTGGCACTTTGTCTTTGCGGCTTCGCGTGCTCTTTGGTAGAAGCGCCTGTAAAAACAACAATCATTGCCTTATAACCATGACTAAATATTTTTTCAATAGATTTTAGCGTATAAATCCGAAGTATGTCAACCGTATTTGAGAGGAATGCTATCTGCTACGAGTACACTATCGGCGGTGACCGGAACGTTGATACAAATCGTCCTAGGTGCTTCGTGTCATTGGAGAACAGCCGCGCTGATTTCTAGCTCGTTTCCGGCATTAACCTGCGTTTTGCTGTTTTACATACCAGAAAGTCCACACTGGTTGGTTATGCACAACAAAGAGGACGCCGCACATGTGAGCTTGGCTTGGCTGCGCGGCTGGACGACGCTAGAGAATGTCCAAGACGAATTTGAAGCGATTTGCTGCAGCTGCAGTACAGACATCCAGAAAAGCGTCAACGATTCAAGAGGAAATGCAATTGAGCCGAAACCGAGGAGTAAACTGGCGGCGTATACCAAAAAAGGTTTCCTGTGGCCTCTTGGCTTGATGGAGTTTATTTTCTTCTTATCCCATTTTACTGGAAACACCACATTGCAAACTTATGCCGTGAGTCTATTTGAAACAATGCGTGCACCAATGGACGATTTTCACGCGACAGTTGTTTTGGGAGTAGCCGAAGTGGTGGGCTGTTTGATTAGCTTATTTTTTGTACGAGCCTATGGTAAACGTATAATGACCTTTGTGTCTCTTTCCGGAATAGGAATTTGCAATGTGGTTATTGCTACGTATGCGTACCGAATAGGCGTAAAGTATTTAGAACTTGATGACGGAACTGTGAATTCTCCATCGTCACACTATCATTGGATACCGTCATGTCTATTAATTCTATTGGCATTTATTGGACATTGTGGTATTAGAGTGTTGCCGTGGGTTTTGCTTGGAGAAGTTTTTCCACACGAAACGAGAGCGGTCGGTTGTGGTTTGGGGAGCGCTAGTTATAATTTAATGATATTCTTAGCAAATAAGTTATTTATAAACATGGTAAATGGGTTCACCATGGTTGGGGTTTATGTATTTTACGCTGTGATTAGTTTTGTTGGGTTAGTATACTTGTATGTTGCTCTTCCGGAAACAGAAGGGAAGAATTTGGAAGACGTGATTAATCACTTTTCAGAAGTAGCCATGTTAGATAATAACATACAAAGAAGGGATTCGAACAAAGCACATTATAGCAATGTATGTTAAGTTCCATATAACAAAATAAATACTGCCTATAAAATTGAAGTAATGATTTTGGTGCTTCCCTATACCAAGAAGAAAGTCCGATCATATGCAGGGAGGCCCATTGAAAACAGCTAATTTTGACCGCTTAACGTAACGTAACAATTATTCAAAATTACAGATAAAAATTTATTACTTTATTAAGTGTGTGTTCAACAACTTCCATACAATAATAAAGATTTACCTCAAAATGGCGTAAGTTTTGTAATATTTCTGGGGGTAATCTGACTGCATTCGTATATACGATACGTTGTCGTAATTCTTCTAAAAATTCAGGTTGTTACATAAATTTTAGATTTCAAATGGGCCCCCAGAAGAACAAATCTAACGGTGACAAATCTGGCTGGTAATTGGATAGGATCCCTACGTCCAGCCCATCTAGCATGGAACCTAAGGTCCAAGAACTGTATAACATTCTGTGCAAAATGAGGAGGAGCCCCGTTTTGTTGAAATATCACCTCGTCTCCTATGTAACGCTCATTATATTCCATGAGGTTGGTTATCATTGGATCAATAAGATCTTCTAACAATGTCAAATAAATGTCCCCAGTCAGATTACCGAGAAGAAAAAAATGCCCAAACAGGCAATCTATATAAAGATACCAGCCCAAACGTACTTCACGCACTTCGACGACTACTTCGAGTACTCCGTGAGAGACGTGACCTTAAACCATGACCATAATACGGTTAGTAATATTGGAAACGGAATATGGTAACGGCGGGACTACCAAAACAGCACTGCCTACCCCTTTAAAGTGTATCGAACTGAATATATTACAACGTGTTAACCATGGCAGATAGGTCTCCAGAAATACTAGTACCATCACCATTTAAAAATGCTATTTTATGACCTGAACAAAAGGTTGAAAAATTAGAGTGCAGATAAAGCGCATTTTTTTTAACCGAAATAGCTTTTGTTTTGACATCACCAATGGATATATTTCTTACAGACGTCTCAATCGTCGTTTGTGAGTACCCTCTTCCGAGTCGCACAGGAAAGTTTGTACAAACCAATTTATTTCGATGAGACCTTTCATTAGAATACCATGAAAGGTACAACATGTGCCCCCCCATTTTCTAAAGTTTAACTATTTATTTATTATCCCTCTCTTGTTCTTGTCGTATGTAAAAGTTATGCCCGTTTTACTTTCAAAAACAGCATCTTCGAAATGGCAGAAGTGGGTCCGGACGGACGGAAGGACAAAACGCAAACAATAGCACATTTTTGTTAATTCTTAAAAAATGCGCTAAAAATAACAGAAAGAACAAAATTGAAAGAAAAAAGCTAAGGAGAAACAGAAAGAGAAATTAAATTTCCGAGTAAAAATCAGATTTTGGAATCATCAGGGTAGCCTGAAGAGTCAGAAGTTGATTTTCTGGAGGAGGAAGAAACAAGGTGCAAGAGCGTCGGTCAAATTATAAATATTTAATAGTTAATACAACTTAATACGTCCACTGATATGACTCTAATTGTTGCGAGAACTTGTAACTTTCCAAAGGGAAAAGATTAATTCCTTCACAAGCTATCACTCTGAATTTATATTGATTTATAGTAACCGTTCATTCGCGATTAAGTATGATTTTCCCGATCTCACATTAAACCTTTCTACGTAATTTCATACAAGACATACAATAAGTTTATTGTTAGACTGCAATTATCTAACTTTCTGTTACTTCCTCTTGCGCACGTTTGTCGCGATTTCGTTTTTACACTTACAATCCCTCTTGAAACTTAACAACTTCATTAACGGACCGTTAAATCGAACAGTAATCCTTGTATTTTCGGGATTGCACTATTCGTTAACTGCGAACTCTAATAACTTGCCCTAATAAAATGTGCTGATTCCGATCAGCTTTCCCTACTAACCCACTATTCCCAGAAACCCGGATATCCACCTGAGCACTAATACGGCTCCAAATGAATGCTCGTAAACAACAAACGTTACTTATATACAAAACCCGAATGCTTACCTATCGCTTGATTACGCACAATGAGTGGTATGCCGGCACAAAACCGAATGCCCAGAAAATCTTTCCTCTCGATTAATTCCCCCCTAACACTTAATTAATTACCGCCCCAAAATGGTGCTTTATTAAGGAAATCGGTCATTTTTAATCAAGAATTAATCTGATTCATTTCTTGTAGCGAATTACAAGTGATTTAGAGTGCTAATTCAAAATCCCATCCTAGTTTAAATGAGCGATCTTGATTTTCCCAGAACCTTCAGTGAAATATTGCTACGGAATTTTGTCAGCGGTTTTAATCACGTAGACCGGATTAAGATAATATAATCTACCCTAATTGGTGGACAGACTGGGGCCACAGATTTCAGAAGCTCATTTATATGGGTCACTGCGTATATACCTAGAACTTGATGACGCATAAAAAAATAATCGCCAATTTTACATACGCACCTTTCAACATGTATAAAATTCGTATACATACGTACTATTGTTTTTTAGAATGAACAATTTGTTAATCTAAATTGAGTATGTACCTGTCAGATACAGGTTCACGTTGTGTCAGGTAAAAAGTTTATTAATCATATCGAATTGTCAGCTTCAGGTGTAGGTAGGTGCAGCTTTTTTTTTAAAGAAAGAAAGCAGAAGAATACTAGAAGTGGAAAAAGAATCAGACATAAGCACAAGTAATCAAGAGAAGGAGGAAGAGGGCACAGAAAGTAACGCAGGGAGAAGACAACAATAAATAAATGGAGGAACACGGAGGAAAATAGGGAAGGGAACGATACCAAAGGATAGGAACATCGGAAACTAATGAACGCTCGGAGAAGAAGCCATCACCAGAAAGCAGAGTTCCCTCTAAGGCAGATATTCCATTGGGGAAGCTGTGGCCCTACCCGTTCGGGTTGAATAACACCCAGTTAGCCCCCCCCCGCAACCCACCCCAATTCACAAAATCGACCACATTGTTTGGCATATGTCGCGGCCCAGCGCGATGGCAACAAAAGTAGTGGTGAAACGCCTCTGATAGTGCCTACCAGGGACGCACCCCCACGACAGTTGACTAAATCCTGGGAGAGGCGGCGACGCCACGCATATGTCAAAGTGTCAAGTATCACACATTAACTAATTATACAGCCGTTTTTGCACATTGTAATGGTCGCATGGTCCATCGGTACTTTTTACTTACCCTGTATATACAAAAAAAATCTCTTAAACTGTCAGCTACTGGTGCGGTTGCCTTGCAAGTACAACGCCGTAAGAAATTCAATAAAAAGGCACGCTTATGGGCTATGACGATGGTTTTGCAAAGATCTTTGTTACATTAAAGGGTTGAACTTCCCTTCGTTTAACAAAGTTTTGAAATTCTAAAAACTGTACCAAAATAAAATGAATTATAGTTTGCCGTCGGCTAGCCTATTCTTTACCAAATTTTACCTTTTTTTATGGTTTTTGCTTACTGCAGAATTTTTTCTTTGCATGATTTAAATTACTACAACATTTTCCAGTTGTGTTAGAATCTTTTAACTTAATCTCAATTACAATGGTCTACACTTTCAATGATAAATAACGTAATTTAACACAATATATTCATATTGATACACATTTAAGCAGATTTTTAATCACATTTTTATAAGACAAACTCAATGAACCCTTGAATTTGGCAGATTTATTGAACTATTGAGATTACGGAATAACAAAAATTTAAATTCTTGAACAAAAACGAATCTTCAACTTACACCAAATTACTCTTTACACATTACAATTTGTCCGTCAATGAAAATTGATTGAATTTTCTATTTTCTACAATAGTTATTTATATAAAGGTTAGGAAAATGACACATTACTGGCGAGGAAACTAATTTCCATGTCATTTTACTGACGTGTGTTGTATTAATTTTTGTATTAATTTTTTCCCGAAATCGTCTTTTTTAATATAAAATTTCAATATTTCTATAGAACTTTTAATTAATACAAATGGGACACTGGTGACAGGAGGCATTGGATTTACTATTGTGACATGCAATGCGGTAGGGAAAGGAGGCAGGTAAAGTGATAGGAGGCAGTCCAGGCCGTTACTGTCAGGAAAATTAAAATTTATTGACATAAGTAATAAGTTAGGCACGAAACTGACGGTTTCATGACGATTTTGGGAAAATTAGTCTACATTAAATCTAAAATGTATTCAATGTTTGATTTTCTTTACTTCTAGATACAGCTTGATGGTTAATATTAATAATAATAATATTTTATTGTGTCATGCTTCAGGAAGATGGTTATAGTACAGATGTTATCAGATGTTTTCTTTCAAGAAGGATGCATTTGAAAAACTCGCCGTTATAGAATTCTTCTGGTAATGGGTATTACTTCAAAGGCAATTTTTCCCTTTATTACAATGGGCTTGATTTCAATGCTTGTCTATGGAATTTAAATGTACTATTCAGTTTACCACGCAATTTCAATTCTTCTTACATATCTATTAGAACGCAACTTCTTCGGTTAATAACTTTACGGTAAATGTTACCCAGCAAATTTTACTTTTCCCGAAACTGCCTTTATGATATGAAATTACCGTTCAGAAAAAATAACTAATTCAAAACGTTTCACACCGAAAAAATTCAAATTCGCTTTTACTTGAAATCCTGTAATCTCTCGCCGATGGCTGAGAGATTTCATCTATCTATTAATTCTAACTCTGAAGTCTAAATGATCTTTTAAATTCCGAGTAAATTTTTCACGCCTACAATGCTGGATTAATTTCAAAATGGCGATTTGACGATGGCTAAGTTTTTAATTGGTTGTTATCCTTTGCTCTACCAATCCCGAACGGTTGTTAATTATTTCAAAAACAAAATGATCAGTATTTTCCAGGACTAAGAACTGTAATATTAAATACCCATTAATAAACAATTAAAAAACAAATGCTCATTGAAAACACCTAAGGGAAAATGATACATTCTTTACATCATCATTTATTTATTATTATCCCTCTCTTGTTCCAGGCCCTCAACAGGCTTGCGCTCAAATACAGAGTCATCCGCATAATGCTTTTTAGGGGTGCCTCTGCAGGAGGTCTTAAGTTGTTCTATACTACTCCGGTATTTACCTTACGAGCTAGGAAAACTGCAGGAAAACCTAATTCGGAATAACCAGTAGAATACTCGAAACTGGTCTAAGGTCTAATCCCCACCTCAGCCCAGGTTCACCCGACCTCCGGCTTTATAGCCCAACGCTTGAATCATGAACAATCTTGCCTGGGAAGGTATCTTGACATTTTTTACAACTTGAAAACTCTACTTTACTGAGAAAGATTGAAACATTTGAATCCAAACCTGGAAGCTCGAGCCAGAGCAACAGGCCAACAGGGGAAGATGGACAAAACTGAAAGTCAATACGTAAATAATGAGGATATGCAACAAATATCAGAATTAAACAAAGAGAGGGGCAACTAGACGTAGTAGAGCACACAGAAGAAGTGGAATAATCTTAGGAACGCACGCACGTCCCAAATGGATTCATGATTACGTTACGCAAAATGAAATCTCCTGGGTCTGAACATTATGTGATTTCCCTCACATAAAAAGACATTCCTCATACAAGTGGGTTTTTGAGGTGAAGAGGAACCCATTGACCAATACAAGGCCAGCTTGGGTGCCAAACGATTCATATTGTCGTACCGAGGAACTGTGTACATGACCTCATTGGCGTTCGGTTAAGGTTTAAAGCGATTTCAGTTGTCTAATAGGGACGATGAACTATTGGTGTTAATATAGTTCAATGCCCTTGTAGGCAACAGTAGTGCAGGCCATGATGGAGATAATAGAACTGGACGTCCCACAACATGAGTTGCATGCTTGCTTGTTGGGAACTTCGTTTCATGGCTAATCCAATGGCAGGTCTCAGTTGCAATCTGAAAAGGAAAGCAGAGATCGAATCTTTGATCATCGAACATATTTTAATACTTTCGAGTAACCATCCAAAGCTCCTTGTCAGTTAATTGCGCGGGAACCGCACATAGAAGACCTGATATTAGTGCAGAAACTTAAGTCTTGCGCGCTGCCTGGTTTAATTTTGGTCAAGGGAACGTGCATGTTTTCCTTTCTTTTTTGTGCTTTCTTTAGGAGCTCCCTCGGCGTTTTGGGCAAGTTACTGTATCACCTCCACTTCTTCTGCACCTGCAGTGTCGTTGATAGCTGTGCATCTACAATCTTTCGCGTAATTAAGAAAAGGGGGATGTAGATACATAACGTGTCGTTATTTTCACCATTTTCATTCATTTTGCTTATGCAGCATAATAATTTATCAGGGTGGTGGTAATGCAGTATGGAACCGTCAAGCTTTGGGCAGGTCTTAGTTTTTATTGTTGTTCTCAACCTAATGAGTACACTTGTACCCATTCAAACTTTACGATCTAAAAATTACAAGGGCATTACCAGGACATGAGTTTATGTCACACAAGAATTCGCGTACTTAATAAATTGCTCATTAAAAGTTCCTTTATAGATAAATAGTATATATGTAAAGATAATTATGAAAGATCGACTAAACTGTCGGGTTAAAATTTGTCTGTACTTATTCACCAACACTGATTAGGTGTTGTGAAAACTGTTAATTGTGTTCTAATGTGCTTGTTATAATAAAGAGCTCCTTTAATTACAGTATAGGCTGCAATGGGTGATTGGTAAGTGTTTAGGTACCTACTTTGATTAGAATCTTTGGCACAGCGCGGTGCTAAAACGATTTTAAGTCAATGACAGTGTAATCGTATTATTATTGTATTTATTTATACAGCTTACATCATTTGTCACTAAATAGGTCTAACACTAACAACTAAAAAATTCTCATAAACTCAATTACAATTTAGCCAAAGGGCATTAGCTTAGTAATAAATTGTACTATAAGCTTTAAAGATATCTCTGACCTCCAGGAGTAACCTCTTCCACTGAGAATAACACGATTTACTTCTATATTTATAGTTTGAATTTACGGTAACCGGACATTTTTCCTGGGTAAAACTTTATTCGTTCAGTTGACCGTCTTGTAAAATCCTCGGGCTGGCAGTCTGATGCTCCCTGATCCCTGTGACAAAACCACGCCGCTATGAACTGAATGTTGAGAATGTAATTCTGTATTTCTAAAGCTTTTTCGGATATTTCAGCAGTTGTAGTTTATATCTTCAATATTTTTCATTTATTCGTACAAGAAAGGCACAATTAATGCGCAACATGACAAAAACGAAACATCTTCCTTAAAGATGCCTTAATGACATGTACGCAGATGGCACTTGTCTTAATTTGGTTGAGTACCTACCTGGTATTTAACCAACCCTACATTGTACACAAACAGCACCTAAATAATCTATGTATGCTTTTGGCACGTACGCCTTTGGCACACATAAGGACGAGAAACAATGATACGAAGGATTGCATACGATTTTCAATAGGGGCATTTTTTGTAGCTCCGCTCGAATTCGGAAACCAGACTTCTGATCTGGCTTATATTCAATAACACTGATCCTTGAACTAGTAGAAATCGATTCGCGATTTGTCATCGCTGTCTCTTTTCGTTCTCGAGTTAGACAGACGGACAGACGGACAAAACCATCAATTTTTTCTTTCGAAAAATCCCCCTAAAAATAAGTTTTCTAATGACATGGGTATCACATGATTTATGTTGTTATTTCAAAAAATGGCGGTCGCACTCAAAAAACATTTGTCAAATAAAATTTTGTGCTAACCTCAAAATATGTGAAATAATTTTAAACGGAAGCTTTTTAATTTTCTATATCTCAAACGGTTTGAGCGTGAGATACTATGTTTCATCTGTAATAGCGACCCTGTGTACATATTGTTGTGTAAACTACGTCAGACTGACGTTTTATTTGACTTCGGCAACTGCAGTAATGTTCGGTCACCCTGTATGTGAATTTCATTTTTTATTAACTTTAGATGTGGCCATCGTTGGCATCCTTTTAACGCAATACCGTGCAGGTCGTTGATTTCGAGGTCAAGGTTTTGTATCAGAATGATTTATTTAATGTTGTTGATTTTGTTTGAATGGTCACTTTGTTTATTTAACTGTATACTGAAATTACATGTTAAAAAACTAGACTTAAACATCTGGAAATTATCTGCGTAGTGATTGTAGTTTATCTCCAGTCTGTAGTAGATGTTTATTACAAGTTTAGTTGTTTTTTTTGTGTCTACCGCTACTTGATATTTGGACAAAAATAACATTGAGTGTAAAACATCATGTGGTACTAGATTGAAATGTTAGTTTATTTTTTGATAGGCAAATGAATTTTTAAGAACGTGACTCAGTTGGAAGACTTACGCTATGTAATATTAAACGTAAAAAAATGAAAATTTCTCCTAACTGAGCCCATACATGATTTATTTAAAGTGGAAAAATGCTTTTTTCTATTTCGGTGTCACAATGACGATTTTGTACAACTGTTTTCGCCTTTCGGCCGAAAACAGTTGTACAAAGACAGTGATTATAGTCGTTTTTTTTGGTAACTCATTTCTTAAGTTGGCAGTTACTAGTTAGTACAAGTAGGTACTTCGTTGGGTACTTCCATGTTTGAACTTCAAAATGTCAAGTCTTACTACGCTGCCAACCTAAAACTTAACGGCATAAAAAGTGTTCCCAACATAAAACATGTTAGTTCTAATGTTCCCTATAGTTTCTGATAATGATTTTTTTAATTAAATTAAAGCACCGAAATAGAAAAAATAGTATGAAAAACGCGTGTTACAATGCTTTATTGTAATACTCCTATCTTGCGGACACTCGTGGCTACGCTTCGCGTCGCCACTCGTGCCACAAGGTAGTCGTATTACAATAGGTCGCATTGTAACACTTGTCTTTCAATATACTATTATACTATCAATCAGATACAAAATAGTTAGATCGAATTGTTAAAGAATATCGCTCATTTACGGTTCAAAACTCAAAATTTTATGACCAACATCCTTCAAGAACACATATTGTACGAGTTTATTTTTGCCGTGGATCGATTCAACTGATGTGCGTCGACATTCGTCTTGCGTAAACAAAAAAATTCACGTAATCCCAAACACGTATCCTAATTTGTGGAAACTCTTAATTACCTTATTTTCACGGTTTTCCGTACAACGATTATACCTGCGCAAGGAATATCCTACGGGCCAGAAAAACATAGTACCGCGTAGTTGCGCTCTAGTTGGTCAAAAACGAATGCCTTAAATATCTCACACAAAATAGGTCTCATTAGTTAACACGGCCATCTTTAATCATTAGCCCACTTGATTTGTTAGGCCCACGAATAACGCGGGCGCTTTTAGTTCTATAATATGTTACTATTTGTAGTTTCACCAATTTAAATTGCAGCGCAATCCCCACGGATTATGGGGCGGCAGACGTCTTAAGACCTACAGTTTCAGAACGTCGCGTCATATGGTCGCAAATTATAGCGGTCAATGTTAATAACATCATGGTACTGGCGAACGGCATGGTAGCAGGATATCCGACCGTTCTCATACCAAGCTTATACGACGAAAAGATAAACTCGCAGTCCGGCATCACCGAAGACCAAATATCGTGGATAGGTTTGTACATATACTTCGCCACCTTGTAATTGTTGAGGCGACTAGGTTCAATCGGATTTACGTGCTCACTGTTGGGATGTCTGGTTTCTGGAATGATTACCCAACCGTTCGGGAGGGCAAGAGCTATAAGGTTGGCGTGCCCGGTTTTAGTTGCGGCTTGGCTGATCTTCCTCTTAGCCAACGAGATGTGGCAAATTTATCTCGCTTTATGTTTCTGTGGTTTAAGCAGTTCATTGGTCGAAGCGCCTGTAAGTATTATCCCTCATTACGACCCGTGTAACGAAACTCTTGCAGATCATAGCGTATAAAGCGGAGGTAAGTCAACCGCATTTAAGAGGAATGTTGTCCGCTACAACATCGTTATGCTGCGTTATTGGCGTACTCATCCAGTTTACATTGGGCACATTCCTGCATTGGAGAACAGTCGCTGCCATTTCGAGCGCATTTCCTCTTCTTGCCTTCGTTTTGTTATTTTTTATACCGGAAAGTCCGCATTGGTTAATCATGCGTGGTAAGAAGGAAACGGCGCACAAAAATTTAGCTTGGCTAAGAGGGTGGACTACACTGGATGAAGTCGAAGGAGAATTTCTAACACTATGTGGCAGGTGCGATACAGAACAAGAAGCGAAAGCATCAAGCAGCAGAGAAGCTGTGCGCGGAAGTATGTTTAAAAAGTATATGGAAAAACGATTTCTTTGGCCGTTAAGTTTGGTGTGTTTCATTTTCTTTTTATCTCACTTTAATGGTAGTTGTACATTACAAACGTATGCCGTGAGCATCTTTACTACCATGAAGGCTCCAATGGATGAATTTTACGCCACTGTCATGTTGGGTTTTACCCAAGTAGTTGGATGTTTCTTGAGCTTGTTTGTGGTAAAGTACTGCGGAAAACGCGTAATGGGAATGGCTTCGCTTGGTGCTGTAGGAATTTGCAACGTAGCCGTAGGTGCGTACGCGTTTATTATTGGTGTGCCATACCTCAAGTGGGACGATGAGGGTGCAACTTTCCAAATGGCCCCGTACGCGTGGATACCCTTATGCTTACTATTACTTCTGTCACTCATTGCAAATACTGGTATCAGAGTATTGCCATGGATTCTGTTGGGTGAGGTATTTCCTCATGAAACGAGAGCCACCGGTTGCGGTATTGGCAGCGCGAGTTACTATTTGTTCATTTTTATTTCTAACAAGCTCTTCATCATAATGGTCAATGCGATGACGATTTTCGGAGTGTATGAACTTTACGCAGCCATAAGCGTTGTAGGTGCTTTGATAATGTATTTTGGACTTCCTGAAACCGAAGGAAAGGATTTGGACGACGTGATTGATCACTTTTCGGAAGTGTCCAAATTAGACAACAGAGTAAAGAAAAGAGAACAATAAAACAGTGGTAACAAGTTTAGCCTAATTCTTAGCTTAAATTTAATACTATACACTTCCTTTTTGTGATGAGTATACTTCTGTACGGTGTACCTTCTTAGTGTTATGTGTGCCTAACAATGCAAAATTTGTACTTAGCATTATGATAAATTCAAGCCAAAATGTGTAGGTACGTAAGAAGTACAAAAAAAAAGGAAATATATCACTAATTTAAATAAATTTTTCATTTAGTTATGGATTTCGAACAAACATCGTCTTCAGGCCATGCTAAATACACGAATCTGTATCGAAAAATAGGTATACGGTGGTATAAGATTCAGAAAGCCAGAGAACAGTTGTCCGTGTATCAATTCATAGTAAGTGGGTGCAATTTGAACAGCTCACTCTTGTAACGAGAGCAGTTATTTGCGTAAAATATTTGCAAATCGCCCGGTTGAATTACGCAAATGAAAAATTTAAAAATAGTCAAGTTTTCAAGAACATTCCACCAAACAAATACTACTCATAGTAGGTTCAATTATTGTTTGTCGATTGTAATACGGCGCACTTTAGGCATCTGCTCACACGTTCGTTAATGAATTGTTTATTCTAAATTGTGTCTGTCGCTTCATTGTTTGGTTTTGATTTTGAATTACACGCTGGAAATCGATCGTATGAAGTTACTTCTGCAACTTTGCAAATTAAAGGCAGCTTTGTAAAATTAGCCGAATTTACAGAATTCCGAAGCCCTGAAAACCCGTTGAACCAATGAAAATTAATAAAATACCGCCACCATTACTAATTCATCACTGAATAGGCGTTACAAAATTAATTAGTGTTGAGAGAAGGGATTACTTTGCACGAAAACAGAGGAATCGGGGTTTTGGCAGTCGAGCTGAAACGATATAGATTCTATTAGCGGCCGTGGAGCTGAAACCAAAGTGAAGTTTAGCGTTTGGGCCAAAATAAGTTCCAATTAGATTAGTGCTCGGATTAACAGAGTTTATCAAACTATGTAAGTAAATTCAGAGCGACCTCGTGGTTCAGTTCGCAAGTCATTCGCTGCCCAAGTGGAAATTAGTACATACGAAAAAAGGCGTTGTAAATTAACGTGAAAAAAATCCAAGTGCCACCTTTGGGAGTGGTTAAAAATCGAATTGTAGTTCCGCAATAGTTGTCGTAAACTGAGTGTATAAGTTGTAATAGCCAGTTAGTTAAAGAGTTCACAAAAAATCCAGTTCCCCAAGAGACATTTGCGTATTCCACGGTGGGAGTTAAAAAAACTCCTAAACGTGCTGCAGATTCCATTCATTAAAGGACACATCAGTCCGTTATTATAAACAAACGCGTTCGTAAGCGGATTCTTTGGAAAAACTTAAGGCATATCTGTGCCATGATATCAAGTGAGGAGGTGAAATGAATTCACGTGACGGAAATCACAACAAAGAAAACTGTTTGTAAAATTAAATAATCAGTCCAATTCTGTAACTTAAAATAATCTTAGCAACTTGCTAATAGTGAAGGTAATTGCTAGATGAGCAATATTTGTTAAAAGTGGTATTCTGTACTGACAAACTTAGCAATGTTGCCTAAAATTTTAACAATTCAATTGCTTGACCCTAGCAATAGGTAAAGTGCTGTTGTTAAGTCTTAGCAAGTGTATTTCACCCGCTCCAATATGGCAGGTGGTTGGTTTAAATACGAATTTTTAAACGCTGTTGAAGATTCAATTCTTATCATAATTCATCTAGTTTTTAATATCGTTTGGAGCAGTTCTTTCATGAACTAACATGGCATTTTTAGCGCATTTTCCAAAGAAGTTGGGTGGGCTACTGAAGCCATTTTCTTTGTCCGTCTGTCCGAGGCCTTAACTACTCCTACAGTTCAAGATATTTAATTCATTCTTTTTGCATTCGGTAGCGTATAACTCTGGCATCTGAGCCAAGCAAAATCTTGACCATTAAACGGCGCAATGTCAACTTTCCTATTTATAGAGATATTTTTTTGAAATTTTAAACATAGATGTCTCTAGTAAAGATAAGCATATCGCATATTGTAAACATCAGATGTGGGCATGGGCAATCTGCGCAACTGCCAAATTTCTTATTTCTTATTTATAGAGAAATTTTAACAACAGATGCTTCCAGGAAAGATAATCGTATTGGGCACCTGAACCAAGAAAAATAGTAACAATTACACTGCGAATCCGCATTATGTCCGTTCAGTGACCTTTTCGGAACTACTGATCAATGCATGATACTACAAAGCTACAAAGTTGTAGTATCATGTGATCAATGCATGGAAAATGCGATAGGTAAAGTTAATCGTCTTAGGGCGAAAACTTTTTTAATTGTTTTCTAATTTGCCCACAATTAGGGAATGTTGCTTCCATGTTGTTCTAGCACCACGCTGTTTGGTATCTGTATTTTCCATGGCGAGCAAATACAAATTACAAGTCGCACGTCACTTTTAAAGTCACCAACGCGTCTATCGGTTAAATTTAAATCAAAAATACAACTAACCTTACAATTAAAAAGTTTAAACAGTTGTGGATTTAGGTGGTAAGAGTTCAGTAGGTTCAGTAATGCGTCTAATTTTACGCCCAGTGACAACACTCTGTTACTAAGTTCTAACTAGTTCGTAGCAATTTGACGAAGTGTAGGAATATTAGCGATATTGCTCAAGTTGGTAGTTAAAGAATGACAAATTTGTTATCATTGCTCATAATATTGCTAGAATTTTGTGTGAGCAATGTTGCTATAGTTAGCAATATTGCAAACTTGTTAGTTACAGAATTGGACTGAATAACAAATGCAAAATTGCAGTTTGGTGTAAATTAGAGATTTTCTCAAATTTAAATTAAATCATAACAAAACCAAGTTATTCTGAGTGTGTATGTAAAACGTACTTTTCGGACCACATTATACGGATCACGAAGAAAAATTATAAATAAAAAGGTTAGTCGTATTTATGAATTTTGTCAAATTGCTCAATAACTTTAAGATCCGTTCCCAAAGATAAATATTGATTGGTAATTAGTATTACTAGTGAAATTATGAAAAAGAGATCTCCAAGGAGTCGAAAAAAGTGTAAAAGATTGTTTTTTTAATGTGTGTTACAATCCAAAGGACCTCCTGAATTTGGTGTCCATCCTAATTAAATTTTCTTCCAAGTTCAAGGGTTATTTATTACCTAATTTGTCACAGTCAAAGTGTAAAGGTACTTGGGTAAATTAGTCGTAATTCAATTTCCAACAATTAAACTATTTAGAGGGTAATTTCAAAGTAAATGTTAATTATCCCAAATAGTGAAGGAAAAGAAAAGAAAAGGGAAAAATTGGTTTGTTGGTTCAGCTTTAATTTGACTGGAAAATTACACATACAAAGACACTATTAATTGCAGGAGCTTCATAAACCCATAATTAACATAGAAAGGAACCCAATATAAAACCATGCGGTACGCCAAGGAAAAATTATACATAACATGCATACATAACCAACCCATACCCATACCCAAACTTTTTTTAAAATTTCAACACATAGGTAGTCCAAAAATTTGATGGTATTTAAAATTGGTGAAAATACACCTGGTCACATTTTCCCATCGAATTGGATCTAACGGGTGTTAGCTGACAATACAGACACTACACAGTCTAATGAATACACTAATGCAGCGTTTCTCAAACTTTTTTGTCTGGCGACACACTAAAATTATTAAACAAAATTCGGGGCACCCTTAGTATTATCATTATTTGCCTTTTTACAGTTAATAAAGAGAAGACGGATGAGAAGTTTTTACAAAAGCATTTCAAACTAATTGTTAGGTAAACTTCTGACTTGACTTTCCGACTACTTTTAATAGTCATTGCAATTACCTTTGGCCATAATACAACATTTAGCAAATGCCCTCTAGCGCCCTTATTTTGAACCCGACGCAAAAAGTGTAGAATCCTTTTTTGTAGACCTCATCAAGACACATCTTTTTTGTAATTGACATTTTTCACTCTGATGCATACTTTTAGAGGAAAATGAAATTTAGAAAAATAAAATAAATAGTTTAACTTTTCAATTCAAAACTTCTCAAAAACAAAGGAACTCACAAAAAAATTGCAATAAACTTTTTTGTAGTTTTTTAATCCTTTTGGCCAGTGTATGAGAAAAAAATTTTAAAAAAATTTTTCAAGCCGTTATGACTTAAAATTTTGACACTCAACAACCTTGAAGATGGTTACGGATCAAAACCAAAATATGACGTTTTCGATTCTCCATACCACCCTATATGCATCCCAAGTTAAAAGATTGAGAAAGTCTGATGTAATGCAATACCAGCATAATATGATTGACTAATGAATTATGAACCATAGAAATAAATAAAATAGAAACTAAAAAACATTGTAATGAAAAGTTAATATTCATTTTTTATAATTATTTTAATTTATTTTTTAATTTATGTAATTTTAAGCTTATTAAGTAAATATTTAATAATTTCGCGACACCCTTATGAAGTGCTTGCGGCGCCCAAGGTGCCGCGGCACCCACTTAGAGAACCACTCCTCTAATGCGTAAGCATAATACATGACGGATAAGCCTTGAGTACAGTGTTGCCAACTGACAAATAAAGAGAAATAAAATTTACCTATCCTACCTTCGAGCCTACGAACGAATTGGTGCCGCGCTACCACAAGGGCTCCGGTCCCAATGCAGTGAATTGAAGTATCCGAAAAATCAACAGATATGGTGATGGAAAAGCTGACCACGGAGCAGTTCGAACTCGCAAAAGCCGCGGAGAGGGCCTATTCCAACCTGACCAAAGAATCTGGGAGGATCCGAGACCTCCGGAAGCTAGGGACCAAATCATCCACAAAAAAGAAGCGAGTTAGAAGAGCAATGGAATACATTCAACCAACGCCCCTCGCAAATCATGGCCCTGCAACAACAACCAGACCATGATTACATCACCAATAACTTCTACAAACAAACCCGTGAATTGGTCATAACCTACACGGAGTACCTCAACACCCTGTCAACGGTAGCTTCGGTAAGTCCAAGCGGGACAACATTCCACAAGGAGGCGATCCCAGGGGTAACCGAGTTAAAATCCAAGGAGACAGCGTTGGAAACATTCGCAAGCCCAATCGCCAACATACCGTCAGTAACGGTTAGATCACATGGAGGGCGAGGTTGCCAAGAAATATCTCACCTATCCAGCGAGTGTAAACAGCAAACGAAATTAGATCGGCTTACGATACTAATCCAGGACACATGGGCAGACCCGGAGGAAGAACATTACGACAGCTATTGGCAGTTAAAAAGGTGGAGATTCCCAAGCTCTGGGACGTCATCCAAGAAGCCCACGAAGACATTGTGGTAAGCAGCGAATTACCTGACACATTAACGGTCCAATACGAAACGACAAGAGAGATACTTCGCCAAATCATGGTGTTACTCTGTGAAAAATAATCACGAGAAGAAGGAGGCTCGCACGGATACAGATTCCGCAACTTGGGGGCGACTACACGACATGGACCAGTTTCCAGTGTACAAACCGAGTCGTGGGGACCCATGGTGATGCACACCGTATGCCAGAAAGTGGATTCGGCAACCCTGACCGCTTTCGAGAACACCCTACAATCACTCAAAAGAGGTATCATCATTCAAGAGCTTCTGGAGCTTGCTAGAAGGGCAACAAAGCCACAGAAAGCACCAAGACTAACGTGAGGAAATTGTCTAAACTTGGTACAAATCGGGAACTGTAAAATATTGCCAAATCCCTAACGACATTCTCCGGCTAAATTTCAGCCCCGGAATCATGGCTGATTGGACGTTGTCAAGTGTCCTTGTACGACACGTAGTGCCTCTGCTGTAAGGTTATTCTACCGCCACCCCCTACACGAGGAGAATTAATTACTTGTGTTCGTTAGTTTTATTCCAATTCGTTAATGGTAACTTAACGATTGTCACTATCACTGACATTAGTATATCATTTCGAAACGTTTATATGTGCCTTATCGTGCTGTTACAATTTCCGTCTCCTGTCTATAGAAATTGTACAATTACCTACCGTTAATATAATTTGATAACAAACAAATAACCAGTGTGCACGTATTTAACTCAAAATGGTTGAAGAACTTGTTATGCCCGAAGTGAGATTGTGCCCAAAGACTTTGTCAACCTATAAATAATTAATAAACGATAAACAACAGTAATTGTAAACATAAGTTGGTAATATTGGAAAAGGTAAAAACGCTCATTGGCCAAGGATGACATCTCGTAACCTGACGAGGTACAAATTATGGATAATGACTAATAATTACTAATGCAGCATCATTAATAGCATGCACGTGTTTCAATAAGTCTGTACGTATCAAAATAATGGCAGATTTTAACCGAAACAGTGCGCTCCCAGAACCCACTCCCGCACGCAATGTTCTACCCCAAGTGATAGCAGTGAGTGTGAAAAATGTGCTTCTTTTTGCGGGAGGAATGAGTACTGCCTACCCTACTATACTGATACCCGCGTTAACCAATCCACAAGTTGATTCCAACTTTCAGTTGAACCACGAAGAAGTGTCGTGGATCGGTATGTTATCGACGTATGCCCGAGGTCATTATGGATTTTATTTTAGGATCCACAAATTTAATATGCGCCTTAATAGGATGCTCGTTATCGGGAGTTGTCACACAGCCAATTGGACGTAAGGGATTTATGCAGGTGGTGACCGTACCGTTATTGGTGGCGTGGTTGATTTTTAAATTTGCTGATCAAATGTGGCACATATATTTCGCATTGGCTCTGTACGGATTATCATCGGGACTGATTGAGGCACCGGTATAAGTATTATCAGTAGCATACTGATTAATGACTTGAAGGAGAAAATTGTGTAACAAAAATGTTTCAGGTGCTATCCTACGTGGCGGAAGTAACACAACCTCGTGTCAGAGGAATGCTCTCTGCAACTGGAACGTTATCGTCAGTCTGTGGAGTACTTGTGGAGTTTTTTCTGGGTACTGTCCTGCCATGGAGGAACATCGCCTTGGTCTCAAGCGCAATTCCATTGGTGGCGTTTTTCCTCTTATGTTTCATACCTGAAAGTCCGCATTGGCTGGTTATGCGTCATAAATTGGCAGACGCTAAAAGAAGTTTGGCATGGCTACGAGGCTGGACTGCAGTAGAAAACGTGCGGGAAGAGTTCGAGCAGATGTGTCAAAATCATAATGTAACCTACAGCCAGACTGGCAGTGCGAACGTATTTACAATATCCGAGGGACCATCTAGGACACTAAGGACCGTAAATCTAAAGCCGTACGCGCAGAAAAGTTTTATTTGGCCATTTGGCTTAGTGGCGTTTATTTGTTTTTTGTGCGGCTTTACGGGGTTTTTAACTTTGCAAACGTACGCAGTCAGTATTTTTACATCCCTGAACGTGCCCATTAATGAGTATTACGCAACGCTAGGATTGGGGATTGCGCAATTTTTTGGCAGTTTAGTTAGCATCATATTAGTGAAATGCTATGGTAAACGAATTATGACATTTGTGTCTTTGGGATGCATAGGAATTTGTAACGTCGGTATTGGTGTTTATGGATATCAAACTAGGGTAAAAAATTTAAGTTTAATTAGCGAAGATATTGCAAGCGATAATTTTAATGTAACAGACCATCAGTGGGTTCCACTAATATTCCTAGTATCGCTGTCCTTTTTTAGTCATTGTGGTATAAGGGTGCTACCATGGATTTTGTTGGGCGAAATTTATTCCCATGAGACACGCGCAGTTGGATGCGGACTGACAAGTGCGTGTTTTTACGCTTTTGGATTTTTAGGAAATAAGATTTTTTTAAATATGATAGACCTGTTAACTTTGCCGGGCGTTTATTGGTTTTACGGTCTCATTAGTTTTTTAGGATGGCTCATCTTGTACTTTGCGCTTCCCGAAACGGAGGGGAAGTCGCTGCAAGAAATTATAAACCACTTTTCAGGTATTTCTAAATTAGACAATAAAATCCGCAGGTCATTAGAAGGGCGTAGCGTTTAGTTTCTTGTAAATAATATACGTTTAAATTTATTTGTATTTTCAGTGCTTTTTTTAAAGAAACAAAATGGGTTGTTTACGGCTTGTATGCAGTTTTGAACCATGTTGGGACGAACTTAAATGATTATCTGTCTGGAACGTTACATGCCTTTACTGACTCTTCTAGCAGTTTTTGATACTATTTTGTTTTGATATTTTGGTCACTGTGTTGGGGAAATTAAGAAGAAGTTGTCGATGACATTTTAACAAATCCTACGGAAGGTACACAATAATTATAATGCTTTAAAGAAAACCAGGAAAATCCAATCAAACGGAGTGTCTGAGGAAAGTATTCAAAAAAGGAAAATGAACCATCCGGGGTGAGACATATCTAGTAGTGATCAAGGCATGCTATTCCGAATTTGCAGGAACCTTCAGCGTTCAGCATGTGTAACGGGAGCCCACTTTGCATTTAAATTTTTTCTAAATTTTATATGTGGGAAAAATTGGATATACCTATACCATTTTATACGTATAGTAGGCGCCGCGCGGTCAAATTATTAACGATAAACGTACGCATCTAGAACGCTTGGTTCTTACCAATTTAGCAGGGGGCGAAACAGAATTGAAGTGTAAACAAAAGATGCTGGTATACTATTTGTTTGTGTTTTCCAATAAATCTCAATTCGGATACTCAGGATTAACTTTATTTGAGCTTAAATCGAATTACAACTTTACAACGTTCATCAAAGTGTGTCTAAAAATAGCTAATGGCGATCAACTTAAAAGTAACTAACTTCGTGTAGCCTACAAAACTACAACGTTGCCAAACTAACTAAATTACGATATCAAACACTATTGGTTTAAAATTATTTGGTGCAACAACAGAAACAGCACGGCCAATCATTGAATAACATTAACTAAGTACCAAATTTTTTCTCTTAAAGAAAACATAATCTTCCAAAGTCCGTGTTACTTTCATGATTTAAACTGCACAAACAGATTAAATTGTTCTTGTTTGCAAATTGAAAATACCGAAAAAAATTAAATACCTGGGGTTAATTATTAATACTAAATTATCTTGGAAGGAGTATATTAGTAAATTAAAGCAAGAAATGTTTCGTGTTTTTTTTTAGCTATTTCGGGATCTATGCCCATTTAGCAACATTTTCAGTAATTTATTCATTTACTCTATAGGAATTACACAGGACACACTCTACCTTGAATTTGTAAAGGAGGGTAAGACAAAGGTTCAATACAGAGGATACATCATACATATCCATGCACGCACACACCCTTAAATATTTAACCCGCTACGCATTCAATTACTATATCATAAATAAATGCGCCATTCGGAAAGTTAAGCAATGGATTTTCAGCAATGGTTTGGATATGTGTATTGAAAAATCTTCAGTCGTATTCTTTTCACGGAAAAGGCGATATAATTTGAACCCTGTGGTTTTAGATAATACACTATTTCAGGTCGTTAAAAGTGTTACATAGGGATCAGATTAGATTACAAACTAAGTTGGACGGAACATATACACATGCTAACTAAAAAATGTGAGCAATCTCTGAATATTTTAAGATTATTGACTAGAGTGGGATGGGGAATCGATTTTCCAACTGCATTAAAGGTTTATAAAGCACTTACAAGAAGTCTAATAGATTATGGTTTGCACTTATATGGAGCAGCATCAAAACCAAATTTAAAAAGAGTCATAGTCATTCAAAATAAAGCCTTAAGACACTGCATTGGGGCTATGAAGTCAACTCCGAGTTTCGAATAAAGTATTTGGCTTTAAAATATGTTACGAAAACAATCTCCTTAAAACTGGAAAATATTTACAACTCACTACAAGAGCTTATGTCCCACGATTTAACCTCGGTTTTTTGGTCTAAAAAGAAGTCTCCTCCGCTTTCCGTGGCAAGCCTTTACCTTCACGAATTAAAAATTTCTCTTTGGATACAAGAAATTCCGGACGCTTCCTATCACGATCTTTACGTCGGAAGTCTGCCAACGTACTTCCCTAGTTATATAGGGGATTTTAGATATGATGCGCAACTATTTTATAACACCTTAGACAACTTTTTTTTTTTATTTGAAAAAGAAAGGTGCACCAACTGCCGAGGTTTGGTAAGTTCAAAACAGTTCGGTGATAAGTAAACTTGCGCACTCCGTTAATATGTGTTTTACACTTAGAGTTTTGTCGCACTGTTCACATCTTTTTATTTCAGTCCTCTCCATAAGGTGTCCGTGGGTTAAGTTTGTATGGCCTATTCTTAGTCTGGCGAGTGATATTTCCTCTTTTCGATTCGGCCGGTAAGATGAAATCCATTCTGTGGCACTAGTTTTTATTTCTTTTAGTTTATTTGTATTGTTGTTGTCGTTCCATTTTCTATTCCATTCATTAACAATTTGAGATTTCGAGTGTGACATTAGATCGTATGTAGTGGCCTTAGTTATTGCGATGGCCTGAGAGGTGGGACTATTTTTTGCAAGCTGGTCTGCTGTATCGTTACCAGCTATGCCACAATGACTAGGAATCCAGAGGAATTCGACATGTTTTTTGCGTTGTTTGATTTTTGGAAGGATAGATCTTGTTTTTGTACCAAAGGGTTGGAGCTTTCTGTTTGCAGTAGAAACTTTAGTAGAGTCTGAGCGTATTAGAAATTTGTCGGAAGGGTGTTTAAGGATCGACTGTAAGCATTCCGTTATGGCAGTTACTTCAGCTGTAAACACCGAGGATGAAATGTTGGGAGATAATATTCACAGACGGTTCTAAAAGCAAGGTGGGAGTTGGATGTGCATTTTACGAGCTATCGACTAAATATTCAAAGTTATTAATTACTCTTGGAAAGGTCAAATCTATATTTACAGCTGAAGCGACTGCAATATTAGAAGCATTAAAATACTTTTATAACCGTAATGCAGCAAAGAACCTGGCCATAATGTCAGATAGTAAGAGTGTCCTGGCCACTGTCAATAAAAGGGCCCATTATTTTCAAACCCATCCTTTAATTACAGCTATTAGAACAGAGGCCTTTAAAATTATAAAGAAAGGACATACTGACTCAGAGTTGGACTGGGTCAAGCATAGAGTGACCCAGTGACCTGGTGACCCAGTTAGTTTACTGACCCAGTGACCCGGTGACCCAGCGACCCGGTGACCCAGCTTGACCCGGTGACCCAGCTTGACCCGGTGACCCAGCTTGACCCAGTGACCCAGCTTGAACCGGTGACCCAGTTTGACCCGGTGACCCAGCTTGACCCAGTGACCCATCTTGACCCAGCTTTACTCAGTGACCCGTCTTGACCCGGTGGCCCAGTAATTAAATTATTGTTAGGTATCATCCAAAACAATTTCAAATAACTTTTAGTTTTAAAAAAAACTTCCTCAATAATATTCGGCAACAAGCACGTAGCCCAATTTCATTCAAGAGAACTAATACCTAAAAAAATCAAATGCATTTGTTTATAGTTTGTAGTCAAGTAGTCAATGAAAGTATTTAGACAAAAGATTTATTTGGACTAGCTAACTAGTAGAAAAAAATTAAATGTGAATGAACACCTGTAAACAAACTGGTAAGCCCTGAAGCAAAGAAATAACATTATTCTAATACAATTCGGGACATGGAAAGTTTTTTACGACAGTATTAAAGCAAACATCACAGAAATGGCAGTTGTCAAGCAATCGAGTATTATTTTCAACAAACCAGCATTTCATTTATTTCATAATCTGTACACTTGAACCGAGGGCACTGACTTAACTGCGTTATTCGATCAAACTAGGTGACTGGGTCGAATTGGGTCCCCGGGTGAAATTGGGTAGCTGGGTCAAACTGGGTCACTGGGTCAAACTGGGTCACTGGATCAAACTGGGTCAAGTTGGGTCACTGGGTCAAACTGGGTCACTGGGTCTAACTGAAAAGAGTATGACGTGACCCAGCGACCCAGTGACCCAGTTTAATTTAGTGACCCAGTTGACCCAGTGACCCAGTCCAACTCTGCATACTGTTGCGTTTTACTGGATCAAAGGACATGCAGGTATACAAGCAAACGAACTGGTAGACGAATTGGCTAAACAAGCTGTAGAAGAGGGGATCAGTCTCGAGAATATCACACCAAGAACAGACCTTTTGAATGTTCTCAAAAGTAACATAGTTGAAGACTGGGATCTATTGGAAGGAGTATCATAAAGAAAGACAAACACAGTATGCTTTAATCCACCCAACGGTTAAGTTTAGACCATACTATTCTGATAAGTATACCCCAAAAATGTTTCGTGTTCTTCGTAAGTTTTATTTCCTAAGGAACGTTTGTCCAGTAAATGTTCTAACAAATATTTATCATGCTCTTGTGAGTTCTAAGTTAGATTACGGGCTGTGCTGCTTTGGCGGTACGTATGCTTCCACTCTTTACCCTTTAATGATTTTGCAGATAGCCGTAATAAGGTTAATTACTAGAAATAGTAAAATGACACACTCATGGCCAATTTTTCAAAAGTTAAAAATTCTACCTTTACGACATATGTACGTTTTCAAGGTATTGAAACTTTTTTATATTAGAAGCAGTAATAACTTTTGCAATTTTGATAAGCAGCATAATCTAAGACATACTTTACCAGCTACAGTTCCTCGTTCAAAATTAACTATTCAACAATTTTATTCCTGTAATGCACAACTTTACAATCTCGTTTCTACTAAAATTGACAACAAAATGTATTTTTATTGCAACTTAAAAAACTATTGTTGGCTACTGAAAACAATGAGGATGATTTTTTTAGTTTTGCGGTTTAGTTTTTATGTGGTTTCGTAAATAGTTCTCATGATTTTTTATGCTTTATATATCCTTTTCTTTTTGGATCCTCTGAAATTATTTTTAAGTTATTTTATGATCATAGTTTACAAGTTATTTTATTCTCAGCTCTACTGAAATTTTAAAGATTGCTAGTAAATGTAATACGTAATCTTTTCAGTTTTATTATTATTTTGTTTGTTTTTCTTATTATAAATGACTGGCTCTAATTCTCTTTTCGCGGCTATATAATATGCAATACATGAGGGAGGTCTCACCACGGATGTTGTCTATGGGACCCCTAATATTTCTCAATGTGATTTACTTACAAGTTTAATTTTCTTTTTTTATTGTAAATCATGTTATTATATTGAGAAATAAACACATATTATTATTATTATTATTATTATTATATGGGGTCGAAAGGAATGGATAGTTTTAACTTGTGAAGAAAGCGAGCGAGTGGGTAGTAAAAGATATCCGTTGAAAGAAAAAAGGTGCAAGTGGTTGACACCATTTGAGTAAAACTGTGCGGTTTAAAAGACTTTGTTAATTATATTCAGTGCGAACCTATTTAAGGTAAATTCCTTTCAATTAACATTGTTTAATTGAATTAGATATAATATTTGCAAATAGCTATAATGCTATATGAATCTGTGTGCAGTCTGATATTAATACATGGGAGACGTTGGACAGGGACGGACTTAGTAAATTGGAGTTGGAGTCACAGATTTAAGTATGTGCTGCATTAGTTATTAAAATTAAGCCATTCGGAATTATGCGTCCGGATGTCAATTATTAGTAATTGAGTTTAAGTTGGCAAAACATGAGGACTGCTAACTAATTTATATTAAATTTAACTGGAGTGATTAGTGTAATTATCTTGTATCTAGTAATTAACGTTATTTTAATTTTATGATTTATTGATTCATAAAGTCATTTTTTCTATTTCGGTGTCACAATGATGATTTTGTACAACTGTTTTCGGCCGAAAACAGTTGTACAAAGACAGTGATTATAGTCGTTTTTTTTGGTAACTCATCTCTTAAGTTGGCAGTTACTAGTTAGTACAAGTATGGTACAAGTAGGCATATATATAAGAGAAGTATATGGATAACCGCCTATGATTGCAATGTGCAAATTGTTCGCCATAAAAGAGAGCTGCCCTATTCCTTAGTCCTCAACTCTGTATTTATGCGCAAACTCCCCAAGTAAATATTTACTTCTCTCCGCCTACTTTTAAGTAGCGCCAATTTCAAATTTCATAACCTATAACTCGAAAATAGGGTTAAAATTTTATTAAACCATTATTGTGTGCAATTACCATATGTAAACACAACCACGCACCATTCGGAAACTTCACCCAGACTTCTATTCGCTTCATGCAGGTTCATATTCACCACATTGGCCCCATTCCACCTGCCGACTCCTATCACTATTGTCTGATCCTGTGATGTCTTTAGATAAGTATACTAGCTGGCCGAGGCCCACCCTCCCAAGACCAATCGCCGCCGAAACGTTTCTTACCTGTTGACTATATCGCTTCGATTCCCCTACTAGCATCTTCACCGAGAGGGACGACGACAATTTGAATCTTCCCTTTTTTGTGCCCTCAACATTGTTTTCGGCACACAAGGATTCGGGACCTGCAGTCAATGGCCTACTTGAATGATTTCACTGCCAACTCAAATCAGCGCTCACGTGCCACCCAGTGTGTTCTGGTTCAAGGTACTCCGTATCGTTCTGCTTGGAAACTGTAGCATTTTCAAGGAGAACTTTCGAGCTTCCTCAGCGGAGTTTGTTTACGGTTACACCCTTCAACTTCGAAGGCAAACTTTGTAACGATTTAGAAACTTAAATTGCAATTGAAATAATATACCTATACCTATAGGGATTATATCTTGAATATAACTTGAAATTGGATAAGTTCGCATCAGCTATAATATAAAGTGATACATTACCAATGTTCAAAGAAACACAATTAAATTAAAGACATTTACTGATTTTAAAATAAAATTAACATGTTAATTTGGTTTATTGTTCCCATGATAACAACCAACTAAAAATGGTTTTGAATAAAATTTATCAGAAGAGATGGCAGCCATTATTGGCCAAAATTGGCTTCCCGAACTCTTACTCAATGGAAGACCATCAATATTAATGTCAATTTTTAAATCACTTGGTAAATTATCAAAATATACTTCAGTTGACCGTAAAAGACCAGGCAAAATACCAAAATGTACATATTGGCCACCGCTACGTGAACATATTTCAAACTGTGATGCGCTACGTGTTTTCATTAATGTTCGTACATCGGCAGGTAAATTAGAATGACCAAACCTGTGCAATATCTTCAACATTGAATTCACAGCAGCATGGGAGATATTGTTTTCTATAGTCCAACGAGCTAGAGCATCTTGGAGACTAGCTTCAGAATCACCCTTGGAATCGCCTATAGCATTTGTATATTCATGATCAGATTCAGAATAATGGTTAACTTCTGATTCAGAGAGCACGTCGGAGTCAGAATAAATTTCCAATTTAGGACTTGAAAACGGTACATCTTCAGAAGGGTTTATATCATCCACATCATCACATATTTCATTATTTAAAATAACATTTTGCATGTGCTTTGGATTATCCTCCACAATGTCATCATTCACAGGTTGAATTGAACAATTAGGTGCAACATTCTTTTCATTAGGATCTTGCAAAACAACTGGATCTAACTGGACTTTACTACCTTGTGCACTGAATGCTGAAATTTCTAAATTAATGATTTGATTTCGTCGTCGTTTGCTTAATAAATGAAAATGGGGCGCTGCATCTTTTTTCGACATGTTGAAAAATAACACGTTTTAAGAAGTGTAAGAGCCACAAACAAACATAAAAAACCGCCAAAAAACTTCGTGTTAACCAAAACAATATAGGTTATGTACAAAATTATAATTACATAATATTTAATATTAGACGTTACCTACCTCGTTTTTAACACCTGCAAAAGTAGAACGATTATCCACACAAACTTGCAACCGAGATAAATAACGAGTTCAACACGATTGAAACCAAAAACTTACACACAAAAGTTAAACAATTGATATGACTTAAGTACCAGTACGAGTCACGCCGGCCGCGGTCTACCAACCAAATACGATAAAATGTGCGCGGTCGCATTCAATGTCACCAATGCTATGCTTTTGCAATGTGCATGTAACAAATGATTGTTATGTTATATATGGTATATTGATGATATATAACATTGTAAAGAATTGCTATATAACTAGGTTATATAACTAGGAATTAATTTGTTATATTGTTGTTATGTATGTGTAATGTAACAACTGTTTTATAACACTGTTACACCAAAGGTATATAACACTGCTGTAACAGGTTTGCTGGGATTGTCGAGTTGGAAATCTTTTAGGTGTTAAGTGACCCCCATATAACTTCGTGCCCCCATCATGCTTGCGTGCATCCAAATCAATGCAGTCATAGCGGTTAAAATGACGAGAACACAACCTTGTTTTTACATCATCGAATTCCGATAGTTCACATGCTTGCAGTCACCGATTCTTGTTGCTTTTTTCACTTGGGAATCTAATAACAAGTACCAATGGCATAAATGAATTGATTGCAGATAATTGCATTGTAACTTACTTGTGCCATGAAACCGAAGAATCCACTTTCCCCACAAGTACCTGCATTTCTTTATTTCTAAGTAATGAACACACTAAAATTGCCAAACATTAGGTATTCCTTTACAATTATTGTGTATCACTTACGTATACTGATTTATATAACTATGAAAGGCTTCTTTACTATTAAAATTAAACAAAAGTTCAATAACTCATAAACTAAACAAACAATTTAACCTCAATCCGTTATGTCAAACTGGAGTAAATGCTTGGTAAATAACACTACATAATAACACGCAAGCGCATTAGCGCCTAGTTCCCAACTAATGACAGAAGTATATTTCCATCCACTAACGTTGGCGATAGGCGTGTCCACTCGTTTATCCATATACTTCTCTTATATATATGTAGGTACTGCGTTGGGTACTTCCATGTTTGAACTTCAAAATGTCAGTCTTACTACGCTGCCAACCTAAAACTTAACGGCATAAAAAGTGTTCCCAACATAAAACATGTTAGTTCTAATGTTCCCTATAGTTTCTGATAATGATTTTTTTAATTAAATTAAAGCACCGAAATAGAAAAAATAGTATGAAAAACGCGTGTTACAATGCTTTATTGTAATACTCCTATCTTGCGGACACTCGTGGCTACGCTTCGCGTCGCCACTCGTGCCACAAGGTAGTCGTATTACAATAGGTCGCATTGTAACACTTGTCTTTCAATATACTATTAATTAATTTTGAACTGCGTTAGGGCAGTTGTCAAAATTAACTACAGTTGTCAGTAACGCCCGAAAAGAGCTTAGATTTTGTTTCTTTGAATCATAGAACAACTGTCAGTGTGACCAAAAATGAGCCTGTAATTTTTGGTTCTGTAAAATGCGGGACATTACATCCCCTAATAGCAGTCTCGCGTTACCCACGGACGGACTTTCGGTCTCGAGTACTGTCATTTATCGCTCGTTCGTATGTTGACCGAAAATTAAGGGCCCAGTCAACGAAAAGAAGTGAGCGAACCCTTACGCAACTCTATACCGCCTGGGAAACATAAAATGGCGTACATAAAGCCCATAAAATCTGACCCAAAGGATGGAGAGTTGGATGTCGTTGCGGTCTTTTCGGTCGTCGCGTTAATTAATCTATCGAGTATACTCGAGGAGTCGCAAGTAAAATAAAAATGCAATTGTTAGTCAATACCATGCGATCAAAAATGAGTTGCTGTCGAGTGACCTTTGGAATTTTTGTTTACATGGAAAATCGTACTTAACTTAAACTTCCAAAGGCGACTCGACAGTAACTTTTTGATTTTTGATCGCCCGTTACTATACTACAATTTAGTTGAAAGGTTGTGCTTCTTTGTTTTTCTATAATTTGTTGAAATGTGGTTCTATTTTTGATACGCTATCGATCAAATCAATTTCTAAGTGAAGCCTATATTTCTTTCCTTAGTTTTTATGTTCAACATTGAAGGGAACGTTAGTTCGCATAGGTAGGAAGTGAGTGACGAACGGAACTAATAATTTTAAAGGTTCCTTTACCCCCTCTGGATATTCCTGGTTTCTCTTCATTCAGAAGACGTAAATTTGTTACCTTCAGATTTGAACAGTTGTGGAAAATAACTTGCAAATTGTGCTAGCTCTGAATCATGCAAGGAATGTGAAAGCTTCCTACCAACGATTGATCCATTGAAGTTTGTTCGACAATTTTTTGAAGGAAAAGATTCGTATATATTTTTTTCAAAATGACCATAAACTCAGTTTTCCGAGGAATACTGTTAAACTATTAAACTGCATCGTGTTAGTGTACGCCCCGTACGATTTTTCGAATGGAAAATCCATGGAAGTAGAAACTAGTGTACGATATAAAGCTCGAAATTTGATCACTTAATCAAACACATCATTTAAATCAGAAAGCTAAATTGCACTCTCTTTCCGATTTTTTTACACAGTTAAAATTAAGTATAGGTGCCTACTTCAGTTTCGATCGATATAGGTCCCAAACTAATCAAATTAAATACGTAGCCTTTAATTGAAGTAATTGACATAATTTATTTAAGGCGCCTGGGGGTCGCCAGAATTTTTCAACTGGCAAAGGGGTCGCGTGCACAAAAAGGTTGAAAAACACTGCGGAATTAGTAGGAGGTCTGACTCTATGAGAAGGTGAGTGGTATAATAAACAAGTGGAATTATTCCTGTCTCACTATGGTACCAAAAACAAAAGTAGAAGAACCTTAGTTTTCAGTACCAGTAGGACTACGTTGTAGGCATCAAATCTCTATGCAAGCGTGTACATTAAGGACCACCTCATAATCTGGAGGGATTTTGGACAAGGTTTACCATGAAAGAATCATTGACCGTGTATACCTCCTAGGTACTATAAACTATTTTACGGAATTGACTCATGACTGATGTGACATCCACTTGGAGAGGAAGCGAAACTATGCGAGGAGACGGCTTGCCACATTCTTTGTTGTTCTGTGTTCTGGGAGAGTCTGATCAGACATGGCAAGGATGGGCCACCAAACAATAATCGAGCGCAAAATCTGTAGTTGCAGGCCTTGAATATTATAATAAAAGATTGCAAGTGCAAGATATAGCTTGTGAAACGACTTATAAACGTATAGTAGGTATAAACAAACAAGTCATAGGTGACCCATTATACATCTGACAAAACTACGAGAACAAATCCATTACAACTATCTAAGTGAATGGTAATCGCAAACAATATGGAGGTCATTGGCAGTATACCTACTTATCTATATTAATCACGTGACCTTCAATGTCACTATAATCTACTATAGTGACACTCAACAGTAACAGTAAGCGTTAATGATTATCGTGCACTAACCCAGATATCGCGTTGTTGTAGAATATACATACACCTACTGAAATACCTACTTAAAAGAAACTGGAACTTTTCATCATGGCCAGTTTTGGAAGTAATACGCCAAATTTTCCGAAACTACCTGTTCCGAAATTGGAGGATACATTACGTAAGTACCTCAGAAGTTTAAAGCCAATGGTCGATAGCAACGAATGGTCAAGAGCAATTCAAGTGGTGCGTCAGTTTCAAGAAAGCGAATTAGCACGGAAGCTCCAAGATTATGTTGAGCGACGTAGACAAGAAAAAGAAAATTGGCTTAACGAATGGTACCTTTGTATGAGATACTTAGATAATCGTCTGCCTACCGCCCTGTGCAGTAGTCCTGGCCAAATGCTCCCGCTGGAGCACTTCGAAAACGAAAACGCACGGCTGTCTTACACTGCACGGCTCATTATCGCCGCAACTACCTACAAAATGGTAATTGACCGGTAAGTTTTTGCATTTCGTAGCATACAATTACACTTTATGTTCTAGTGGAGAGTTGCCTGATAACACTAAACGTGACATGAGTCAGTATAGCAAAATGTTTGGTGCGTGTCGAATACCCCATCCATCACGGGATAAGATTAAGTTTCACCCACACTCAGAACACATAATTATCGCTTTCAGAAATCAGGTACTATAAGCTTAGCTCACGGAAAGTTATACGAATTTCATTTTAGTTCTTCAAACTAAAATTGTTCCATAACTCGCAACTGATCGGTGAAAGACAGCTACTCAAACACTTACATAGCATCACTTCCCAGCCACTTGAGCCCGGAATACCAATTGGAATATTAACAACGGAACAAAGAGACAAATGGGCCCAGACATACGAAGAGCTAACTAAGGAGAACGAAAAGCAGATTAATGATATTGAAACCTGTCTGTTTTTGGTTTGCTTAGATGAAACTAGTGATGCAAAGGTAAACAGGTTGACGAAAGCCGGCATGCACTTACTCCACGGAGGTGGGAGTAAGCAGAATGGTAGTAACCGCTGGTACGATAAAACTCTTCAGGTAGACCAATAATCGTTTCATTTCAAACGCACGACTACTGATTCCAGTTTGTAATTGGAAGTGATGGGACCGTTGGGTTGATATACGAACACTCGGTGTGCGATGGGCAACCTATAGCAAACATGGTGGAATATTTAAATCATTTGATGTTAGACATGAAGTGTAATGCAGCGAGCATTTTTAGACAAACTCAACGAGACGAAGCCTGCTCAGATGTTTCAGACGAAGGTCCTTCTAAGTTGATATTCAGACTAACGGAATCTATTCGATCGGACATCAGAGAAGCGGAGGGTAACTTCAACGAGTCCGTCAATAATTCTGATATTGAATGGTTTAAGTTTGACTCCTTTGGGAAGGATTTTATTAAAAGTGTTCAATTGAGCCCTGATAGTTTTGTACAAATCGCCATTCAACTATCATTTTATAGGTAAACATAGCCGTAGTAATTGATATCAAAACGTCAGTTTCAGAATGCATGGCTTGTCGTCCAACATTTACGAAGCAGTGTCCACAAGCAAATTTGCCAAAGGAAGAGTTGAATCGTTACGCTCGTTTTCGGAGGAAGCCGTCACTTTTATTAGGATAGCCTTAGATCAGATCAAAGGAAACGATGAACAATCGGCGGCATTGAGATTAGCTGTTAACACTCACAAAAGGGACTCTCTCGAAGTAAGGTCACTGATGGATTTAATAAACTTAAATGGCATTTTAGGCTGGCGAAGGATACGGTACAGAAAGACACTTTATGGGGTTGAAAGCTGCCGCCGAAGAATTAAATTTACCTGTACCTTCTCTACATTGTGATAGTACCTATATTAAGAGTATTACAAGTCGGGTCAGTACGAGCCAAGTAGCGACCAATTGTGATTCACTAACAGGATTTGGAACCATTCCTACTGACCTTTACGCGTGCTGTTATAATATACGCCCGTCGGATATTAACATTTCTATTTTTTCTTTCAAATCAAATTTATTAACTACATCGGCTGGCATGAAGGATGCTATTATTTCAAGTCTTTGCGATATGAGAGACATTTTGATACAATGTAATAATTAATAATTTTTTTAAATTTCTTTAATCCTCCAGAATAAAGCAAACTTGGGGCCTGAACAACTGTAAGAGCTCTCAAATAAACGTTTGTCGGGAATTGTACTCGAATTTTATTTTACCTTCCGTATACACATGTGAAATCTAGTTAGGGAAGGCCTCACATTCACGTATCAAGACGTGAAAGAGACATGCTAGGACTTTCCTTTAGCACGCTGGAATTTGTAGTTTATACTTATAAAAACTGCAGAACGGAAGACCCACACACTGGACAGTACATTTGCATTATTATGTGCGTTATTTTACTATGTAAACGTTGTTCAAGAAAGGATAATGAATAATATCGAAATATTTTTAAGTGTGAGCAGGGGTGGTACACGTACACACTCTCATGTACCAAAGTTGTAGACTTGGAAGCCCGGTGCTCACGTAGAATGACTAATGACATTTATGCCAATAGTGTTTACTCCATTCTGCTCCATTACTTCTTGTGATGAGCTGCTTCTCCACTAGTAAGGACTTGACCATCGCTAATGATCGTGAGCTCCCGGATTTTGCAGGATTCTCCTTGAATAGAATCTGTGTATCTTCTATTTGGGCTGCGTGTAGTTATTGACTTGTAGTAGTCTTCGCACTTCTTGTCTTCTACATCGAACCCATTACCTTTTTCCATTTCCCAGCAATCGGATCGTTGGTTTTCTTCTTCCGTTGTTGTTACTACCGTACCGACTGCCTTGGTTGGTACCATGTTTCGTTTTCCCGAATATATCGCCTAACCAAATTTGGTTTGTGCGCCGCATGCCCATGATGTCTCGTGCTTGAACAATTATTGCTGTTACTAGTAGTACATCCTGGTTTTCCTCTTGGGTTTGGAGGTTTTCTTTTAATACTGTGGTGTGTGATGTCCTTGTGGTGCCTACACTGTTGTCGTTTTGATGGGTTGGTGAAGTAAAGTGTGATTTAATTTAATTTAATTTAATTTATTTTATTTCTCTTGTTTAATTTAATTTAATGGCCCTCTTAATTTAATTTTAATTTAATTAATTTAATTTAATTAATTTAATTTAATTTAATTTAATTTAATTTAGGCTTGTTCTGGGCCCTCGCCCAATTACAGAGTGACCCGCATAATGCTATTTTTAGAGGTGCCTCTGCAGAAGGTCTTAAGTTGGTCTATAATACTCCGGTATTTACCTTACGAATTAGGAAAACTGCAGGAAAACCTAATTCGGAGTAGCAGGCAGTATGCTCGAAACTGGTCTAAGGTAATTTCCATCTCCGCCACAGATGAAAAATTCACCTCAACCCAGGTTCGAACACCCGACCTCCGGATTTATAGCCCAATGCTCTACCACTGAGCCATAAAGCCGGTGATGTGGACAATATTTTTTAAACTAAAATTTTAAGTTTAGTAAAGTGGGACATAAAACGTTGAAGGCACCACAGGCGTTAATAGAAAAAATGCCCACAGCCGACGTCTATCTCTGTCATCCGTTATAACGCCCCTGATACCTTAATTGCTATATCGACTCCAAAATATTTAAACTCTAACAAAGATTTTGGTTATTTTTTTCCAATAATTGGGAATTATACATGCATTTAATTATCAGTTTTACTTTTACCATCCCTTTGGTTGGAGTAAATTTTTATTTCGTACTCAAAGGGTTATATATTTTGAACAGGAGAATATAGCAGAATACTGATTTAATCAAAGTGATCCGATATTTGTAAAATTTTGCATATGGACATAATTTCATATTCTAAACAAGTTTTCCGTATTATTGACTGAAATGGAACTTTACTTCAACATAACATTATTTTTTTCTCATTTATCACTTCAATCTTGAATTTTAAAAAGTAAAAATGTGCACCTCCCAAGTAACACAGTTTCGCACAGTGACGAATTTTTTTAAAAAATACCTAAAAAAGTAACAGTGGTTTTACACGGACATTTTTTAAAAATCAGAATTTTTAATTTACCCCTAGGTAAAATTTTTCTTTTACCACTCGTTTTACTTGACAAATTAACATGGGATGGTGCTAGAGTGCCAGTGCAGGAATAAATTAATTGGAAGCGATTCCTTTGTCGATGAGTGAAATGGTTAGCAATGACACTTAATTGCTAAATAATTAATTACTTTGAAATATGACTTCGCGACAATTTTAAAACGCACTCGGTTTCGTTCTCCAACGACCGGATGTTAGTACAGGAATATGCAGTATGCAAGAAGCCAAAGAGAACCTGCTCCTAGCGGAGGAAGCTAGGTAATTAATGAGATCAAATAATTAAATAATGTAGATGGTCGGTCCGTCTAGGATGTGTTTGTTACAAAGGGATTAGGTAACGAGAAGACACTTCGGCGGAGTTCGGTCAGGTACTTAACAAAACAGTTTTCTTAACCAAACTGGCATCAATTTGGTTTAAAAAAAACTAACATGCGTATGGCTCAGGCCCAGAATAAGAGAGTTACAATAAATAAATAAATAAATAAATAAATAAATAAATAAATAAATAAATAAATAAATAAATAAATAAATAAATAAATACATAAATAAATAAATAAATAAATAAATAAATAAATAAACAAATAAATAAATAAATACATAAATACATAAATAAATAAATTTGTTTAAGAGGGTGTAATTGAGAACCTGAAAGAGAGTTCACAAAAACATGAACAAATCTTCAACTAACATATTTAACCACAGTAAAGCACTTGTTTACAATACAATAACATCTACCTACTCCTACACCTCTCAAATAAGTTTGTTACAATATATATTTAGACCATTGGGTGTAAATAGAAATGTTAATGTAAAAGTAAAACTTTTAATATCAGACCCACTTCTTTTAACCATAAGGGGAATAAGAATCTAAAAGCTTCTGGCTTTTAATACAATAGGTAAACCATTGTACGACTTCAAAATAGCTTCAATAGACAGTTGTGGTTCGTGGTCAGGAACGGGTAAAATTTCGAAATTTCTCAAGATCTTCGAAATTGTTGCTTTCATTTCCAGAATTGCAAACCGCTGACCTATAAGTGCACACTAAGCGCGTAAAAATTAGCAAACGTTTGCTTACCGATGCAATTCCTTAAACCCGCACTGAAAGGAACGTAAGCGTATGGAGGCCTGGATTTTGAATTTTCGGGAAGAAATCGATCCGGATCGAACTTTTCAGGATCGGGAAAAATATCGGGATTTCTGTGTAACTGTAGAACATATAAGGCGCAAACAAATCCTTGAGGTAGCAGTGCCCCATCTAAAGAACATGCTAAATTAAAATCAATTCAAAAAGTTGTAACTCAACTGAACGAAGCGCTTTCGTTTAAAATTCTTGAAAATAGAGGGACAGGAGGATACAGTCTCATAGATTCCTTAATGACCATTTCCAAATATTTCATTTCTTGTAGATCCTGGTAAGTTGACTCTCTGCTTTTATCGCCGCTAAAAATGGTTCGCAATTCTTCTACTACTTGAACCTATTACACAAAATTAAAAAATACTGATTATGCTTTGGTAAATTGGTACCTGTGCATAAGGATGCTTTGAAAGGCAATACAGAGTAAAACTAATCCCTGAAGCAGTTGTATCGTGACCCTGCAATGCTTACAAATTATCCCTTTGGGACTTATTTTAATTTGGCACCTCAAACATAAATGTATCGACTTCTTCCCTAATTGACTGGTCGCTTAAATCGTACTGTAAAAGAAGATCGAGAAACGCTACACGCTTCAGAAGTCCTTCGTCGTTACCACCATTTAAGATAGTTCTTGTAAAATTCGCTTTCCTACTTCGAATTACAGAATTCGTGAAACCATGCAAAATTGAAATAGCTTTTTTCTGTAGTCGATACGTCGGAGTTAGTTTATAGATTACGTTGATCATGTTTAATGGTGTTACAGTCCTTTCTAGTATAATACGACACATTTGCTTTACACTCCACACGTACGAAGACGTGGAATCCGTTTGCGCATTTATCTGCACCCCCATTGCTGTTTCTGTTAGATTTAGGTCATTTTAGTGCGTACAATTTCGTAAGAAAACTTACCACCGATTATATCAAGTGTGCAAAGGGTCACATATGGAAATATATCAAAAGGACCTGAATCCGCCCTTTCTTTAAGCTTCTCTACTAAAATGTGGCCTTGTTTATTAAATACATCAATGTACTTATCCAGTATTTGGAAATGGAAGGCGGGCGTTAGTAATTTTCTACGTGATTTCCATTTTTGGCCTGCAAATGAAGAGAAAGTGAACGAAACTATAGTTTCCAAGAAATTACGCACCTGTGCTCGTTAATAACCCCGTTCCCAGCCAATCGTGGAAATAACTATACTCATATGACTTATCTATAATCGTTTTGGAGCTGAGTAAAAACTCCGCCGTCTCATGTTCACCAACAAGTAACCGGGGTTTAGGACCGAAAAACAAAATAAATGATTTCCCGAATTCCTCAGCCAGACGTTTTGTTATCGGTACGAAATCTACAAATAGTAATAAGTAACTAAACTGTCGACAAAATATGGGACTTTGGAAAATTTGCAGCTCACTACAATCCCACAATCTACTGTTAAGCAATTCAAAAGTCGGGAATCATCGGGTACTTCCGGAACGTGCTTTAAGCGATTGAAGAGCGCATGTGCGTTGTAAAGCCATTGTATTGTAAAAATCGTTGGAGTTTGTGTCGTCGAATAAAGAGTTTGTCGTTTTCAACGTGGCAGCGGTAGTATCGTACTGCCCCATGTGTCAGTGTAAATAGTTTACCTAATTCGTATAGGTACACGTTAAAAAAATCGATCAGGTGTAGGTAGATTCTTTCCACCATTTGGTTCCAATATGGCGGAATTGGTTGATTCGCAAACTTGACCGAGATATTAATGAGCTACACCAGCCCTTAAAATTTGGTCGGAATCGGTTCATAATTGCGAAAATTAGAGTGTTTCTTGAAAGTGATAAACCTATATAAGTACATATACTGGTACCATGACAATAAGCAGATAGAAATCTACCTAACAGAAAAGCAAAACTAAGTTTTGGTAAGATGCTAATTATTTTTCTGACGGTGGAAATAGATTTGATTTCGTAAAATTAAGAAACGTTCTTTTTGTGTGGTGCTAGGCAATGTAATCTCGTGTGTAATAGACAGAATTCGAGACCACTTTGTTCAAAATAATGCGAACACGACGCCCGTGAACGTTTGTATGCCGAGTATTTATCACGATTGTTGGAGGAACACGAGAAAAGAAACAGCATTCCAATTCGTGAAGGGTTCACTAAAGAGAATCGAACCCCAAAAGCTCTAAAGTACAGTGGTGTAATTGTAAGAGGTTGGTCAGTGCACATTCTAAACCTCGTGCACCAATTGTAAAAGACTCGGTCACTTGACAAAAAGTTGTAGGACAAATTGTGCTTCCTAATCTACTGTCTATAACAAAAATATAGTTTTACAAACAAACGAAAATTATCAACAAAAGCACGTGTTTGATTGTAAAGTAAACGAAACACAGTCGAAAGCTTTGGTTGATCCTGGTTGTGATGCGGTCTTGCTAACGAAATGTGTGGTTGAGCAACATAAGGACTATTGGTGGCTTTGCTGGGTCAAATTAATAATCCGGCAAACGATGTCTTAACAACAAAATAATTCTAAAATGGCAACAGAAGTAAGCAACAAATATATACACGCATCACCAGACCTTCTACTCAAGTTTCAAAAATCCTATGTCTGTACCGTTCTTGTGAAACATGACACTTGCCGCAACACAAGTGATACTGTAGCTATACTAAACATAACTTTAAAATGTTTATTAAAAGCAATCATGTAAAAATATCATTTATTAGCAGTGCATGAAGTTGCTGTTCTATAACTGCAAGTAATTCTTCAATATTTCATTACGAGTCCGGAAAGCAGGCTTTTTCCGTGCGCGCGTGACGAAGCCGAACACGGGAAGTCATGCAAGCACGGAAAAAGCATTTCTGGACATGTAATGAACGATATTTTTTATTATACTTCTTTTAAATCGATAACAAAAAACAACAAACTCGCCAACATTTTTATTTTGTAACAGTTATAGAAAATGCGTTTTCATGGTTACTCTCAAATCATTTCAAAGGCGATTTGTTTAATTAGTTTATTTCAGATAATGTTGACGAAACGTCAAAAAATGTCACAAAATCTCAAAGAAGTTTATCTAAATATTCAAACATCTACGAATTAAAACGCAAAATACTTACATATGAAACATTACAACGCATATAGAATTTCTGAAAATTAGTTTACTTCCTTGTAAATTTGTATTTTAAAGCAATATTTTGGGTATTTATATTCAGCGCACGGAAAGAATCAACGAGACCGGGAAAAGTTTTTCCGTGCGCTAGCCTGGAAAAGGCCAGATACCATTATTTCTAATACAGATGTAAATAAGGTGATTTCAATGAAGTATAATAAAAACGATTTTTATAAATAAGGTTTTCTAGATGGCCAAATAAAAAGTAATCCAAGGGCGTTAGATCAGGTGATCTTGGAGGCCAACAATTCGGTCATCAAAATACTGTTGTAAACAGCTCGGTTACTTTGTACGGGTTATTATTTTATTATTTCTGACAGGTTCCGTATGACAAACCAATTTGTTGGGATAGTTGTGGCTGTGGCTTTTGCGGGCTTTGTTCAAGACGAGCACGCACATCTTCTACTACCGCCTCGTTAGCAACTGTTGGGCGACCAGGGGATTTTCCACAAACAACACTTCCTGTATAGTCAAATCGTTTAACTACTCGAAAAATGTGGTGGTATAAGTTCTCGTAATCAACGACATGTTCAGGAAACTCCGTTGCGGTCGCTTTACTTCCATTACGGAAATAGGACTGCAAAAGCAGTTTATTTTCCTCCAAAGTAAAAGGCATGTCGCAGTTGCTGAATATAACCTATAAAGATGAAACATGCATTTTCCGACTTAAAGTGTAATTTACCTACCTTGTAACTATTCGTTGCAAATTGGTAGCCTTGATAAAGGCTGTTTTGGAAAACGAAAAAATAATGTAGACAAATAATCGTGGAAATAAACGAATCAAACGGGAGGTGACAAGAGGATTAGATTTCGAGTTATGTTTAGTATTGGTTCAACATCATATACGTTGTGGCAAATGGTTACTAAAATCATGTTTCATAAGAGCGGTACAGGCAATGATTGCATTGTATGCATTATATCATAGTTATGATTATATCATAGTATAATATACAAATATGTATAGATATATTAATACATTAAGATATGTAAATAATATATTAATATATCTATGCAAATATACCTACCGACTCGTGAGACCTCTAGCAATCACAAATATGAACTAACCAACATTCAAACGCGTTGTTTTACTTAAATGTTGTTGTTAAATTATGTACCGTTTTTATGATGTAACTAGATTAATCAAGCAAATGGCGTATGCGGAAGCGATCTTCTTACTTAAAATAAAGACGATGGGAAAACTTAATTCTTTACAGGGGAGCACGAGAACGTGGCCTTTGTAACATGGCCGACTGTCAAGAGATTCAAAAGTTATCAATCATCTGGTACTTCCAGAACGTGATAGTAATAAGCAATAGAAGAGCGCGTGTACGGTGAAAATAATTGTATTGTAAATTCCGGAAATCTTTTGACTACATTGAACTATTACAGTATACAAATTTGACTCACAATGTAATATTATATTCTTTCTACTCGACAAAATTTAACAATATTGCATTATTACCTGCAAGTGATTTGAACAGCAAGACATTTCCTAGTAGAGGCAAAGGCTTTGGACCTGAATACGGTGACAAGTACCTGCGGTATTTTAACTGCTCAAGCCATAATTTGATAAACCAACAAATCAATGAACTTACGACGATTATTATTACAAGTAACATTTATTATCGAACCTCTCTGAACTTGGTACACTATTGCACTAATGAATCTAAATGTTGAAGTTCGTTATCTAATATTAACACAAACATTGGACATAAACAACTATTAAAACAAGTTTGACAAAATTTTCAGGGAAATTTCAACATGTAATTACCGATTTGATTTGATTTTTCTTAGGGTATTAACGCGCAATTCTTTTTAATGCTTTACAATGCATTTATAAACGTGTATGGCGCATTATTTTCTAATTACATCAATCGTTAGCACTATGTTCTTCTAGACACGCTACTAAAAATGCAACATATCAATACAACACCTTTCATGTGTATAATAACATGCTAATAAAACAGATTAATTCTTGGCTTGTTGTTTTGGCGCCCTATAAGCTAATGCAGGCATAAGAAACAGATGATTAGAATTTTAAATGAGATTATCGGAACATGTCCTCAAACCGAATCAGCTACTACAGTGGACAATGTCCATGTAAATGTTTATTTATCTAAGTCGTATAAAACAGTATTCCACTGATGTAAATTAATAGTCATCAGGGTGTTAAAAGGTTCGCGATTTTAATTGAATACGTAAACCATTATACGACTTCAAAATAACCTCAAGCGATAGTTCTGGCTCATGGCCGGCGACGGGAAGAATTTCGAAGTTTCTTAAGATGTTTGATATTGTGGATTTTAGTTCTACCATTGCAAAACGCTGACCTATAATTTCAAAATCAGTGTGGGAAGAATGTCGAAGATACTTACCAATGCAATTTCTGGGACCTGCACTGAAAGGAACGTAAGCGTAAGGCGACCTAGTTGCCGAATTTTCCGGTAAGAAGCGATCCGGGTCGAATTTTTCAGAATCAGGAAAAGATGTAGGATCTCTATGCAGAAGCAAGGGGTATAATGTCAAAACCAGTCCTTTTGGCAATAGTGACTCATCTGAAAGAAAGATTCACATATTGATCTTCATACTTGGTACTCAACCAAACGGCACGTCTTGCGTTAAGACTCTTGAAAATGAGGGAACAGGAGGATACAATCTTAAAGATTCTTTAATAACCATTTCTAAGTATTTCATTTCTTGCACGTCTTTGTACGTAGGCGCTCTATCCTTATCGCAGTAAAAAATTCGTCTCAGTTCCTCGACCACTTTCCGCTATTTAACACAACTTAAATGGTATGGTATGATGTATGACTCACACTTACTTGTACGTCTGGGTGCTTGGCAAGACAATACAAAGTGAAGCTGATGCCAGCAGCCGTTGTATCATGGCCCTGAAACAATTACACCTACAGCCCCGGCATGAACTTGAGTATTGCCTACCTCAAACATAAATGTGTCCACTTCCTCTCTGACTGTTTCATCGCTTAAATTATACTCCAAAAGAAGATCTAAAAATGCAACACGTTTTGAAAGTCCCTCATCACTTCGCTCATGCAACGTGCGCCCTGTAAACGTTGATTTCCTACTTCGAATTATGGAATTTGTGAATCCCTGCAAAATTGAAAGGACTTTGCGTTGTTGTTGATACGCCCAGGTAAATTTATACAGAAAATGTATCATTTTAGTTACTGACAATGCTCGTTCGGTAATAATACGGCACATTTCCTTGACGCTCAATACGTACGAGGATGTCGAATTTTTTTGAGCATTTATTTGCACTCCCATTGCGGCCTCTGGGCAAAAAAAAGTAAGATGAAGTATGCTTAGTTAACAACATACCACAAATGATATCAAGCGTGCAGAGTGTAACCAATGGAAATACGTCAAACGGACCGTTTTCCACCTTCGGTTTGAGCATATCTATCAATGTATTACTTTGACGATTGAATATTTTAATGTATTTTTCCAGTATTTGAAAGTGAAACGCTGGTGTTAGTAATTTTCTTTGCGATTTCCATTTTTGCCCTAATAATTAGGATAAAATTAATGGTGGACTCCTCATAGTATCATATCGCACCGGTGCTAGTTAATAATCCTGTTCCAAGCCAATCGTGGAAAAAACTGTATTCGTACGATTTGTCAATGATTGATGTTGAGCTGAGTACAAACTCTGCTGTTTTTGGGTCACAAACTACGAGCCGTGGTTGAGGACCTAAATATACTATAAATGATCCCAGGATCCCTTTCCACACACGCATCGATACCGGAACAACATCTAGAAGTACAGAACTTGTTAAAGAGCATTGCCTACATTAACAACCTGCAGTCGATTTAAGTAGCAACAAATTTCCTAGTAGGGGTAAAGGCTTGGGCCCCGGGAATTGCGCCAACTGCTTACGATATTTCATTTGATTCATCCATAATAGAATTACGTACAGGCATAAGATTACAATTGTAATTAACACAACCAACATTTCTTACAGTATTCTTAATTGGAACTGTTTCAACACGCTCTGTGCACGATATATTAAACACTGATAAACACTTCGAATTAAGATCAAAATAGGAACATTAAGCAAGCTCCACCTCGTGATTACAACCACGTACAAAGAACCCCAGCACCAGGCATCGACGTTTCTAGATCTACCATGGAGAATATGTAGAATATGCGGGATAGCGCTCACTTATTCTGAAGATTATGCTATATCATCTAATTATTTCTTATCCAATGGTTATATCTATATTATTATGTAGTCCTCAGGCATTTAAAAAGTCAAGTTTGCTTGCATTATTCTGAATATTTACTGATTGAACTATCAACAAGCACTATGTATTTACCGCCTAGTTGCCACTGTTACCACTATAATTAATAATTAATCTCTACAGTACATTACTATTTAGAATTATAATATAGTAAACTGTGTTTATATATTAGTAGGGGAGCTAACACGAAATCCACTGAACGAGAATGATCAAAATTTTAACCGATGGTGTTCCATTTTGCCCTATCGGAGTATGCTAAAATCGATCGTCTGCCGCCTCAGGTCATACGACTTAAGGCGCTGCGGGTACTTCTTGTGGTACCAATTCTGAAAGGTTGTTTTTCGAGAAAATAAGTTATATACCAAATGAAAACGTTGATAATAGCTCTTAAAAAAATATTTAAAAAAATCCCGCGCATTTGATAACTCCCTAAAAAAACAATTCTTAGTCGGTTTTTCACGAACTTTCTACGGATATAACTAGGTTACGGTGGGACGAATGAAGCTGATTTTTTTTACAGACTCATGATAGGTACTACTAATGACTTAACGGTGTTTCGTTTTTAAATTTTGTCTCTAATTACAAGATTATCTTATTAGCTTAACATTATAAGATATCTTATAATTAGAGAAAAAATTTAAAAAAGAAACACTCTCATAGTCATTGGCTGTACCTATCATTGGTCTGTAAAAAAAATCAGCTTCATTCTTCCAACGGTAACCTAGTTATATTCGTAGCGCATTTTTTAAGAATTAAAAAAATATGCTATTGTCTGCGTTTTGTCCGTCCGTTCGTCCGTCCGGACTCACCTCTACGTTTTGAACTACTTCTGGAGGAATGGTCCTAGAGTCCTGGAATTGCAGTAGATAGCCTATACCTTGAAGGTGTGCCAGACGACCATCAAATTTCGTTGTCTAAAAGGGGGGGCCCCCCTACGAATTATTTCTTGAGATGCTGTTTTTGGGGGTTAAAAATTAATTTTATCTCTCATTGTATTCTAATTAAAGATCTCAACGAAAGGAACCGTTTTCTACCAACTACTGCCCTTCTTATCAAAGTACGGGGTGGAGGGGGAGGGCTGGGAGTGGAACTAGTTTTATCTTTCATGGTACTCCCTCCTCCTCGACCTCTTATCGTGATCTGGTATATTCCCTTATACCTCAAGAACGGATTGTCGGAAGAGGGTACTTACAAAGGGCGATTGAGACATCTGCAAGATATATATCCATTGGTGATGTCAAAACAAAAGCTATTTCGGTTAAAAAAAATGCCCTTTAACTGTACAAGAGTTGTGAACAATTTATACTTGTTTTAATTATTTTCAAGGAAAATGGATCTTTTCTGTACACCTCGTGCTTTTCTTTTCGAGACTACTAGAATGATAGTACAACAAATCTAATTAACAACATATTTACGTGTATTAAACCAAATCAAGGTCCACTTTCGTTTACATCCTTCGTCATAACAATAGCAACAAGCCAATGTTAAATTTTGCTTCAAATTCCAATACCAAATACTTATTCAAAATTCTGTATATATGTATTTTGCTCGTTTTACATCCAGCTAAAATTGCTGTGACATGATTAACTGTCAAATTTAATCGCGTTCTTACCATTGTACTTATTTTTGAGTTGAGTTTTTGTGTATCCATTTGCTTAAACTTTAACAAAAAAAAACAATTCTCTTAAGAACTAAAGTTGATATTTTGAGTCCTAAGTGTAATTGCATTCGTGATGGATTCAACCCGAAGCACCCGTATTTTCCATTGAAAAAACGTAGTCCCTCAACCTTGGGTCATTTATTGGTGTCCGAGAAACATTTTATTATAAATATCTACTTATAAACAAATGTCTGATACTCCGGATATGAAATTTGCTACTCTTGTTTTTAAGATTACATCTACCGCAGGTAAGACGATAAATATGATGTAGGTATATTTGGTTATTAAAGTACGATACATCTTAGAAGAACCGGATAACTAAAATATTTCGAAGTACGGGAATTGTTACCCCTTCGAAACGTTCCGGTGGACGAAAACCTCTGGTAGCGGCATTTGATGGAATAACAAAGGGATCAATTCGGCAAGTCATACATATAACTTCTCTCATAAAACGAGCTTCCAGCGCTGATCAAAATCTTACGTGAAATACAAAACCGGTCATATTGACCCCAAATGTCCCGTTCATCGCTGTATAAGTTAATGAAGCAGATTAATTTTAAGTAAGTAGGGTAGTGATATGTTAGTAATACTCGCCGGTCTTTTTGTTCAACGCCGATGCGATACTGTAACACATGAATCGGGTCTTCCATACCGGCCATGTGGCTGAATCCAGAGAAATTAAAATCTTCTGGCGTCTTAGTCCAAATTATTGGTAGATTGAATAAAGCAGGCACAGAATGTACACTATGTTGTATCAAGACCCGACATTTATTTTCCCTGCCTTCTACTGGAGGGCTGGAGCCCTTACTATGCCACTGCATCGACTCTTGTTTTGATTCGGGATCGTAATGATGCACTCAGGTTTCCTCTCCTGTGACAATTGTCTACGCGACACGCATTCGCGCAACCCAACTTGAACTAGCCTTTGTCATCTCATCGTGCTCGTCTAGCATTTTGAAAACCGTGGTTTCTGAAAGTCCTAGTGAAGCTCCTTTAGTCTTACATCCTCCAATACCAAACTCTTGGTTTTTTCAACAACAGGGCGCCTTAGACGATGATCATGCTCCAGTGATTCTCGACCATGTTTAAACAATGTTGACCACTCGTCAATAGTTGACTTAGAAGGGCAACCATCCCCGTATACAGTCAACATTTCTTCAAGAATAATGGTTTTCCTTGTTTTGTAACACCACAAACTGGCAGATAATAAAATTAATAATGTTGCAATTGTTTTGTAAATTGCCACACAAGCTACCAAGGCATACGTGATTAAAAACAGTATAATGAAAAATTGCATCAAAATTCAAAACAGCCGGGAATATGTACAGGGTGGCAACGAAACAGAGCCTATTTTGGGGACCTCAAAACATCTACGGAAAAATACTCGGACCCGTCAATTTTTTATTCAAAGGGGAACAATTTTTTTGCTAGTTTCGCCCCCCTGAGGGCAAAGCCCTAGCGGGGGTGACAAGCGCCCCCAAAATTTTAAATCGAATGGGTGGTCGAGTGATACCTGATTTTGAAGGTATTTTTATGTGGATTATAACCTTTAAGTTTTAAATCGCTACTAATTTGCCTAGCCGATACAGGGACATTTTCTTATGAAAAAATATTCTTGTAAATGAATTAGTTAAATAATAAAAATAAAAACAACAGTAAACACAAAAAATGTTGTTCTCCTACATTCTGAGCCGTAATTTTTGTTGTTTTTTTTTTTCTTTTTAATACTCGTAGGTACATATGCCTTTTCTGCAACGCAAATCTTGGTTATTGTTGAGAGCATTACTATAGCATCATTTTGAAGTTTAATAGTGATTGTCAATTATTGTTGTCAGAACGAGAGAGGGATAATAAACAAATAAATAAATAAATAAATAAATAAATAATGGTTTATTCACTTGCTGAAATAATTGATCTTTTTTTGCAAACAATGAAAATGCTAATAGAACTTCCCAGCTCTTTAATCGACAACACCAGAATCGACAGGTCCATCGTATGTTTGGGCTGCCATTTTTGGTAACCGTATCGTAGGCCCCTTCTTTTTACCTGGAACTTTAACAGGAGAGATGTGCCTGGAGTTATTAGAAAAGACGATTCGTCCAGCATTAGTGGAGATACTAGAAAATAACGACTACTTGGAAATAGTCTAGTATTTCAGCAAGATGGTGTGCCACCCCACTATGCTGCAAGGGTTCGTCAATATTTGGACCAAACGTTTCCAGGACAATGGATTGGAAGAAAAGGTGCTATTGAATGGCCTCCTCGTTCCCCGGACTTAAGTGCGTTAGATTTGTCTTATGGGGCCATTTAAAAACTAAAATTTATGCTAGTCAGCCTACATCGTTAGACAACTTCCGACAAAAAATAATTGACGAATGTCGTCAAATCACCCCATAAGTTTTTCAAAATGTACGGAAAGTGTTTGAACAAAACCTGTATTATTCTATGGAAGTCGAAGGCCAACATTTTCAACATTTACTTGATTTAAAACTTAGGGTTATAATCCACATAAAAATACCTTCCAAATAAGGTATCACTCGACCCCCCATTCGATTTAAAATTTTGGGGGCGCTTGCCACCCCCGCTATGGCTTTGGCATCAGAGGGGCGAAGCTAGCAAAAAAGTGGTTCCCCCTTGAATCAAAAATTGACGGGTCCGAGGATTTTTTCGTAAATGTTGTGAGGTCTCCAAAATAGGCTCTGTTTCGTTTTCAAATGGCCACTCTGTATAACAACGACCCCTCGTATCTAAAGATAATAATAAAAAATCGGCTAAACTGTTGGGTTAACATTTGCCTGCACTTATTCACCAACACTGATTAGGTGTACTGAAAACTGTTAATTGTGTAATGTTCTTGATATAGCAAAGACATATTTTAATTACGCAGTATAAGCTGGCATGGGTGATTGGTAAGTGTTTACCTATTTTGGTTAGAATCTTTTACATAGCGATGGCAAAACGATTTTAAGTATTTAGGTAGGTATCTATTCATTTAGGAGTTTAAATCACTTTGTCACTAAATAGGTGCCTACTTCTCGCGAGTGCTATAAATCGGAGTATGAAATATCTGACACTCACAACTAATAACCTAATAACCTTTATGCTCATTAAAGACGTGATAGAAACACAATCTTCGCGTAAAGAAACCACAACATTCTTGTTTAGTGCACTTTTACTTTCAAAAAATAAAAAGTGCACTTTTGCGCTCTTGATGTCTGTCTGTCTGTCTGTCTGAAGGGCTATTAAAATCGAAAAAACAAATTGAAAGTTGCACTCTTCGCCTCTTGCTAACAAGCGGCTTAATGAATTTTTTAAAGAAATGTCCAGAATATATGAGTGCACTATACTCTTCGTTATCTACTTTTTGACTATACCTACCTACTAACGGGCGATCAAAAATGGTTGGCGGTCGAGTCGCCTTTGGAATTTAAGTACAATTTCCCACAATTTCCCATGTAAACAACAATTCCAAAGGTGATTCGACAGTAACTCATTTTTGATCGCATAGTAGAACTCGTTGCCTAGCGCTTTTGAACATTTTACAACACTAAAGGAAAGTTACAGTTTTGGTTATGGTTTTTTGTAATGAAAAATAATATTTGAATAGATGTAGTACCTCGCTAATATGCATTTAAAGTGTATGTGTATAATAATATACATATTTATGTCTGTTTGTTTGACGTGTAAATGAGTTATTTACAATTGTTATTTACAAGTAATAAAAACACAATCAAATTTCTCACAAACTAATTACAATTTAGCGAAATAGATTACTTATAATTTCCACGAAATATTTCTGACCTCCACCTGTAACCTCCTCAACTAAGGATATCATTAGGTTACTTCCATATATTAAACTTATTTATAATTCGGAAAACATTTTCGGTAACCATCAGGCATCTTTTATCCGTAAAACTCAGTTCGGTAAAAAAAACCCGCGGGAGTAGTCAGAGACCCGCTCCCCGCAGTTCACTCGTCATCTGGGTTGATGGTGATTCTCCTACGGTTAGCCCACTGGGAAAACATGAAAAGTGGACGGAACATCAACGCAGCCGCCTCCTTACTGTAACGACTCGTGGCTCAAAAGACCCAATCGTCAGCGTTGACGGTTGACGGCCACGTTGCTGCACCATGCTGCTGTAAGAGTATCTCGAGCCTATATTAGGTATAGGGATTGGGGCAAGTGTTGAACCCTGACGTACATCGACAGAGGGTGAACATTGTGGCGATAGGCTTTTCCTCACCGATCTCTAGGAAATTCCTTCAGTGTGAGGGAGTCGGGAATACTTATAGGTCGCGAATTTTGTGGATATGTCCGGCGGACCGTACTGTCTTCTTATGTCCAGGAACGAGGCGAGGGTGCATTTCCCTATGATAAAGGATTTGGTGACGCCGCCCGCCGGTGTGGAGTTTAAACAACGCGCCATGTATGAAGCGGCCTAGGCGGAATCCGTATTTGCTTATGCAATTAAGTAGTGAAATAGAGCGATAGCAAGATAGGTTAGTAGGGTCGGCGTTGGGTTTCGGGATCATAACGCGGATAGAGGTTTTCCAGGCCTTGGGAAAGTAGAATGTTTGCAGGAATTTATTATATAGTTGGGATATGAGGGGTAGTGTCGGGGGGTAAGTGACAAAGAATCACCCTGTTGAGTCCATCAAGACAGGATAGTATAGGAGATATTAGAGGATTGTCGTTATGGAGAGGGCCGGACATGCGTGGCGCATTTTGACAGATTTGCAGGTCAGACTCGAGGGTTTCCTTGACAATCTGGTCGTCAGGGGTTGTAATGGTGTTTTGGGGGAACGAATCGAAAAAATTTTCCTTCTCCTGGTCGGAGATAATTATGCGATGTTGGGGATCTACTTAGGCGGGAGTGCGTCTGGGATTTGCGTTTTGACAGGATGTCGAACCGGTTCCAAAATTGTTGAATTGATTGTGTTATAGGTGTAGTGGTGGGCGGGGATGGAGGTTGGTTTTAGGGGATAGAGGGGTGATTATACGTTTAGAACCACCATGTTTTACCACGGGAAGGAAAGCGGAGAGTCCTGAGACACCCTCACAAGGTTGGGTTAGTAAAAAACAAGTTAAAAAGTAATCGTAAACGATTTACATAAAGCGCATTTCCACTTGCATTCATTTCCCATTTGTAAGATGCAACTTCTGTTAAAATCGTAAAAATCCGACCACAAATATGAAAGATAGCGTTTGCACATAGGCAATCCATTTTTGACGTGCTACTTCAAGTTCAGTTTATGAGAAGAATTTCATTTCAATGCTTTTCTAAATAAGAAAGTTGGAACTGCGCATGCGCAGACCTAAATTTTGGAACTAATGTTAGATTTTCCTTTGTTCCAAGCGCCTAAATATCAAATTTCACTTAAATGCTTCCATAGATAAAAAAGTTGGCACTGCGCATGCGCAAAATAAAATTTTGAAACTGGCGCTAGATTTTCCTTTATTCCAAGCACCTATGTATCAAATTTCATTTAAATGCTTCCATAAATAAAAAAATTGACACTGCGCATGCGCGAAACCAAATTTTGAAACTGGCGTTAGATTTTCATTTATTCCATGTGCCTATGTATCAAATTTCGCTTAAATTCTTCCATAAATAAAAAAGTTGGCACTGCGCATGCGCAAAACCAAATTTTGAAACTGGCGTTTGATTTTCATTTATTCCAAGTGGCTATGTATCAAATTTCATTTATAGTATATTAAGTATGGAGAACGGTAAGGAATTTTTACCGTTCGAAGACAATTGTTTGGAGGAGGAGCGGAGCGACGACTCCAATTATTGTCTGAGAACGGTAACCCTTAACGTTCGACGTGCTTATAACATTTTTTGCGCGATCGAAATTAAAATTATACAACCAATATAAATATGCACTAAGAAATTAGCGAGCAGAATAAATTGCAATGATCGAAGTGGTATGGTGTACATCACTAGGTAACCAGTTTATTTGTCAAAACTGAAATTAATAATTTCTTGTGCATGTGTCTGATGTAGTTTGCTAGATTTGCACTTCCGTTATAACTTTTTTGCGCGATCGATCATTTCTGACTATTTACCATGGGTGTTTCCATGACAGTACGTAGAATTTACCAGTTGCTATGATTACGACGACGTCAAAATTACTTACCGATCTAAAAACAGAACAGCAAAAATACTTACCGACGCCTTTTTAAAAATCAACAGTCTTAGTGCTTGTTCACAATGGACATAAGCATAACAAAAACATAACAGATACATAATTCATAATGTTGAATAGTAGCAAACCAACGTATGTGTTCACAATGATTACATAATTTTTATTTTTTTGTAAATGTTTGCGTATGTTTTATGTCCTACCGAAACGGTACATAAAAAATACATAAAGTTGGGTCGGTTTCAACTTTACGTAGGTTTTATGAAAAATCTAGTGGAATTAGGTGTATTTCTGTTGGGTACAAAGACGCAGCTGTTGGTTTGACATTTCAATTACTACGTCTAACGTCGATGACATCTCTTCTGCCAACATAATCTGGTTATTTTTAAATTGGTACATAGTTTTTGGCGCATTATTTCATAGTTTGGTGTGGTTTGGTTCTTCGTGTGTTGTTTTTTGATTATATCCAACACGACATGGAAAACGTATAGACGTCGAATTATTAATTAGTTTGGTGCGATTAAAACCCTAATTGTTTAATAAAGGGGACAAAAGATATAAGGTTAATAGGTGATCGAATAATCCTGGTGTATGAAAAAACCATATTCTTCATCATGCAGCTTCATTTCTAGACAAGCTTAAATTCTTAAATTCTCCCCTTTTCTCTCGGTCTCGATTTATAGGTCTGACCCACCAACGCCGTTTTTGTTTTGTAACAACTTTGTCTCTGTGTCTTCATAACAGTAAAAGCAATAAAACTGTTGAAATTTCCATCTCAGTGGCACATACATATACACCACAAATAATATTGTTATGTTCTTGACGTTTTGATTTGCGCCTACGCAGATAATTATAATCTTACGGTCACTGTGAACACTTTCTCCACCTGCGTAAAATTATGTCTTATGTCAATATTATGTTTTATGTATCTGTTATGTTTTTGTAACGCTTATGTCCATTGTGAACAAGCACTTACATTACATTTAATCTTTAATTATTGTTAGGTACATTAAACGTGCAATTGGTGCTGTTGTTTCCTATAGCAAGACGCTCATAAAGTCATAAAGGAAGTGCAAAGCTAGTAAACTACATCAGACACATGCACAGTTTTATGAAATTATTAATTTCAATTTTGACAAATAAACTGGTTGCCTAGTGATGTACACCATACCACTTCGATCATTTCGGTTTATTCTGTTCGTTAATTTCTTAGTGCATATTTATATTGGTTGCATAATTTTAATTTCGATCGCGCAAACAATGTTATAAGCACGTCGAACGTTAAGGGTTACCGTTCTCAGACAATAATTGGAGTCGTCGCTTCGCTCCTCCTCCAAACAATTGTCTTCGAACGGTAAAAATCCCTTACCGTTCTCCATACTTAATATACTATATGAGCGAGGTATTCGCCGGTGGCCGAATGGTATGTCGAAGATTTTACAGAACAAAATTGTAATTGGAATGTATTAAGAAAAACGAAAGCACAACTTTAAACACATTGATCTCTATTGCTTCAGGTTTAAATGACGTGTTCTTTGTATACGAAACATCAGCACAAATTGTACATTTAATGTAACAATAATTAAAGATTAAATGTAATATTGAACTGATTGTTTTTAAAAAGGCGTCGGTAACTATTTTTGCTGTTCTGTTTTTAGATCGGTAAGTAATTTTGACGTCGTCGTAATCATAGCAACTGGTAAATTCAACTTACTGTCATGGAAACACACATGGTAAATAGTCAGAAATGACCGATCGCGCAAAAAATACTTTTATAATTAAGTTTGTAATTCGGTTTATAAATGGTTGAGATGCGAAAAGGGCACTGTGAATTTTGAATCGATTCGACTCAACTTTTGGCATTGCGTATTATATGGCTAAAGCTATGCCCATATTGAATTTCATGCAATTCAGTTCATAACTAACGGAGATGTAAAAGCAATCGGACATTTCTAAACAAAGTTATCGTTCACACGGACAGATAGAGGGACAGACAGACAAAGAACAGACGGACAGACCAACAGGCAGACGACAGACAGCAATGCAAAATTATAAACGATTTCTAGGATCGTTAATAAACGGCAAAAGTGTAAAATTATGGAACATGTAAAAAACGGTTTTTTGTTTTTTTTACAATAACTTTTTTTGTAAGCGGTACAGAAAAAATTCCTTCCTTGGTGCAAGACTCGACACCATAACGAACCAAATAGCGAAAAAAGTAGAACAATAGCTCTTAAGATAAAGAACTAGTAGCGTCGCAAAACGAGAGGACGGACGGACGGACGGACGGACAAAGTGGCCACAATAGAGCATTTTTTTTTATTTTTGTGGAAATGCGCTAAAAAGAGCGGGTCCGTGAAGTTAGCAGAACATTGGCGGCACAACTTTCGAGACTAGGTGGATTGGTTAGTGTTACGTTTGTGCCGGTTAGTGCCGTAAAAAGTTTGTCAGTAAAACAGACCGTTTGGAAATTATTTCGATTTTTAGAGGTTCTGCTAATAGGCCAGTCATTGAGGATTTTTACCTGGAAATAACTCTAGAAGTACTATAAAGGTGCGTAGAACTAAAATCCGTAAAATGAACAATTTGAAACTTGCCACCGGCACCGCCATCTTGCCAAGATGGCCACCAAAAGCGGTTTCCCGCAGGTATCTCCAAAACTGTGCATTTTTCGAGAAAATATGTGGTTAGTAAAATTAAAGAGAAGAAAATTTCCTACAACCAATGTATATTTTCACTAAAGTTAGCCCTTAGGCAGAAAAGTTTAATAACCAGTGGTGTATATTTGATCCAAATAATTCATTGAGCATTTAATTAATTAAGACACGTGCCCTGAAAGGCGCAATGGAAGTATCGTTTGCAAACAATGTTAAATTTATGTCTGGTAAGGAAGTCATTGACGTTTTCATGTATATAACTTACTCTTACAGAGAGCTTTCTATTATGTTATCAAAAATCTCTAAACCTTCCCCATATAGTTTTATTCGTTGAAGTTTTTTAAAAAAATAACAGCGACTATATAGTTTCGGCGTACTGCCATCATCAGGCGACTAGAAGTGTATCACAATATAGCAAATTTGAAAACATTAAGAGCTAGTACTTACTGTGTTTTTTTTAAAAAACTTCAACGAATAAAACTATATGGGGAAGGTTTAGAGATTTTTGATAACATAATATATTTCAACCCCCATTTCGAGGAACGATGGATCCAACTCAAAAAAAAAGAGAGCTTTCTTTTAAAATCTGTACAGGGAAATCTCTTACAACACGACTGATGCATTCGAACCCCTCGGGATTAACACACACTCTAGTCCATTGATATATTTTATACTGATTATGATTCTCTCCCTTTTTTAATTCTATACAATAATGTAATATCACTAATTTAAATTCCAGCGCAATCCCCACGGATTATGGGACGGCAGACGTCTTAAGACCTACAGTTTCAGAACGTCGCGTCATATGGTCGCAAATTATAGCGGTGAATGTTAACAACATAATGGTATTGGCGAACGGCATGGTAGCAGGGTATCCGACCGTTCTCATACCAAGCTTATACGACGAAAAGATAAACTCCCAGTCCAGCGCCATTACCGAAGACCAAATATCGTGGATAGGTTAAATTGTACGCGCACTTCGTCACCTTGTAATTGTTGAGTTTAGGTCCGATCGGGTTTACGTGCGCACTGCTGGGATGCTTGCTTTCTGGAATCATTACACAACCGCTCGGAAGGACGAGGGCTCTAAGGTTGGGGTGCCCGTTTTTAGTAGCGGCTTGGTTGGTGTTCCTGTTCGCCAACGAGATGTGGCAAATCTACCTCGCGTTATGTTTGGGTGGTTTAACCAGTTCATTGGTCGAAGCGCCTGTATGTATTAGCCCTCATTACGACCCGTGTAAGGAATCTGTTGCAGATCATAGCGTATAAAGCGGAGGTAAGTCAACCGCACTTAAGAGGAATGTTTTCCGGTACAACATCGCTATTCTCTGTTATTGGCGTACTCGTCCAGTTTATATTGGGCACATTCCTGCATTGGAGAACAGTCGCTGCCATTTCCAGCTCATTTCCTCTTCTCACCTTCGTTTTCTTGTTTTTTATACCGGAAAGTCCGCACTGGTTAATCATGCGTGGTAGAAAAGAAACAGCACACAAAAGTTTAGCTTGGCTAAGGGGTTGGACTACGCTGGATGAAGTCGAAGCAGAATTTCGAACACTTTGTGGCAGGTGCGATACAGAACAAGAAGCGGAAGCATCAAGCAGCAGAGAGGCAGTTCGCGGAAGTATGTGGAAGAAGTACATGGAAAAACGATTTCTTTGGCCGTTAAGCTTGGTGTGTTTTATTTTCTTTTTGTCGCACTTTAATGGTAGTTGTACATTACAAACGTATGCCGCTAACATCCTTACTACCATGGAGGCGCCAGTGGATCAATTTTACGCCACTGTCATGTTGGGTATTACCGAAGTAGTTGGATGTTTCTTGAGCTTGTTTGTGGTAAGGTACTGCGGAAAGCGCGTAATGGGAATGGCTACACTTTGTGCTGTAGGAATTTGCGTGGTTGCCGTAGGTGCTTACGCGTTTATTATTGATATGCCATACCTCAAGTTGGACGAGGTGTGTGAAACTTTCCTCATCACTCCGTCTGCGTGGATTCCAGTATGCTTAATATTACTTCTGTCATTCATTGCGCATACTGGCATCAGAGTATTGCCATGGATCCTGTTGGGTGAGATATTCCCTCATGAAACGAGAGCCGTCGGTTGTGGTATTGGGAGCGCGAGTTACTACCTGTTCATATTTATTTCTGACAAGCTCATCATCGTAATGGTTAATGCAATGACCATTTTCGGAGTGTATCAGCTTTACGCAGCCATAAGCGTCGTAGGTGCATTGATAATGCACTTTGGACTTCCCGAAACCGAGGGAAAGGATTTGGACGACGTGATTGATCACTTTTCGGAAGTGTCCAAATTAGACAACCGAGTAAAGAAAAGGGAATAAAACTATCGTCACAAATCTAGCTTAAAATTAATACTTAGACTTCTTTTTTTCGATGAACAACACACTATGGAAGTTGTGCCTTTACTTTACTTTAAGGTTTTTTGGTCTTAGTATGGTTGCAAGGATTGTAAAATCTGTGAATTTTTTTACGTGGTTTTCCCTGTAAGAATAATCCATGATATGTAATAAAAGGTTTTTTATTTGAGAGTGAGGAATTTTTAACGAAAAAAATACGTTATTATATTCGTTATGAACGGCTGACTGTCCGACTGAGATCTCAGCAATCACAAAAGCTAAAGACTTCAAATTTTTACTAAAAGCTTTCTGATGTAGTGTGGATGTGCAGGCTGTAGTGTATTTTGAGTTAGATTACTCGTGAGATCGAAAATTTTAAACTTTGCTAATGAAATACTGATCTGCATTACCAAAAATCCGATTTCATCATGCATATGCTGATTTACAACTTATTTAAAACGAAAAAATACAAAAACAATAAATTTTTGTACGTAACCTTTTTTTAGCGCATTTCCACAAAAATTAAAAAAACGCGCTATTGTGGCCACTTTGTCCGTCCGTCCGTCCGTCCGTCCGTCCGCTCGTTTTGCCACGCTACTAGTTCTTTATCTTAAGAGCTATTGTTCTACTTTTTTCGCTATTTGATTCGTTATGGTGTCGAGTCTTGTACCAAGGAAGGAATTTTTTCTGTACCGCTTACAAAAAAAGTTATTGTAAAAAAAACAAAAAACTGTTTTTTACATGTTCCATAATTTTACACTTTTGCGATTTATTAACGATCCTAGAGATCGTTTATAATTTTTCATTGCTATCTGTCGTCTGCCTGTTGGTCTGTCCGTCTGTTCCTTTGTCTGTCTGTCCATCAGTCCATCTATCTGTCCGTGTGAACGATAACTTTGTTTAGAAATGTCCGATCCTTTTACATCTCCGTTAGTTATGAACTGAATTGCATGAAATTCAATATGGGCATAGCTTTAGCCATATAATACGCAATGCCAAAAGTTGAATCGAATCGATTCAAAATTCACAGTGCACTTTTCGCATCTCGACCATTTATAAACCGAATTGCAAACTTTTTTACTTATAAAAGTATTTGAATGAAATTTGATACATAGGCACTTGGAATAAAGGAAAATCAAACGCAAATTTCAAAATTTGGTTTTGCGCATGCGCAATGCCAACTTTTTTATTTATGGAAAATTTAAACGAAATTTGATACATAGGCACTTGTAATAAAGGAAAATCAAACGCTAATGTCAAAATTTGGTTTTGCGCATGCGCAGTGCCAACTTTTTTATTTATGAAAGCGTTTAAATGAAATTTGAGACATAGGCGCTTGGAATAAAGGAAAATCTAGCGCCAGTTTCAAAATTTTATTTTGCGCATGCGCAGTGCAAACTTTTTTATCTATGAAAGCATTTAAGTGAAATTTGATCTTACGCTCTTGGAACAAAGGAAAATCTAATATTAGTTTCAAAATTTAGGTTTGCGCATGCGCAGTTCCAACTTTCTTATTTAGAAAAGCATTGAAATGAAATTCTTCTCATAAACTGAAAATGAAGTAGAACGTCAAAAATGGATTGCCCATGTGCAACGCTATCTTTCATATTTGTGGCCGGATTTTTACGATTTTAACAGAAGTTGCATCTTACAAATGGGAAATGAATGCAAATGGAAATGCGCTTTAGGTAAATAGTTTACGATTACTTTTTAACTTGTTTGTAGACAATTGCACGATGAACAAGTTTTGTAATAACCCCTATTGCCCTTCGCGCAATAGGTCGCGAGATATTCGCGAAAAACTGACTTTTTGACCTTTATAACCTTTAGCCGGCACGATATAAATGTCGATTTTTCACATATTCACTAAAATGCCGTAATAAAGGTGTATACAAAAATTCAACTCACTAGGAATTTTTCTGCAGATTGGGATTTGAAACTTCTAAGATTAGGTACTGTACTAACATATAACTACACTAAGGAAAATTTAAGGAAGATGGACAACACTACCCTTTTCTAGACTTTGCCCTTAATTTTGACTGCTCACATCGTGAGGAAATCGCATCAATAACTCCATAAAGCCTAGTTTACACAAGATAGTAAATTAGACTATTACTTCTGAGTTTAACTTGCGCTAGCGTTTACATAAAGAACAAGTTAAAAAGTAATCGTAAACGATTTACATAAAGCGCATTTCCACTTGCATTCATTTCCCATTTGTAAGATGAAACTTCTGTTAAAATCGTAAAAATCCGGCCACAAATATGAAAGATAGCGTTGCACATGGGCAATCCATTGTTGACGTGCTACTTCAATTTCAGTTTATGAGAAGAATTTCATTCAATGCTTTTCTAAATGAGAAAGTTGGAACTGCGCATGCGCAAACCTAAATTTTAAAACTAATGTTAGATTTTCCTTTGTTCCAAGCGCCTAAGTATCAAATTTCACTTAAATGGTTCCATAGATAAAAAAGTTGACACTGCGCATGCGCAAAATAAAATTTTGAAACTGGCGCTAGATTTTCCTTTATTCCAAGCACCCAGCGCCTTTTTTTCCACTAGGCCCATCAGGCCCTGGCCTAGGGCCCGCACGCTGAAAGGGCCCGGAATCGACACAGTGATTACAATAAAATAAGAACCAAATTTCAAATATTGAGTAACATTGGTCAGGGCTATTTAATTTCCGCGTAAAATGCGATCTAAAATTAACGATTTGAGGTGTTTCATGGACACACAGAAATTATACGATCCTTTAAAAAGAATGTGGGGATATTATATTTACAAAATGGATTGTAGGATATATAAATCTAGATATAAATAAAATTTAAGTAGAGCAGGCATGGTGCAAAATTACACCGTGGTCATAACACACCGGATATGGGTATCGCTGAATCAATTGTATCATTGTTTGGGTTTGTTTGAACTGCAAAGGCGACGTGTCGTATTTCATTTACTAATTACTTACATTATAAATATACGTACCATAATTTTTAGGATAGACGAATTTTACTGCACTCATTACTACCATTGATTTATGGTATTTAAACAATGCTACTAATCTTATGAACCCTGTTTGACCTAATACCTAGTTTTCGTTTTTTTGTGTGTGCTGTGTCTACTGTCTGTGTCATAAAACTTTTTAAATTGCTAAAATTGCTAAAATTCACATGCACTGTTTGGGCATGAGGTGGGGCCCCCAAATATTGAGGGGCCTAGGACCCGCCTATTTCAAAATTAGGCGCTGCAAGCACCTATGTATCAAATTTCATTTAAATGCTTCCATAAATAAAAAAATTGACACTGCGCATGCGGGAAACCAAATTTTGAAACTGGCGTTAGATTTTCCTTTATTCCATGTGCCTACGTATCAAATTTCGCTTAAATTCTTCCATAAATAAAAAAATTGACACTGCGCATGCGCAAAACCAAATTTTGAAATTGGCGTTTGATTTTCCTTTATTCCAAGTGGCTATGTATCAAATTTCATTTAAATACTTTTATAATTAAAAAAGTTTGCAATTCGGTTTATAAATGGTCGAGATGCGAAAAGGGCACTGTGAATTTTGAATCGATTCGACTCAACTTTTGGCATTGCGTATTATATGGCTAAAGCAGTAAAGCTATGCCCATATTGAATTTCATGCAATTCAGTTCATAACTAACGGAGATGTAAAAGCAATCGGACATTTCTACACAAAGTTATCGTTCACACGGACAGATAGAGGGACAGACAGACAAAGAACAGACGGACAGACCAACAGGCAGACGACAGACAGCAATGCAAAATTATAAACGATCTCTAGGATCGTTAATAAACGGCAAAAGTGTAAAATTATGGAACATGTAAAAAACGGTTTTTTGTTTTTTTACAATAACTTTTTTTGTAAGCGGTACAGAAAAAAATCCTTCCTTGGTGCAAGACTCGACACCATAACGAACCAAATAGCGAAAAAAGTAGAACAATAGCTCTTAAGATAAAGAACTAGTAGCGTCGCAAAACGAGAGGACGGACGGACGGACGGACGGACGGACAAGGTGGCCACAATAGCGCATTTTTTTTTTATTTTTGTGGAAATGCGCTAAAAAGTTTGAAATTCGGTTTAGAAATGGCGGAGATGCGAAAAGGGCACTGTGAAATTTGAATCGATTCGACTCAACTTTTGGCATTGCGTATTATATGGCTAAAGCTATGCCCATATTGAATTTCATGCAATTCCGTTCATAACTAACGGAGATGTAAGAGCGATCGGACATTTCTAAACAAAGTTATCGGTCACACGGACAGATAGAGGGACAGACAGACAAAGGAACAGACGGACAGACCAACAGGCAGATGATAGACAGCAATGCAAAATTATAAACGATCTCTAGGATCGTTAATAAACGGCAAAAGTGTAAAATTATGGAACATGTAAAAAACGGTTTTTTGTTTTTTTACAATAACTTTTTTTGTAAGCGGTACAGAAAAAATTCCTTCCTTGGTACAAGACTGGACACCATAACGAACCAAATAGCGAAAAAAGTAGAACAATAGCTCTTAAGATAAAAAACTAGTAGCGTCTCAAAACGAGCGGACGGACGGACGGACGGACGGACGGACGGACGGACGGACGGACGGACAAAGTGGCCACAATAGCGCATTTTTTTTTATTTTGAAATGCGAAACTAAGCAACTATTTTTACATAACGTTTATCTTTTATACTTTTTTGATATTCACACAAATAATTGGGTTATAAAGCAAAAACTTTTTATTGCATTTTTGGACCTTTCCATTGTTGTCACGTTCGCGGAAGTCATACGCAAATTTGACAACGTCGATGTATGCAGGTTGAAAAGTAACTACGAGAAACCGCATCACTCTATCAAGTTTAGTTCTCAACATATCACCGAATAACATCGAAAACGAGCAATTTGAAACACTCTGTACATATCTGTTTTCATTGTACCTACCAAGCTGGTAATTTAGTGGCGAATGGGCGAAGAGAGCCGTGAGGGGAATGTATGAACGCAATATTGGTGGGTCACTCCAGGCACCAGCGGTAGCTACCTACTTCGCCACTATTGGGGCGTGTATGTTACAACTTTAGGGACGGGGCAACATCTACTCGCATCCTCGAGCGTGGTTTACTAACGTGGTGATTTTAGTATTTTTTTTAGTTTTTTCCTATCTTCTTCTACGGTTTTTGTGTTTGAGTTGGAAAGATCTTGTAGGCGCGCACAACTTCCACGGAATTTTGTTTTTTTTTTCGTATAGGCGAAATTAACCACATTTTGCTTTTAGGGGCCCCAAAAGTTACCTTCCGCTGCGAATTTTGTCACGTGGTTTAAAGTTTCTTAAAGCTCGAATCGCGGTCTCTCTTTCTTGTGTCGCGAATAGGCGGTTGTGCCCTACAACTATATTTTGTGGAGGATTTTTAACGAAATCCACCACAATGTCGCATTTATATGACTGCGGGGGCCTCAGAAGTGGGCACTGACGAAGGGAATGTGGTAACCCCTGACAAGAGTTGACTGATGCTGGAGTCAAAACTGGCTAATAAAATCACACAAAAATGCACTTAAGTCCCTTCACAATTTAGTTTTAATTATATTTCAGCGTTTTGAACCCTGTAGTTAACTTTAGCAAACTATTAGAATTTAACTATTATTCTTGTCTATAATAAAAACCCCGTTGCACCTTCGGCACCTACCTAGTACCTAATTACGCCACTGTTGTCGAGGCAGTGTGGGTATAGGTAATTAGGTGCACAACTGCTGTAGAACATTTATGTTAGTGTGAAAAATGGCGTAGCAAGTTCTCATTTCAAATTCTAAACAACAAAAAACTGCAAGAAGAGTGTGAGTTACAGAATAGATAGAAGCTAGAAGGCCTACTCTTGGAGCTTACGCGTTGTTATTAGAAGAATTAAGAGTAAAGATTAAAAAATTAAAAATTAAAAAGTACTCTGCGCATATGTATGCCGAAAGAAGATTTTAAAAAGCAATTAAATGATACAATGTCTCAGACCATTATAGGCACATATTTGCGCAGTCAATTTAGCAGTAGATCATATGTTCGAATTTCCATCCCTTCGCATTGTCTTCGAATCCGAAAGAAAGTTCACAAATATGGAAAAATGTTCAACTGTTGAGGTCTGATTTGTCATCTGGCGTTTAAAAACTTCTGGCTTTTAACACAATAGGTAAACCATTGTACGATCGCAAAATAGCTTCAATAGACAGTTGTGGTTCGTGGTCAGGAACGGGCAAAATTTCGAAGTTTCTCAAGATCTTCGAAATTGTTGCTTTCAATTCCAGCATTGCAAACCGCTGACCTATAAGTGCATACTAAGAGCATAAAAATTATCAAACGTTTGCTTACCGATGCAATTTCTTAAACCCGCACTAAAAGGAACGTAAGCGTAGGGTGGCCTGGACCTTGAATTTTCGGGAAGAAACCGATCCGGATCGAACTGTTCAGGATCGGGAAAAATGTCGGAATTTCTGTGTAAAAGTACAGCGTGTATGGTCAAAGTAAGTCCCTTAGGTAGCACTGCCCCATCTAAACAACATGCTAAATTAAAATCACTTTGTAAACAGTTGTAACTCAACTGAACGAAGTGTTTTCGTTTAAGATTCTTGAGAAGCCAGGGACAGGGGGATACAGTCTCATAGACTCCTTAATGACCATTTCCAAATATTTCATTTCTTGTAAATCCTGGTACGTTGGTTCTCTTCCATTGTCGCCGCTAAAAATGGTTTGCAATTCTTCTACTACTTGAAGCTATTATAGGAAATTTAGAAATACTGATTATGCTTTGATGGAGCTGTACCTGCACAGAAGGATGTTTTGAAAGGCAATACAGAGCAAAACTGATCCCCGAGGCAGTTGTATCGTGGCCCTGCAATGTTTATACATTATCCTTTTGCGACGTATAATTTTAATTTGGCACCTCAAACATAAATGTATCGACTTCTTCCCTAATTGCCTCGTCGCTTAAATTGTACTGTAAAAGAAGATCAAGGAACGCTACACGCTTCAGAAGTCCTTCATCGTTACCACCATTTAAGGTAGTTCTTGTAAAATTCGCTTTCCTACTTCGAATTACAGAATTCGTGAAACCGTGCAGAACTGAAATAACTTTTTTTTGTACTCGATACATCGGAGTTAATTTGTAGATTATGTTGACCATTTTTAATGGCGAAAAAGACCTTTCTAGGAAAATACGACACATCTCCTGTACACTCCACACGTACGAAGACGTGGAATCCGTTTGCGCATTTATCTGCACCCCCATTGCTGTTTCTGTTGGAATTAGGTCATTAGGAGCGTGCAATCTCGTAAGAAAACTTACCACAGATGATATCAAGTGTGCAAAGGGCCACATACGGAAATATATCAAACGGGCCTGCGTCCACTCTTTCTTTAAGTTTCTCTACTAGAATGTTGCTTTGCTTATTAAATACATCAACGTACTTTTCGAGAATTTGGAAATGAAAGGCGGGCGTTAGTAATTTTCTACGTGATTTCCATTTTTGGCCTGAAAATAAAGAGAAAAAAGAAATCCAAAGAATCACCTACTCACCTGTGCTGGTTAATAATCCTGTTCCCAGCCAATCATGGAAATAATTATACTCGTACGACTTATCGATAATCGTCTGGGAGCCGAGTAAAAATTCCGCCGTCTGATGTTCACCAATAATTAAGCGGGGTTTAGGACCAAAATAAAAAACAAATGATTTCCCGAATTCCTCAGCCAAACGTTTGGTTACCGGTATGAAATCTACAAATTGGCATTTATTGCTTATCAGCTCCAAAGTAGGTAACTAACTGTGTACAAAATATATTATTTGGAAAATGTGCAGTTTACTTTGTTTCACACACACAATCCCACAACCTACCTTTTAGTTTTTGAATAACAGTAAATTTGCAAAAAAACTTGTACCATATTTAATGACAACAAGAAAATTATCGTTAGAAAATCGTAGCGCTGAACTAGTTTCCGTTTTTGGGGGACGAAACACCGTCAGCGTCACGGTGCTTGTCGGAACCTAATTGTGGACGCCCTTGGCGCGCAAGATGACGGAGTTTGCAGATTTTGCATTAAAAGTTTGGTGACAGAAAGCCGATTTCTGATAGGATTCCCCATTTGCTCAGTAACGTTTCAGTTGATTTATTTACGTATAATAAGTTAGTCAATAATTGTAAAGAAACCTGGGTCGAATGGTCCTCTAAGGTCCTGGAATTTTTTGCAGTAGGTAGCCTATACCACAGATTTAAACACTCATCTGTGCCTATACGTTGAAGGTTGGAAGGGGAAGGGAGTCGAACTGGTTTTATCCTTTATGGTACTCTAATGAAAGGTTTCAACGAAGACAATGAATTTCTACCAACCATAGTCCATTGTTGGAAGAGAGTACGCTCAAAAGGCGATTAGGACGTCTGAAAGAAATATATATCCATTGGTGATGTGAAAACATTAAGAGCGAATATCTCGAAAACGGTTTGTCAGAGGAAAGTACGCTCAGTGTCGATTTTGAATGTATGCAAGGCGGTCTTTAAATGATTGTATGTAAAGAGGCTTCTGCCCATATACCCAACCATTTACTAAGCAATTTCGGTTTTTAAAAAATGCGCTTTATCTGCTCAACAGTTGTGCACAGTTTATATATGTTTCTTCTCCCGGCGTACATATTTCTTAACACCCTGTGTATTGTTCCTTCTACTAGCGGGGTAACATTTAACAATATTGCATTATTACCTGCAAGTGATTTGAACAGCAAAGAATTTCCAAGCAAAGGCAAAGGCTTGGGACCTGAATACGGCAACAAATACTGGCGATATTTTAACTGCTCAAGCCATATTTTGGTAAACCACCACAGAAATGAACCTATGACGATAATTATTACAAGCACCATTTATTATCGAACCTCTCTGAACTTGGCACACTGCACTAATGAATCTGGTTATCTAATGTTAAAACATAAATAGTACAAACTTTGGACATAAGCACTATTAGAACAGGTTCGATAAAATTTTCAGATGTGAAAAATTGCAATTACTGATTTGATTTTATTTTATGACGCAATTATGATTGTATGACGCGTTATTTTCTCATCACACCAGTCATTATCATATCGATTAAAAGAATGCTCTGCATATATCAGCATGCGCCTTTTTGTTCTGTTGCATAGTGTATTGTGCCCTCAATTTTAGAAACAAAAAACAATTGAAAGTTTGAACCGAATTTTCAAAATCATATTGTAAAAGAACATTAAATAAAAACTCCTTCGTAAAAAGACTCTTAACATCCCACTAGTTCCCAAACCTATAGCCAACGATGAAAGATTTTTTAACGCATTTTTGATTCTCAAAAAGGAGCTTATAGTTTCACTAAAACTGTCGGCTGTTCGAGCGCCTTTTAATAAATCGATCTAGATCTCCGCAACGGAATATACTTGAACTTTCGGGATTCCGACATATATTCGTACTATCATGTTATTCCTGCATCGCTTTAGTATAACAGCTACCGATCTGTCAAGTCACACACAACGGCCGCTTGCCGGTTCGTTCGGGTGCATTTTATAAATCGACCGACGTCTAGATACAGGAATACCGTGGACTGTAGAGCCTTCTTCGGCATTACCCTTGTATTGTCGAGTTATTCCCTCATCGTTTAGTGTGAAAGCTGAAAACCATTCCTGAAGTTGATAAATAATGGATTTCCTTTATATATCTCCTTTTATAAATCCATCGAGATCTCGGTAAAAGAATGCTGTAGATCTTTCGGCGTTTCAACATTAAATATGTACAATCGAGGCATTACACGTTGGGCATTGAGTAACGAGAACTCTGGGAAAGTCTTAATAAAGAATACGGGAAGAACTTTCCAAAGTGAGTCCAAATATTAGATAAAAGATCTCTGTGAAGATCTAAAACATCCTATTCTAGAAGGGTAAAAATCTTTGTAGAAAAACTAAAAAGATGAGAAATGCACTTCGGATAAGCGTTCAAGAATTCAGGAAGTTCTGGAATAGATTCGAGAATCATTCCATTTTGAAAGCACTTAAGTATGTAATATGAAGGGACCTACAATAGCAAGCTTTGAAAAGATTAAAAAGTTGACATAGAAATGCCAACCACGCAATCCAGTGGGCCCGAAAGACATTAAAATGGATCTGAAAGCTCTCGAATGAGTGTAACACGCTCTGGAAGGGAATCAACAGCTTTTGAGAATGTAGAATAATATCCTAAAACTAAGTGGAAGACCCAGAAGTTTGTCACGGATTTTAAACAAAATTGCATAACGAGTGATTTATAAATGAATAAACATAAACTTATCATGAAAATACATTGTGCAATGTAAATATATCACTAAGCAAATCCGTGCACAAATAGATCATAACACGCTAATCATCTCATAATTAACAGTATAATAAAAATGAAAATATAATATTTAGAATCAAACATAGATAAAGTTACTATACATGTAAAATTCCATGCCCCTCGGTTTCCTGGTGTAAAAGTTGGCTAAAGAGGGTCCCCTATGCACCCAGTTTGTCCCACTCATCGCAAATCTGTCATGAAGTCTACATGAGCATGTGGGCAACGCATGAGACCGCGTTCCACCAATTTTTATCCTACATAGTGTTGTAGGAGGCCCGTGAGCACAACACCCATACAACAAAATTCAAGATTTTATCCTACTCAATTTCTCAAAATATTACGAATAATAGGTGGGTACAGACATTATTACTAATCGAACATGAATGAAAACGTGTTTTTCACATACCTACTTTTTTAAAAAGTCACATGGATGAATAAGCGTTCTACGCTCTGTTGGAGACAATACTAAAAACTGAAAGAAATTTAGAAAAAAGCAAGTACCAGAATTACTTACAAAAATTAAGATTATAAACCGAAGAATCAAACATTTTTCCATAGGACAGATTGGTGGAATTTTAAGGAAGGCACCTGATGGAAAATTCTTATGGTTAATGTAAGGGTATCACCGAATAGTAGCTACGTTTGTTAATAAAAAAATATTTTGGATTGCTCTTGTAGGGAGATATGTTAAGCGAGCGAACTCATAATTCGACACGGCAGGATTAGAAGAGAGCGCCAAGATTAACGAGCGGCAATTTCCGCCCTTTTGGGAAAATGGTTCCCTAACCGCCTTGCTTTATACAGGGTGCCCATTATGTATGGAATATAGTATATATTTTGGTAAATATCGACTATATACAAAATTTTTCTATATGAAAGTTATTTAACATTTTATTCATTCTATTGTTTTTATATCAGAAAACAATATACTTAACGAAAAACAATTGATTTTTTTTAAATAGCAATGCACACTTTCATTAGGTTCATTTGATAGGGATTTTTTCCTCTTTTCATTCACGTAACACGTTTCCACCCGTGCAGAAGAAATTAATTTTTATTTCAAACTCTTTTTTTGCCTTGCAGTTAATGGTAAACAATTGAACGTTCATTGTGATGAAAACCATTTTACTGGTAATTTCGTTTTTGGTCTTCAAAGTTTAATAAGAAACATGTACACGTTGATTTGTTTTATTTTGATGTAGGGTATCTGGATTAATGTTATTGATCTAATTATAATAATTTTTTTTTGAAAAATTTTCTTGAATAAGGATACTAACATGTTATATAATCGAGAAGAGAAAAAAAATCTCTATATCAAATGAGCCTAATGAAAAGGTGCACTGCCATTTAAAAAAATCCAATTGTTTTCCGTTACTCATTTGTTTTCTGAAATAAAACAATTGAATGCTGCCTTATAATGGAAATAAAATAGGTACTAAACAACTTTCACATAGAAAAATTTTGTATATATTCGATATTTACCGAGATGTGTACTATGCTGGATTGAACATTAGTCGTCTTCGTCTAGGGTTCATACGATTGATTTCGCGGGATTTCACTAAGGGAAGGATTATGGAGTGGTAGCAACTTTAGCATCTTATACAAGCACAGAAGGCGATGGCCAGGAAGCGCCGGCTCGAGGGTAAAACCTCGGGTCAAGCGGGCCCTGCGCCAAAGCCTAAGGCTGCGTCTGGGTCGTTGGCTCAGGGGGGCAACCCGACGTCAGGGACTAAGCGTCTCAGATCAGAGGGAAGCACTCCAGGGTCTGGCTCAAAGCAGCCTGAGAAGAAGCCTAGAGGTTCTGATGCACCCAAGGGTGCACCACGAACTTATGGGCAAGTCGCTGCGGCAGGGCTTAAGGTGGCCGTCGTTCCGGTTTCATACCCGGAGGTGGACATCTCTGAGGCTCAGTCGAGGTGCATTATGGCTGCATTGAATGCAGTCGTAGACCAGATGGAGGGAGGGCCCTTTCCTCGGCTGGCAGGGTTCCGCTGGAATCCGCAGGGTGCCATCGTGGCCGAATGCGAGGACCAGTGGACCTTGGACTGGTTGGAGAGGACCGTCCCTCTTATCCGGCCCTGGGATGGCGCGTCGCTGAAAGTTCAGAGGCACGTCCCGAGGGTAACCAAGGTGATGGCTGTGTTGTACGGGCTCCCGGATGACACGGACACCATTTTGAAGCGCCTCCAGAGGCAAAATCCTGGTTTCAGGACGAGTCTATGGAGGACGTTCTTTCGCAGGGAGGAGCCTGGTAGGATTCTCCTCGCATTTGGTGTCGATGAGACGTCCTATCAGGCACTCCAGCGACAGAACTTCCAGGCGCACGCGGGGGTCTCGCGCGTCACTTTTGTGACGAAGGCGGGTGCTCCGGCTGCGCAAGGTAAGGGAGAGAGCTCCACCGAAGCAGCGGGACCTAGTTCCGTTGCGACGGAGGGGGCCCAACCTCGCAGTGTTGATCTCGAAGAGGCGGCGGGATTGCTCCCGGCGCCCGAAGAGATCGAGAAAGATGTCAGCGAGCTTTTGGCTCGTGTGGCGGTTCTTGGCTCCGACCAGGGGTCGGAACCGTCGGCATCGCTAACGGAGGAGGGAACCTAGTACATCAGTGATGGACAAAGTAACCTTCTTACAGAGCAATTTGCAGCACAGTAAGGGGGCGACCTGTCTAATAGGTCGTCAACTTGCTGTAAAGCAGACAGGCGTATGCCTCATACAAGAACCTTGGGTTTACAAGAGACGAGTAAGAGGTCTGGGCCAGGTGGAGGACTCTCTTTATTATAAGAGGGACAGCCAACTGAACCCGAGGACTTGCATTTATGTCGATAGACGAATCGAGTCTTATCTAATGGCTGATTTTTGTTTCAGGGATCTCGTAGCTCTACGACTTCAGCTGAAAGATGACAGAGGACGGGGCAGGCACTTGGTGGTCTGCTCCGCCTATCTCCCGTACGACTCAGAAGGGGCTCCACCAACCAAGGAGCTGGCTGAGTTGATAGAGTACTGTCGAAGTAGTGGGCTCCCTCTTGTGGTTGGCTGTGATGCAAACGCACACCATGTTGTGTGGGGCAGCACGGACACGAACTCGAGGGGCGACCACCTTCTGGAGTACTTGCAAACAACTGATTTGAACGTTTTAAATCAGGGAGCAGCCCCTACCTTCGTCACAGCGCGGAGACAGGAGGTCATTGATCTGACGCTGGGCTCCTTTTCAATAGCTCACATGATCACGAATTGGAGAGTGTCTGATGAGCCGTCGCTTTCGGACTACAGGCACATTCTTTTCCAACTGAACCTGGCATTGCACTGCAGGCCCTGTAGGTTTCGGAATCCCCGATCCACTGACTGGGACTGCTATGTGGCAAAACTGTCGGACCGGTTGGATAGACCACCTTTGCTCTGTCGGAAAGCAGGGCAGGTGGAAGAGGCGGCCGCATTAGTAAGCGACGCCATAACAGCGTCCTATGAGGACAGCTGTAAACTGCGTACCTTTCGAGGGAAGAAGAGAACACCTTGGTGGAACTCAGACCTTGAAAAGGCTCGTAAGGAGGTTCGCAGGCTCTTTAATAGGGCCATGCGAACTA